TGGATCACACTGGAGAATCACAACATGGCTGAACTCGCCTTCGGTCAGGTTTGTGCTGAACGGCACTTACCTGCTGGTCCTTGATTCCAGGAGACAACTTTGGTCACATAGCGGCACATGCCAGCCTCGACCTCGCCCAGTGGTGTAGTTCTCTCACCTTTTTGCAGGTCTTGAACATTGAAGAAGACATGCCTCTTCATTTACTATTGCACCTATATTTCCTCTGCTTATGGGCATCTCAGACCGCCTACGGATGGTCAGATCGGAACTTCCCTGTCTGCTGCAAGAGTTGGCGGCGTATCCCGGCTCCGCTGCAGCTGTTGGACCGCACCAAGCGCACAACATTCACCTTGGATTGCGCAGGTTCTCACACCTGCATGATATCAACAAGCTCTCTAGAGCAGGGGCCAGGATGTGCTATACCCTGTTAGCAATGCAACTGTTGCTTGAAGTGGTCTTGGGGTCTTCGATCCCAGCTGTCCCAATCGTTCCAATCTGCCATTAGGAGGAACGTAGCAGTACTTCAAAGGACACAGTGAGCGTTGGGATTATGGCAGATTTACATGTTCCTTCCAGCTGCAGCAACAACAAGGGGGGGTCACCTTGCGTCTCGTATCCCGTGTGTCATGAGGTCTCCTAGGAAGGCGACTTCTGCAGAGCTGCTGCAGCTCCTCTCCTGCGCCTTGGGATCCATGAGTGATTTTGGAGAATATGCATCTCGAAGGCATACTGTCACTGCAGGCGGTCCAGAGGTCACAGAGGCTAGACTTGCAACTGGGGCATTGCGGCGGTTCGCAAGCTCCTGCTTGTGCGACCCTACTGCTGCTGTGCCCAAAGAGACCAGGTGCAGGAACAATCTCTCTCTGTGGGAAGACAGATGGTGCCATCTTCACCACCAAGAGGTAGATGGCACACAGACTGGCCATGTCAACCTCCAACAGAGCACAACTGGCCAAAGCTTCATGACCGAAATGTCTCTTCAGGTTGGCAACATATTTGGGTCATTTCTCAATTGGAAGATGGCTTACCTTCAGAGCTAATTCAGAGAGATATCGGCCGGTAGTGGGAAGTCACACCAACCCACACCTCTGGTCAGAGCTACCTTGTATGTCCTGTCTTACTCACCATCACACTCTCTTCTCAGCCTCATACACATTTATCATGATGACTTCCATCAATTATGATATATCAGTTCTCTCTTGCGTCTGGGGAAACCGCCGCAGCTTTCTGTCCCACACTCCTAGCGGCCCGACATGGTTAGAATGACACTTTATACCTATATTCCTGGACACCCTACAGACGGCCATGCCCTACACCCCTTTCTTTTAGCCAGCGCCGCTCAATTGTCGATGCCATCCACAAGCCTCCCTGTTGCCGATTACATTGCCTTGGTACCATCACGAGTGTTCGACAGATGCCTTAAACAGAACATACGACAGCTCGCTAGGCAGCCCTGGAAGCAATCGCTGTGCATCAACTCGACCCTACGAAGCGGCAGCGGCTTGAGCCGTGCAGCGACCTCCATGAGACTGCCACGTCAGTCGCATTGCCAACAGCTTAAGACAGGGTTGCGTCGACGCTGAGTGTTCCCGTGTGATGACGGGTGGTGGTTCGCCTGGTGTCAGGTCACAAGACGGGATGGGACGGTCGTCTGTTCCGGATGTGATGCCTACGATCGGCTCCTCCGTCACCATATCCGGCTGACCTCGCGGAGTACATTGCCAGAATGGATCCCGCATAGGTTCCCTTCACGGCCATGGGCCCAGCACGACGCGGCACAAGGCTGGGGTCAGGAGTGCCGCACCGCCGGCACCAGCTTACGAAGTACGGATCAGAGACGCATACGCCCACCCGCTCAGTCCAAATTGAGGGTGGCTCACTCCTTTGTGCAGATGGTTGCCAAGGCGTAATCGACTGCTTTTGACTTAGGGCTACCAGGCCCATCTGCAGACAGACGTGCGTTTCGTATCATTTGATTTGCGTTGAATGCGCGCGCAAGGTTGGCGATCCTCTCTCTCTTCTCGCCGTCTTGCACGATATGACATGCCCTGTCAGTATTTCGTTCGACGGATATCTCCTTCTGATGCTGGGACTAGGCTGAAGGAGGCACTCGAGTCTGACTGACAAGCTTGGCACGGACCCGTCAACAATCTCGCCTCTCTCCTGTTACGTTCATCTAATACGGGGCTCTTTGTGGATCTGCGGCTCGCTATCTGCTTTTAGGAGGCGACGACGACGAAGCCAGCCACTCCTTAACTCCATACCTCGCCTTGGTATACCCTCGAGATCCAATGGTGCCGGAGGACTCAACGGAAGGAAAGTTCCGCCCAATATCGGCACAGTGACAGCACACTATGAATCATCTCTTTTTCGAGGGGTTAAGTCGGGGTCGCAGTAGGTCTTTCGTGCTTTGCGACGACCTCGGAAATGACGGCTCTTACGACATTCTGTGATATTGCCACAGTGCTCCATGAGATATCACCTTGGGCGTGGATCTTACACGTCCTGCTCACGTGGATATTGGCTGCTAAAGGCCTTTCGGGATCCATTCTTCTGAATCCTAACTGGCCCATTGGAAGTTCCACCCGAACATCACAAGCCGACCTGTGGTCCGTCTAGGGACAGGACCCTCGTTGTACAAATGCTACTGAGACGAGGCGCTGATGGCTGAGCTACTCGTCACCCTTTGTCGCTGCAAATAGCGGATAAGGTGGGTAAGACAGAGATTAACGAGCTCACTCACCAAACCAGCTGCAGATCTAGGGAATTCTGCTCGCCTCTTGCTCCAACACATAAGATGATGATGGTTCTCCTAGCAAGGCAAGTCGAGTTCCCAGGTTGGCGTCTGCGATCTCGCAGGCCTCAGACTGGGAGAATAAGAAATCATCAATGACATCTGCAGGAGGTTCGAGGTATACCAGCCACCTCATTGTGCATGGAATGATCAGTCTGTTTGCTTATCAGAAAAGCGATATCTGACGAGTTTGCTGCCAGGATGCTCCTCCACCCCGGACACTGTACCCAGTGTGTACGAACGCACGAACCAGTATACGGTCTTTGTTGGGCTGCTCGTGGCACAGTCAGGGTGCCGTCTCGGACCTCAGCTGACTCCAGTGCCTTTTCATCTACCATCATCATCATCAGGGGAACATGGTAAGCGTCTCGATCATGTGCCCCATGCAAACTGCTGGTTTCCAGCACCTTGCAGCTCGTGACACGGCCAATATCAAATTGAGAAGGGGCCGCAAGTCGAAGTGATTGCTCCCATTCCTCGCGACTATTTTCCCAATGGGTCCAAGGGGTCCAAAGGGCTGGGTATTTTGACATATCACCTTTCCATCCTTGTGTGAATATTCTTCCAAATATTAACAGCCCTCCTTGTTGAGGACAAGGCCGCTAAGACCCTTACGGGAACCACGCGGGAACAATTGACAGGGCAAGAAGCTGTGACCGAGCCTTTGATATCATTTCTCAGGAAGCAGTCACTATTCTTGGTCACCAGCAGCTGCTGCTGAGGAAATTGGGATGATGTGATGTAGACTCGCTGACAAGCCATCGCCACGTCGCACGCCCGTGCGTGCTGATGCTTAGCTTGGAGATTAACGACGGGTGTGTGTACTGTAGCACCTGACCCCGCGCCCGTGGGCGATTGTCAACAGCTACTGGTGTGTGAGTTGGCGAGGGCCGCTGGACTCGCCCTCGCCGCCCGGCCGAGCCGTTTGCCAACTGCTGTTTACGGTACCAGCACTGTCTCCGTCCTGGGTCAGACGCCGGCACAGCATCAGGTTACACGAGGGACAACTTCAGGCCGAACCGGCATTTGTGTCGCATGTCCTTAACCACGTAATACATATACGCATGGTGAGGTATAGGCCTTGCGAGAACCCCACATGGCCGAGATCCTTGCCCGCCTGAACTCGACCGCCCGAGTAGTGAGGCTTTCAATTCTCACTGGCACCCGCATGTACGCAGCCGTCTTTTGTCGGCTGAGTCGGGGTTCAGCTCACAAGACCAGACTACAAGTGGCCGGATACTAATGCGAAAGCGAAAGCTTACGGGACAAGAGGAGGAACCCAACAAAATTGCCCGTCAACGCAGTTTAATCTTCCGGGCCCCCTTGCTGAAGGTACGGCCCAGACCCAGGCCAGGGCGCGTCTGCTAGCGCCCCGAATAGTCCGCGAGGCAGCCGAGACATGCATCTGCATTACGCATTGCATACGGTCGTCGCCTTACGGAGGAAATCGGCGCTGGCTGGCTGGCTGAAAGCCGGAGGCATGAGGAGAGAACGGAGCTTGCATGTGTGCTGAGGAGGCGCCGAAGAGCGGTGAGGACGCGTGAGAATACGGGTTAGTGAGAGAGAGAGACCGTTGCCTCGTGCGCCTGGACGGGGGATGGCTTTGATAGCGCAAGGCAACGGGCACAAAAGCTCCTGTCGCCTGCAGTTGATGGGTCTCTCATGTAAGTGAGTCGAAATTGGGAAGGAGGGCCATGCGCTCCATCGGCATCGGATCGGCCTCTCGGATGTACGTTTCTTGAGACGAACCTTTGGTGATCCGAACTGCCCGGGGACAGGAGGTAGACGGGACTTCTTCTCACGACTGACGATACATTCGAACTCCAAGGAGGTGACAAACCGTGTCAATCCAGGAGGGCACAGGCGCTACTCCCCGATGGTGACTTGCGCTGTATACCGATAGGACCTGGCAGTGACATCGACGCCTCTCCTTGGCGGATGTGGTTTCGTCCCGTTTTGTTTTGATACACACAAACATTTCTGCTGAATCTGGGTGTCGCTGAGGAATCTTACCTTGTCCGACAGACGACATGTCTTCCCCTTCCAGAATGGCCCAATAGCACCTCGTTACAGGGACGCACCACGCGCACGAAGGAGTCCCATATCAAAACCCCGTGACACAAGCCTGAGGTTGGCACAACTCCACGTACGATATTGTGGCCATGAGTTAATGACACCGCCTAGATCAGCGTGTAATACGTACCGCTCACGTCCGCTCAGCCTCGCTCGTCTCCTGGTCCTTCATCGATCTAGTGTCACAACCTGCGCTGTCCCTTGCCTGAACATCGCTGTCCCCCGCTCCGCCCTGGCCATCAACACGGTCGGGCGTCGTCGACACGGTACTCGCCCCTTGCTGTTTGCATGACAGCATGCAGGTCAGATCGGATTCGGCCCTGCGGGCCCGCTCCAGGACACCGAAGGACCGCAAATGTCTTAGGTGCCCAGGAGAGCTGGTCGTACAAGGCGGCTTCTCCGGCGGCCTATCTTCCGTGCGCAAGGGATGGGAAGGGGATGGCATCAGTCGCACCTGAGAAATGGCGGACAGCATAAAGTCGGACATGCATGGTCTTCTGGCGTGTTACCTGGACGTCGTGGTGTACGACGTAGGGCAACTGGGCGATGGATCCATAAGTTCTCCTCGTGGCGTGACAGTCTTCCTTCTCGGGAGACCGCATCAGTGCAGTGCATTGCAGTGCAGTGCAGTGTGGTACTACTTGAGGTTCTGGAGGCGGATTATCGCCCAGCAAAGCTTCCAAGGTGCAAATGCCGTGCCAGTTGACCGCGGCTCAACGGATAGGCACATATTCCAGTCGACCGCTCCTGATCTCCCAGACCGCATGGGTAACACACAGGCTCAGAGATTCGGGTGCCTTGTACTCTGAGGCGGCTTGTTACTTGGCGATCATCAAGTTGCAGGGTTTACGGGAAGATGATGTCCATCATTGAGCTGTTCTCGACTGTTCGTGATTATCAATCAGGCGATCGAGAAGGCAACATCTCGGCAATGTCATTACGAGGAAGATTGTCTCACAGTGGAACGGTGGAGGCGGACTCCAATCCAAAGACGAGCCATTCGAACGAGCTGTTGCACTCCCTGACACTCCTGTTCATGTCGCGATCAATGCCTGTGGTCAAGAGATCTTGCGTTGGTCTGGTCCCTGATTCACATGCCTGTGTAAGGCAACCCAGCAAGCCTCGTTGTGTTAATCTGACACTCAAGAGGGGAAATGGAACATTCCTGTGCAGTGCGTTGTGCAGCCCTCTGGCATGTGATTGTGGTTATTGAAAGCGAGGGGTCATGGACCCTGAATGATGACTGTCTGTTCACCGGTACATCTGAACATAAGCAGGTTAACAGGCAATATGTCCCTGGCGATATTCAGTGGTTTCCACGCAACGTTTGATCTGAGTTCACGCAAGTAGCATGGCTCGGTCATACTTGTCCATCTGATTTAGCTCAAAGACAGACGGCCCGATACCGTAGGACGGCAACTGCCTGGCTGAGGATTGCTCGGGCAGTGAGCTCCACGAGCAACCCCCTCGAGCCCGGTCGATGACGGTCTCATTACTTTGCAGAGGTAGCGTGACTACCAATTTCATTTAGAATTGGAGAAGTATTGGGTGTCAATATCCTCAAGTCACTCTGAGTCATCAGAAACGAAGGCGAAAGATCGGCACGTCCGTGACAAATTGTGGGATGACCTGTCGTGGGAAAATCCGTTGTGGTTGCGTTGTCTAGGATCGCAGAGCAAGACGTTGCCCAATCTTGACCTGTTGTTTATTTTTTGGGTGGCCCAGTCATCGTGAGCCAGGATCAGAAGCTCCTCGGACCGAGCGGCCGCTCGCGAGTACAGGACATATGTCAGAGGCGTGTGAGACTAACGTAGCAGGATAAGCCAGCTCTGTCCCGGTATTTGGTGTATTGGTGGTCATTTATGGCTACAGCTATATTTGCAAATGGAGCCATGGAGTAGAAGCTCCCATTGTGCAGATACTTGGCCTCCGGAAGTTACCGCAACGGGGCTTCTCATGAGACAAAGGTCTTCGCTCCTCGCCGTGAACATTCTGTGCCAATGTGACAGTGTTGATTTTTTGCAATGGCGAGCCCCGAGTCCTATCCACGCCAACAGTATCACTCCCAAAGAGACAGAGTCTGTGCCTTATACTGCAGGGTACTGAGTCAACTGACACCCTCGAGCATCCTTACGGTGTGCATGCTATACAGGTCGCGGGATCAAATGCCCGCTAGCAAGGCTGAAAGCCTCTGTGGAGATGATAGATCTGAAGAACTCATCGCAAGATGCCATCAATAGAGACAGAGATGTCCATGATCAGGGAAAATCCCGCAGGATGGCTGTAGGTGAGGTGCGAGAAAGCACAGAGCTCATGAGCTTCATAGCTGTAGTTTACTGCAGGTGCTCGTAGAGATTTCCTTCCGTTCAGAAACAGAAATAGAGAAAGCTCACCATCAAAATTCTTTCATAACCTCGCCCACTGCCCTGGCAGCCATCCTCTTCTTCTGGTCCTCTGGCAGACCAGCACTCATGTCCTTGACGGCCTGTAATTTGCGCATCATCTGCTCAACTTTCTGGATGTCTTCATCTCCTAGCTCGTCGCCGCCTTCATCGGGGTTTCCGGTCTGATTTGATGCTGCTTTGGGATCGCTTGGCTTCCCATCTGTGGCTTGGCGATCCCCATCATCGCCCTCGCGCTCTATGCGAGCCTCCCAGATGGCCTTTTTGAGGCCCTCAAAGTCTTCCCTGTCAAAGCCGAAATCCAGGTTCTCTGGATCTAGCTCGATACTATCCTCATCGCCTGCACCTCGAACCATCTCGTCTCCCAGTGCCGCCATGTCGCCATCTTCATCTGCTGTCGCAAATGAATCCCAGTCATTGGACTCGAGAGCCTCGAGCACGCGAGGAATGCCCATTTTCTCTGGGTATTGGTGAGCAAAAGGATTATACTTGGAGACCTGAGGGGATGTGGACAAAGTCAAATACACAAAACTTACCACCAAACTCATTTTTTGCATCGTCTGACGTGGCGGATGAGCCAACGTGCACAAACTCAAGCCCGGCATCTCCACAGACCTCATCCCACATGTCCAAGTCGTCGAGATGGGGGACTTCACCGATGCCGATGCCAAGACCCACACCGTCCCATTCCCACCCGCCAAGTCCCTCCTTGACGACCCTTCCGACCTCCCTGATCAGGTCCTTGTGCTGTGAGGCCGAGGTGGAGGATGAGACAGGAAACACAACGACCACGCCGCCCAGCACCTCAAGGACTTCTTTGGCTTCGGGGGAGAGAAAAGACGCGGCCCACTCGGACGCAGTCGTGATGAGATCCAGCCATATGGGCACTGTGGCTGTGTAGTAAGCTGTTTGCAGGTCGAGGTCGTGGGTTGTGCCTGCAAGCGAGGTTGATGCTGAGGCGGGCTCAGGGCTGTTGCCAGTAAGTTCTGAGGTATTTTATGTCAACTGGCCATCATCTCATCAGGCGTTGAATTGAAGATTGAAATGAAGACTCTGGACGGTTGGCTTCGGTGCCTACCTTTGATGACCCGGCTGAGGTGCTCCGTTGAGTCTTCCAATGACACGGCCAGTATCCTTCGTGGATGCAAGATGGGTTGAGGTTTGACCATGGCGAATGGACTTCGATGTGAGAAAGGCAGCACTGGAGAAACCAACTCTCAACTTCTCTTCTTAGCTCAGACTACGGTGAGGTTGACTGGGTGGGAAATAAATGGATAAGGTTCTGAGGAAGATAGACGTCTGTGTTGTCTCTGGCTGGTTGATGCCAGCCAAAATGCCAATGTAGTACTGATCTACAGTGCAGTGCAGTGGGCGTGCGCTTATGTAATTCCAGGCCCGTGGTTCAGGGGCTCCTGCAGCCTATGGGTCCCTAGGCTCTGTCTGCTACAGCTATTCAGACCGGCAGGCCGGTTGACTTATACAACGCCGACTTTCTTTTCCAGCCATCGCTCCCCAAACGGCCGGACCTTCCGAGGGAGTTCCGTGAATCTCAGCACGGCTTCAACGTCTAACACGTGGAGACAGACACACTGACAGCGATACATCCAAGGCCTATGTCAACAGCAACCGGTCGAGTTGACGCATGACGTTCCCGGCCCCGGACCTGTCCGGACCCGGCTCCGGAACTGTCGCATCAGCAATGGAGTTCCGTGTGGACGGAGGAAAAACCGGGTCGGGGCCGGAGAAAGAAGACTGCGGAGTTGCCTGTCTCGATGGACTGGAACTTTCGGCCGAGCCGGTCCAGGCCATGGCTCGCACAGCTCCCATCAACTTGATCGCCACGACTCCTCGATCACGATATGGAGTTGTGGTGGGGAAGATCTAGTGTAAGGCTCCTTGCCGCGCCTAGAATGAAGGATGAGGACCTCGAGAAGGGAGCTATCCGCAAATCTTGGTGTTCAGTTTAGCTGCAATCATCGACTGTGGTTGGCTTCTGCTTGAGTCGACTCGGTGGAGTTATGCGCCGGCGCCGATGCGGCGCGTTGGATGGAATGCCGCCCTATAGATACGCACCACGCTGCCTTCTTCAAAGGCACCCTTTCAGGGCTCCATTGTCAGCATGATCGGGGCACGGAGGCCAGATGGAGTACATGGACAGCAGTCTATCGAACAAGCTTCTAAGGGAGCAGCCGACGCGGAGGGACGCCTCATCGCTTCCAGCCCTTTGCGGTTCAGGCACCCGGCATCAGGCGTCTGTTGAGAGGTGGCTATCCCAGCAAGTGCACCGGACCTTGGCCATCGAGGCGAGCAGGTCGTTCAGCAACCAACATACAACGCCCGGGGTAGAGAAGATTGCGCGCCGTGCTGTACCCACTCATGCTCACCATCCCATCCCGATTAGAGACGGGCCCCACGCAGTCATGGCCGCTGCGAATTCACACTTTGTCCGAGGCGAAGTGACGCGTCCGGGGCTCTCGGAAGATGGCAAGATGCCAGGTCCCACATGTCGACCCTCGGCGCAAATGTGAACTTACTATTTGCGCCTCCCTCAGATTAATGTAAAATTCACCAGACCCGCCTATGGTGGGCCAGCATCTATCTCCGCCCTCCCATGCTGACATGTGTGCTTCCCAGATCGTCAAGGGTGCACTGGGTACCTCGCCAGTACTTAGGCTCTGTCCCCACCCATCCCGAAACAAATCCTGCCCTCCGCACGGGTAGGCGGGACAGCGGAAAGGAAGGGCCGCGAAGCATCTAGAGCACGTTTCGCGTTGGAGCAAAGGCGCGCCGGGCTGATGTATGTCAGGCTGGACGCGCGTTCCGGGGGGTGACGGGTTCGCCAAGAGGGAGATAATTAGACGCCAAGCTAAGTCCATGCGGGCTGTCTGTTGCATTCGCGAGCTTCCATGCGGACCTTGGCTGGAGTTTCCACGGCTCGTGGCTGGACGGGGGTTGTGCTGGTAATCCTCGATCGCAAGCACGCTATCACACGATGTCACACGATAACGTATCATGGCCTCGTTAACCCGTCGTCGCAGAGCACCAGGCACTCGCGTAAGTCAAACACAGCTGCGTAATAGAACTGTTCGGATGGAGCCGCAAACCCTCAATTCACACCATTAGTTCTGCCGTCTAGCCTGAGTGAACCACTTCAGCAACACACCGCACATTAAGAACGAACGCCAGGCTAAATGCAGGTTGATAAGTAGCCAATATAGACATCCTGTGAAAGGCAGGAACCCAAAAAGACCCATCGCCCTTCATCGCTCCTCACCCATGACCCATGACCCATTGTACTCGTGCTCCCATTTCGCGGCGGATACAATCAGTCCACCTCGTCCTCGTCGGTTGTCTGCTTATTCCTCGCATTCCTGCTTGCATTCGCGTTCGCAAGAGAGTTGTTCGACGCTTTTCGCAGCAGCCCACTCACGCCGCTACCCATGCTCATATTACGTCCTCCACTGCTGTTAAACGGGTTGGTGGGACTGCTTGGTTTTGGGTTCAGAGGACCAGAGCTCTTCCTATCCGCTTTTTGCCTCTCCTGCTGAGATGGCTCCTCGTTGTCGAGCTCGTCGCTGCTCGTGTCAAAGAGACTGTCATTGTCTCCGTAGATATCGTCCGGCTTCCTTCGTTTGCCCATGTCCTTGTTCGCAGGGCTCAGTCTGCTCATATTCACACCAGGCTGGTCCGCGTACAAGTTCGGGTCCCTACCCAGAACTTTATCAGCCTTGCTCGGTGTCTTGCGCGGAGGACTTGGCCTCTCGTCCCGGTAATGCCGGCCGGCTCCTCTCAATGGCGGGTTCCAGGACGGTGGCGTAGGCACAGATTCCACATCGGCCCCGTCATCCGGCACGCCCCAGCCAGCAGCACGTTCCCTCGCACGCTGCTCATTGCGCTCCCGCTCGACGCGTTCGGTGGCCTCGACCCACTTGGGAGATGGCTCCCACGTCCACCCGTCGCCGGTCGTGGTCATAATCGGTAGGCCCCAAAGCCAGGGGTTGTGACCAAAGAGGTGCAGCAAGTTCCGCCTCCAGCCTAGGTCGAATGCGTTGGGTAGCTTGCTGCTGTCCTGCTCTTCGAGATATTCCTCATACCTCTTGCGTGCGCGGTGGCGCTCCATCTCCTCGTAGGTCCTGTGTCTCGGCATGCCGCTGATCAGCGTCGCGTTTTCCTCGTCTCTCTGACTCGGTGCCAGTGTTCGTAGTTCCTCGCCCTCCTCTGGCCGGCTAACACCTGGCAGTATATTTTGGTGCGCGTCCAGCAGTTGCTGCCCGTAACGCGGCATCGGCACTCCTCGTCCGTCAGTGTGCTGTGCTTGGTAGGCATTCTGCAACGTCTTTCGCAACGGCGAGAGATACCTCGTCTTCTCGAGGCACTCGATGGTGGTCTGCCCGCGAGCAGCCAACATAATATGCCACGCTGTGAACGCGCCGACAACCAGTGATATGATGCCCGCAATGACACACAATACGATGTAATTAACCGGCATGAGCGATTCGACGTAGGTCACGTCACTGACAATCTCGTCCCAAGTCCAAGACCCCGCCACCAAGAAACTGTACATGCTGAACAGCGTTGTATATATGAGGAACAGTAGGAACGCCTTGTGGTTGCGCAGTCCGATGCAGGTGGCGAGCCAGGGGCAGTGGTGGTCCATCTTGAGGACACACCGCCTGCAGGTCGAGCAGTGATGCGCGCGGTCGGGCTTGCGGGCCTGGCATTTCTTGCAAAAGCGTATCTCCCCGTTCGACTTGACGGTCAAGGTGGTTGGGTTGGTGGTCGCACGAGGCTCGTGTGTGGGTAGGGTGCTGTACCCGCTGTCGTTGGTGGTGCTGCCGGGAGGGGTGAACACGGCCGTCGTGTAGGACCAGTTCAGGAGAGCATAGAGAATTATAGCAAGGAGCGATGACCATTTACCTATGGGACGAGGCAAGAGCTCATAGTTAGCGAGCTAGGTCTCGTTGTCTGGAGTCCACATTGCACCCGAGCTCCCCAGTCACGGACTGTAGGTGTTCATACCTATCCAACTTGACTTCTGGGCATCATACCCTATGTTACAGTCGACAAAGACGGCCCAAGTTGTGATGCCGTAGACGAAGGCGAGAGGGAAGTACGTAGCGCATCGGCAGCAACACCTCTCGATCCTCCTCGCCCAGCGAGCCATGACGGAAGAAGTGTCGAAAGAGTGGCGCCCATCCATCGGTGTATCAAAAACTTAGGCTGAAGGTTTGAAGTTTGTAACCATTTCAAACCACAGAGCAGCAGCAGGGCATATCAAATACAGGTGGAAGAAGAAGAAGTGGCATGTTAAGAAGCAGCAAAGTCGTCAGGAGTAGCCGTTGTTCCGTTCGGCGCTGACGGCATGTCGTTGTTGTTGTTCCCGGGTGAGGCTGAGTGCGGATCGCCCCCAAGGTTGTGTGCAGCAGCGAATCACACCCCCTGTTTTGAAACGGCTGCAGGGGCCGAGAGCCTCAGTCAGCGCGTCAACCGGTCACGCTCCCTGTACGAGCCTACTGCTAAGCTCTGCGCGTCGAGGACTAGTAGCATTCATCCTCCTGGACACAACCACTTTTGGTAATTTCAACCTGCAATGTTGCTATGATTCGATCTATGGTGATTCGAGAGCCAGTACACACAAAGTATTCCTTTACCGACATGAGGATCAGAGCGCGGATAATCTTCTGGGTCCCATCGTGTATGAGGGATTTCCGTTGAGATTCATCTTCAGTCTCTGGACCCGATTTTGACCTTTCTTCTTTTCCCCCTTTTCTTCCAAATAGCGACTTAGCAGTAATCAATCCGTATGGGCGGCGAAACACCCCCTCTTCCCTGGGAAGCAGGCTTAACAGTGCGTCAAGTTAGAAGCGCCGCAGCATGTCATCCGTCGTGAATTGTATGTAGACAACAGTGCGCAGCCTGATCACCAGCGACTGCAAGAACTGCCTCCACCCTTTCTCTGCGGCCGCCAGCCTGATCCAAGAGGCTCGGCATTAGCAACGCTATCCTTCTGCTCCTGCAGAAGTTCAGGACGTTGATCCCAAGTGTCCCAACCCATAGCACTGAGCTGACCCCAGACGTAACCGCTTGTCTGCTGTTGAGGCTCCGAGGATTGGCCCCAGACACCAGTGGGCTGCTGCCGATTCTTGTGCTGCTGCTGCTGCTGAGACTCCGAGGACGGACCCCAGGAACCAGTGGGCTGCTGCTGCTGCTGCTCTGGCTGTTGACGCTGCTGCTGCTGACGACTGCCGGAGTGCTGACTCCAAGGGCTAGCATGTTTCTCTTGTAGCTGAAGCTGGGAAAGCGCATTCGCAGTCAGGGCCACCTCTGGGCCAGAATCACCACGGCCGCTGTCATTCTGTCCGTATGGCGTGGATGGCGGACCGTGTCTTCTGATCTGCTGCTGCTGTTTGCTCAGGGTCGCCTCCGTGAGCCCTGGTCGAACAGTGCGGGCCGAGTTGCCTCTACCGTTGGTTCCATGTATCTGCTTGTGACCGAAAGTTGGGCCTGAGGTCTTCTGCGTACCATAGAGCTGTTTGAACTCCTCCTGGAATTCAAATTTTTGAGTGAAGTCATTATGGACGCCTCCAACCTCAGCCATTCCCCACGTAAGTTGATCGAGGAATATTCTGTACATGTCGTACTCACTCAAGGCGTGACGCATTGCACACTTGCGGCTCTGGGACTCGACGTGTGCGGTGAGCGCGTAAACAGTATCGAAACGGTCCAGACAGGATGGGCACCTAAGTTTGTTGCTGCTGTGGGTAGCTGACTTGAGATGCTGTATGAGCGCATCCTTTTTGTTGAAAGTCTTCCTGTGCCGGTGTAGTTCCAGGTTAGCAACTTTCATACACTCATCTAAACCCGTACGCAAAGAAGGACCCAGAATCATCATTGCGTCATGAACATCAAGAATGTTCATGCTGGTCAATAATGGAGTAGTTTCTGCTTGTTGACCTAGGGAAGAGAAGGTGATAGCTGCACTTACTTGCATGTTGCCTGATGAGGACACTTGTATTTTTGGAGGATGTTATGCCAGCACTTCTGAGGATCGAAGTAGGGGCTACTGGGGTCGACAGTGTCACTGTTCAAGCTGCGGGCACGCTCAACTGCAGCTTGCTGATTATCGTTGAGCGTCTGTAACTGCTCGGCAGTTGGCTTCTGGGCGGGGGCCGCGTTCGGGAATAGGTTCCTGTCCCTGGCCCAGTCGTTCTCCTCATACTTCCCGTCCAGGGGGTTGCTTTGATCTCCAGTGAGGATATCTGGGGCTTTGGTGCTTCCATGAAAGTACTCGCGGTGGGCCATCCTCGGGAACGTCCCATCATCCAAGCCGACAGGCTCTGATGAGCCCCATGCGTTTGTATCTCTTCCCTCCCACGCCGACAGCAGATTGGCACTTTCCTGCCAAGGGGCTTCAGGCTCCGCGTCTTGTCCCAGATGCATGGAAAAGTCCTTCGGTTTTATGTTGGGCACATCTTGCCTGCTCGCCCGATCAAGTCGTGCAAGACCTTTCGCGAAGCTCAACTTTGACGCAAACCGAGCTTGGAGCTTCTCGATGTCAAGCTGGCAACACTGGCCAAGTTCCACATGCTTGACAAAGGAGGATAGCGTTACGAACTTTACGTCGCAACCGGGGCAACGAAAGTCTTGCTTGTGAGCATGAAACTGGAGGCCAAATCAGCCATGTCCACGCAAACACACCATGTAGACCAATCGCATCATCTCTTACCTGTCGTAGATGTTCACCCACACCGCCCAAGGTGTGAAAGTCTATGTCGCAGATTTCGCACCAGAGGTGCACCGCCTCTCGATCTGGATGGTTCTCTTCTTTGAGCTTTTTCGCTTTATGAGCGCGTAGGGCGTCTATGGAAGGAAAGGTAGCGGTACAGTAGGCGCAGGTCGTGGGACCGACCTGCTGCAACTTGGGCGCCCCTTCCTGCCACTCCTGTTTGCTGTTCATGTTGCAACGCTGTGCGGCCAACAAACGGGTTTTGCCGTTAGACTTTTCAAAGGTTTGATGTTGTCATGTGGAACTTCGTCAGCCACAAGGTATTGTTGGTGACAAACCTTGCTTGATCAAGCCTTGAGAGTCTTTTCGCCCACCGCAAGTAAGTTGTGCGAGACAGAAATCTTGTGTGATGCCTGGTAGGCTCGAACGCTTAGGCTGGTGAGTTGAAGTCGTCGAGCACACTCGTGTTAACTGTGGAGAGAATTGCGAGTGCGAGTGTTGGGAGTTGAAATGGTGGGAAAGAGGGTCAGGCCAAATTTGTGAGTTGTTGACGTTTACTTTCGATCCCAAGGTCTGGCAGGAAAAGGACGCGGAGGCAGCAGCGTTCTTTCTTGCCCGAGGAAGCACCTCTGGCTTTCAGCAATGACTTGCACCCTGCAATAGAACACAGAACAGAAGCGAATATGTACTTGGGCTTTTTGAAATTCAATGACCACCTGGAGCTGCTCCGGACAGAGAAGTAGGGTAAGACCGTCCAAGCTGGTGGGTCAAGCATAGAATCCCTCGATTATCTGCTGCCAAAAACCGAGAACTCGAAATACCTTAAAATGTACCTACCTTGTCTGTCTGTATACACACATATGGCATTTCAACTTTCCATCAGACTCTGAAGAGGTTGTAAACCAAGAGTCCGCGGTTCACTGTCCTTTCTTTCTAGGGTTTTTGCGTACACGATGGTTTAGAAAGGTCTGTCTCTTTGGTATCATTCTTTTAGTCCTCCTGCTTCTGCTAAACACAACACTGGCACAACAGTGAGGGCAGTAGTTCTGCTTGCGGTTCTGGAGGTAACCATGTCTTGCCTTTTCCATCACATCGAGACGAGCCATCGAAGATAAGTTTAATGGCTGGTTCTGAGTCTTGTGATTCGTTTCATTCAGATGATGGCAAAACGAGCAAAGCCTGGGCAGTTCAAGATCACGGCACTGAAATGACAGATCCAATTACTGTCATGTCTGGCCGTCGGTCTAAGAGCTCCTCATGAAAGGAGCAAATGCATTCCTCAGCGCTGGCAGCCAGTCTAGCGGCTTCGAGTGAAATCCATGTAGAAAGTAGCAGCTGTTCGATGGGAAGAAAATGGGTTTGTCCCAGGTCCATAGAGGTGTCTCAGTGGCGCGCGGGTGGAAGCTCACGGGTGAGGTATGTACTGTAGACTGCATCGTCCTCGAACTTACACCGGCTAGGCTCTAGCTCACTCGCTGCAGCGGCAAGTGGGGCAAGCTCCGCAGCGTCATCAGCCGCCCGCGTAACTACTTGCAGTGAGCCAACCCACATGGTACCTGATCAGTCAGTCACCACGGGCCTGCGGCGTCTCATCTTGGTACGATTAACAAGACACATTGCAACCTGAGTACTGCCCACCACTAGATTCAGTACCACTATTATCTTTTGTCTTATCCCGCTTAAATTTCACCAACCCAGTCCTATTCCATTCGAGATGTTCGGTTCCGACTAATACCAAGCCACGTTTCCCTTCCTGTGATACCCATCCCCAGCATCTCGCTCCTTATCAGCAGCATCACAGAGGTGCTTCCTGCCTCTCTCACTCTTCGACTATGGCGACCAAATTTAATTCCAAATCGCCCACCATGAAGCGCATAAGTGAGCATTGCAGCCTTACAAGAACGCCGCCCATTTTCGAAGATTGAGAACAGCTACTGACAAGCCTTCCACTGTGCAGTGCGCGAGGCTCAGGAGATGTCCAACTCACCGTCTCCAGATTACACGGCCTCACCTCTGGAAACCGATCTCTTCGAATGGCACTTCACACTCCGCGGCCCCCCAGGTTCTTCTTACGCCGACGGTCTATACCACGGCCGCATAGTCCTGCCCCCGACTTACCCTCTCCGCCCGCCCTCCTTCCGCTTCCTGACACCCTCGGGGCGATTCGAGGCCAACCGCGAGATTTGCCTCTCAATAAGTGGGCACCACGAAGAAACGTGGCAACCGGCTTGGGGCGTCCGGACAGCGTTGGTGGCGCTGAGGAGTTTCATGGAGACGGACTCAAAGGGCCAGCTCGGCGGCCTGGACACGACAGATGCTGTGCGGAAGAGACTGGCCACCGAGAGCAGGGGTTGGAGGTGTAGTGGCTGCGGGGGCCGGACGAACGAGGACATCATCAAAGAATGTGAGGACGCCGCGAAGGCCGCCGAGGCGGAAGCAGGGGAGGGCAGCAGCAAAATCCAGGAAGTCGAGGTGCCACCGGAGCTGAGCATGGGGTTCAAGGACGAGATGGAGAAGACGGCGGCGGCGGCCGCCGCCGGAGCCGCCGGAGGAAGTATCGAGGCGACTGCGCAGGCTATGGAGGACGCGGAAACCGCCGAGTTGGCAGAAGGCTTCGTGCAGACGGTGCCACGAGCAGATCTCGGGAGTGGAACAGCCGCGTCAACAGCCGCCGGTCTGGCGCAACCAGGCCAGACGGTGCCTCGACCTACAAGAACAGTACCGCTGCCAAATGTGGCGCACAACACTGCCGTACCGCCACAACAGGCACAACTGCTGCAGCAACAGCACACGCTAAACGACAGAGGGGTACCTAAATGGATAGATAGGGTCATCGCCGCACTCGTGGTCTGCCTGGTTGGCATGATATTGAAGGTTATCTTGGGCTTGTAACAGATTGTGGCTTTTGTATTTGGTGTTGGGAGGCTAGGGAGCAAGGCGTTCTTGTGTGATTACATTCACCTTTGGATGGACGGCAGGCTGGTAACATAGATTCTCAACAGGAGCCAAAGAGCGTGTACAAGACCTGCATGAACAGGAGTACTTCATGATACAGTTCCGGCGAATACCTATGTTTTCTCTGGGTCACTCCTCGAACCTGGCTATGCTCGATGGGGTGCTCAGACGCGTCGTCTCTGCCCTGCCCAAGACCACTAACAATCGGGGCATCGAAACATACGCCATAGTTTGAGGTTGAATTATGCCTTTTCAAAATGCTACAAAAAACTTTCAATGAGTGAAGATGAGTCTAAATCCTGATCTACCTTCACTTCCCACTGCTATCTGGATGAGCTGCTTTGAATATGACGGAATCATAGGCTCCACGACGAAGAGTGGTTTCTTGAAGGCGGCTGGCTCTATTAGACCGTTCACAAGCGGCAAAGCGAATGGCGTTCCAATCAAATTTTCAAAGCAAACGACACCGGTATGTGATGCTTAACTATGCTATAATCTCATACACAGCCGGTTTGTGCGGCCGGCTTGCATGAAGCCCCTGTGGGGTTCTTCATGGTGTAGCGAAAACATTAAATGCTTTTCCCAACCCGGACCGCTGAGCCTTTTCCTCTTTTCGGTGCAACTTTAGATTGTGAAATACACGTGAGCCCATTCTCCAAACATTCCCCCCTGGGTCACAGACGCAAGTATTGTCGGACGACTTGCAATACGTCAGGCTAGTCTGTTTAGCCCATGATCATGCCCTTCATGCTAGACATGTCGCCTTCCTTGGCTGCGATTTCGAAGTAGCTGTAAATGATACTTTGGGGGCTGTTAGCAGATGTATCCAGCAGCGTGGAGCGATTGAGACTTACGTGACAGCAAGCAGGGTTCCGGTTCCGGATCCAAGCGCGCCCATCAAATCGCTAGCAACGGAGAGGGCTCCGATGCAAGCGCCGCCAAAGGCAGCGGCAGTGGGAATGATGCGCTTGAGCTCCTTGTACATGCTCTGGTCACGGTGACCGGCCATAACCAGACCCTGGTCCTTCAGCTGCTTGGCGACGTCGCGGGGGCTCGAGCCAGAAACCTCGATCCAGGTCTTGGAGAAAATAGCACAGGCAGTGAGCATGTAGGCGATGTAGACGAGGGTGTGGATTGGGTCGATCAGGGCATCCTTCATGTTCAATGGCGGAGACATGTAGTAGACGAGACCGGACACAGGGGACAGTTGGCCAGAACCCTCCTTAGCCTCCCACACGCCGAACAGACGGACGAGGAGGTTCTCGCCGAAACGAGTTGCCAGCATCTGGGAGATGAGGAAGACGTTGGACGACAGGGCCGACTGCAGCATGATGGGCATGTTGGATGTGTAGAACAGTCGCACGGGGTAAGATCCACGAGCACCACGCTGGCGGGAGGACTTCACAGGAATCTCGACACGGAAACCCTGGAGGTAGATGACAGCGGCGAAGACAACAAGGGTGGCCAGAAGGTTCATGATGTTGGGCAGGTTCTGCCTGTAGAAAGCCTCCTGCAGAGCGCGCTGCTTGTTGGGCCATGTCATGAGCAGGTGGAAGAGAGCGATGACAGCGCCCTCATACTCAGGACCACGGCCAGTGTTGATGCTGGTCGGGGAAAAGGCCTTCCACATGATAGACTCGCAGATGTTGGTCGCGATGAAGAGAGAGATACCGCTGCCGAGACCGTAGCCCTTCTGCAGAAGCTCATCGAGGAGGATGACGATCATACCGGCGATGAAGAGCTGGAGAATCAGCAGAACGACGATGCCGGCGCCAAGGTCGGAGGGAGGACCGTAGAGTCCAGTGAAGACGTAGACAGTTGCGGTACCAGCGGACAGGATGAAGGCGAACAGCTTCTGGGCGGTCTGGTAGAGCTCGCGGTCCGACTTGAGGTCGAGGTTGACGTCGATCAGGTGGGTACCAGCCAGAAGCTGGAAGACCATGCCGGACGAGACAATGGGAGTGATACCAAGTTCCATCAGAGTTCCACGGTTACTCGCCATCATCATACGGAGCCAATATAGCGGGTCGGAGGTGTCTGAGGAGACGATGCCGTACAGGGGCATCTGGCTCATGACCAAGAAGATCAGGAGGGTAAGACCTGTCCACATCAACTTTTGGTTGAAGGGAACCTTGGTCTCGGGCTGCTGAACCTCGGGGAGGAACGGCACGAAGGGCTTGACCAGGTCGAGGAATCGAACTGCAGCGCAATCGCGCACGGGTTAGCTCTTTGCCCAGACACAATTGACCACACGACACCATGATGGAGGCAACCTCGGTGTGCGGACGTGAGCGCGAGGCCTTGAGGGGTCGTGTTCGCGACTGCACGAGGGCAGGACAGCAACGGACGATCGACTTACGGCTAGACATGATGGGCGATTTGTGGTCGGAGTGAACTCGATTAGAGATTCATCCAAGGGAGGAAAGAAAAAAAGAAGGCGAGCGGCAATGGCTCGGTTGAAGAACAAAACGTGGACAGAGCGTTGGAAAGGAGAGGAAGTTGGTCGAAGGAGTCCTGAACCGCGAAATAGTAGATAGATCGCAGGTTGTGTTGAGCTAAGGTAGGCTGGCTGTAATCTGGCTTCAACTCGGGCCAGGTCTGCCGATTCGTGCACCAGTCAGGCAGTCCAGGTGCAGGGAGCTCTCCTAAATTGTTGATGTGTCCAGAACAGCCAACCAGCAGCGGTATGGCGAATTCTACCGACCCTTGCAAGAATATTTCGTCCCTGTCGTCCCAAAATGGAAATACACTTTACTTCTTATAGAAATGTCTTGTCACTTTTGAATCAATTCTTTTAAATGTATTTACTCTTAAACTGGCAATCAACCTCAGAAAGGGCCAACTAGGGCGTAAGGATGAGCGTAAGCAAGAGGCTAGCAGGCAGAGCCCAAGCACTACTTGAGGTCCAACCTGATATACTTTATGTTCCTCAAAATGTGCGAGATGCATTTTTTGAAGTGACTTTTATATTGAGGAATGCTAAGGGCGCTAGGTGGAGGCGCTAACTAAGTTGGGCGAAAGGGACGAAATATTCTCACAAGGGTCGGTAGAATTCCTCATGCCCAACCAGCGGAAGCTATGAAGCTAGCGAGCCACCAATTGGCCAAAGCTGGGTCGGCCCTCTTAGGCCTCTCCATCTCATCTCTATGCGACCCCACGTGACCCATGGACCCTTCGAGCTGAATTATGACTTGCTTTGTTCGGAGCCGAAACGGGCAGATCTCCTAGGCTTGGACCCTGAAAACAAATGTGAATTCGCCGACCTTCAAGCCTCTCTCATGTGTCACTCGCCTGTCGACTCACCTGTTCGGATGGTCTCCACAACCGATCCCGAAATCCTATGATTAGAGCTCGTCTGATCTCTCGACTCCTCTATAGGCCTGTGCAATGCTTTAACACCATGTCGGCTCGCGAACCCCCCTCGGCCCCATTGCTGGTCATCCTGGGGTCTACGGGTACCGGGAAGTCTGAGGTGAGATTCGCCCACCTTGTTGCGGGGACCTGCCTTGACAGGGGCTGATACGTATTTACAGCTTGCCGTCGATCTGGCAGCACGCTTCAATGGCGAGATCATAAACGCAGATGCCATGCAAATGTACAAGGGTTTGCCCATCATTACCAATAAGATCTCACTGGAAGAGCAACGCTCTATTCCACATCACCTTCTGGGCAACATCAGTTTGGACCAGGAAACCTGGGTCGTGGGAGTTTTCAAGCGCGAAGCCACCCGCGTCATTCAAGAAATTCGCAGCAGAGGCAGGGTACCTATAGTCGTCGGAGGTACCCATTACTACACCAATGCCTTGCTTTTCAGAGACAGCCTGGTGGAGAAGGAGGATGCATCCCCCGACACTACGCTGGTCCAAGACAACTCGGCCCAACATCCGATCTTGAACGGTACCACCGAAGCCATGTGGGAAAAACTCAGAGAGGTCGATCCTGTCATGGCTGACAGGTGGCATCCCAACGACAGACGAAAAATACGTCGCTCCCTAGAAATATTTCTCACCACGGGGAGGCCAGCATCCGAAATCTACGCCGAGCAGCAGACTAGGAAGAGAGCTGAAGCTGCGCTGCAACAGGACTTTTCAAAGCCTGACGCTGTGCTCTTCTGGGTCCACTCCGAGGCTCAAGTGCTAAAGGACCGACTTGACAGCAGAGTTAATAAAATGCTGGATAATGGTCTTATGGACGAGGTCACGGAAGTCAACGATTATCTCAAGTCTAAATTGGAATCCGGAGAGCCTGTTGACTTCAGTAGGGGCATATGGCAGTCGATTGGCTTCAAGGAATTTCAGCCTTACCTGGGAGCCGTGGAAAGGGGTGCTGATGCCAAGGATCTTGAGAAACTGAGGCTCGAGTGCCTTGAAGTCATGAAAACCGCGACCAAGAGATATGCCAAATACCAAACGAAATGGATATCGAAGCAGACGTTGCCTTCGTTGGAAGAGGAAGGGGACCAGGACCGGCTTTATGTGCTAGACAGCACTGATGTCGCGCGGTACTCTGAAGATGTCCTCGACAAGGCAGCCTTCTTGACACAACTGTTTCTGGCCGGAGATGAGATGCCAGATCCTTCCAGTGTATCAGACGCCGCCAAAATTGTGCTGAACACTGCCATCAAGTCTGCCACTTCTGCACAAGGCACACCCTGCCGAAAGCATTGCTCAACCTGCGATACCACTCTGCTGACAGAGGAAGGTTGGCAGAAACATGTACGAGGCAAAGCGCACCGTCGCAGAGCCCGGCATGCGAAACAAACTGCATTGGTTCCTGCACAAGATATCGAGACTGCGCTTGTGGAGGCTGAGACAACTCATCCGAGCTTGTCTGAACAGCGATGATGACCACAAAGCTGTGTATCATCATTGCGAAGCCACCAGCCCATATACGACAAGATACACACAGTCTCGACTCTGGAGTTGTACACGTAAGTCCAATTTTGGAAATTAGGTGTAGTACTCAAACCATAAACTCCATACGAAACAAAGAGGTCCATTAACGCCTTGACTTTCGTGGAAAGGTGGCCTCATAAGGCCTCAACGGATTTGAAAGGCACTGATGACTTCATCCGTTATAGGTCGCCACACGGGAGTTCTGCCATGAAGACTTCTTTTCTGGCTCGCGCCGTGATGGACGCAGCACCGAAGAACTGACAGGCCGTGCGTCAAATCCTGTGTGAGCCTGCCCGGTCAACTGCAATTTCGACTGTTGGTCGGAGAGCTGCTCTCGGATCAAGCAAACAGCACGAGATTTGCATTCATTCAGAATCCAAGTCCGCTAAAGAAATCGGCGTGCTTTCTGAGAGCTGGTGGGTCTTGATGAGTGTGAGTATGCCCGAAGATGATGCCCTACAGCCAATGTGAGACCGATCTGCGCATAGATACCAATTTTCTTCGCTACGCAGGATCAGCTCATGCATGATCACATCTCCATGCATTGGCACGAGCACCTTGGGATCTCGCTGCATTTATGTGAGCTATTAGACAGGAAGTGTTCAGTGAAAGGTCTCAGCCACTTTGATACCACATGGCTGCCTGAAGTGCACATGTAAATCTCAAGGCAAGAGTTCAATTGTACCGAGGGCAACGTGTAGAGCAATAAAATACCAATAATTTTGCTACTTGTGGAATAGCAAACTCTCGTCTCACTTCAGTCTACGTATTTATCGTCCAGTACCTTGTAATCTGTTTCTTATCCATTTCGATTGGTATCTTGTTCATTTTGATTGATAGGACTCGTATGATTGTACATTTATTTGGGTATAACAAAAACACAGTTTCGAAAACAAGCTTGCAAAGGAGCGCAATTCACAACCTCAATTACCCTAGGCCGCTAAATCATAGTAGATACAACTCCCCGTCCGGAAGTTGTACACGAAAGCATGCTTCAAACCCGCATCCCGGAATTCAAGCAGCATGTCCTGCACCTCACGCACGTACTTCTTCTCAGCATTGGTGACGTCGAGCTTTCGCCAGGTGTCGGCTTCCAAGAGGCTTGTTCCCCTGATAGCGTTGAGCACGTGGTCGGTTGTCTCGATGGCCGCGATGGGCCCGTCCAGGAAGCCCTGGACGAGCTTGGCTGCGCTGCTCTGTGCCTGCTCGACGACCGTCTGCCTGTTAAACTTCTTGGACTTGGTTTGTGCGGTTAGCACCCGTACTTCTTGCTGATGGTGACCCTGGTTGGAGTACGGGAAGGGGCTTGTGTCGCCGAGAGAGTTGTTGCCCTCGGCGTGGGCCATCCCGCCGCGAGGTCGAGAGGGCATGGTGGTGGCCTTTGTATTTGAGTCGCGCTCGCGCATATCGCCACGCAACCAGTTCAACAGCTCCCTTGCTGGTAGATCTTCGTCAGGAACGTTACGCCAAAATGTCTTGATCTTGAGTATGTCCGCTTTGACGATAATCATCCACGCGGGCTGCTCTTCCGGCCGATCGGGTATCAGCTCGTCGGGTGAACGAGCCTCATCTGCGAGCTCTGCGCTAATGGCATTAGTCTGTAGGCTGCGTAGGACCTCGAGCGCGGTTGATCTCCTGATGACCGGGTCAAAGCTGGCCACGAGAACGTCGCAGCGTTTTCCGCTGAACAGGCCATGGACTTCTTCTTCCGCTGCCTTTTTCAAGAAAGCCTTTCCACCACTCCTTGCGGGTACTTGGGCCAGCTTTTCCCAAGGGAGGCTCACCCCGACAGCATGCCGCTCCCCCACCAAGCTGCTCCCCGCCTTGTGACGATGTTCCTTTATCAAGCTGTCGTATCGTCCTCCGGCAGCCAAGACAACTCTGACCTTCTTGTCAAATACGCAGGAAAACATGAGGCCACCTCTGAAAAATGCTTCGTTGACAGAGTATAACGGACTGATGTAAATCTTGGTTTTAACTCCAAGGACTTTGCAGTATTCGTAGACCTCCTTCAGGTGAGCAATCGTGGATGAGGCCTTTTGGTAGATGTCGGTGTTTCCGAATAGGGTTTTCAGCTTAGAAAATGTTTTGGCCGGCGTATCCCGAAAGTCGAAACGCTGAAGCTCGTCGACACTGGTCGCGGAGACACCACACTGAGGCGAGCGCAGTTCACCTCGCAGCTTCTGCCAGGTCACGCCTTGAACGTTCAGCCTGCTCAGTGTTTCCGCAGCTGCTCTCCTCACAGTGTGCTCAATACCACAATATTCGAAGATGAGCTGAAGGAGGTCAGAATGGCCAAGCTGGAATGCCATCTGGCTGGAGGACAGCGTCGGGAAGGCGGAAATAATGTCATCAACCACTGATAGAACGCGAGCTTCTTTCAAAGACAAATCTAGAGTGTTGTTTGCCACAATGTCAAAATCCGCAACACCTATTTGATTGGGTTGGCCACCGCCATGCTGTTCTCGGTAGACGCTCCCAAACGAGTAAGAGTGCTGGGGAATCGTAGTTGTTGACTTGGCAAGCATGCGGGCGCGACCCATCTTCAGATCAAAGGGTAGCTGCAGTAGACTACCGTTGTGGTCCAGGAGCTTGACTGCGGTGGTGTAATGAGACGATGAAGGGTATAAGCTCGGTGTGGGCGCCTCAACGGCTCCATGGCACTTGAAAATAGAGATCAGCGTCTCCTTCACAACACGCTGACGAAGGAGCTCAGTAGTCGAGAAAGTTTGTGTCTGCATGTCCCAAACAAAATCTTTTGCCTGGTCTACTTTTCTGGAGAACAATGTCGACAGAATTTTTTCGTAAAACGGAGAATTGGGATCTGCCACGCCAGCACTGTGATAGGAATATTAGCTGTGGCTTTCAACCAAGCTTCAGAGCAGAATTGCGCAGGAAGAACTTGGGAGGCATTGGGGGTGGGGTATATGGAATCTTACATCGCTCGCCGAATAGTGTCGCTCTCCATCTCATCCGGAAGCTTGTTGCTCTTCAACAGCTCGGTACTGGAAGGGCGCTCTTTCGGGTTGTGAGTGAGCAGAGACATGATTATTTCTGCTTGAGCTGCCCCAGGGTCAAAATCAGATGGCAAGACAGGGTGTGATCTGCGTAGGTCCTCAAGAACCTGCGCTCTCTGCATGCCGAGCATCGGCTGATAGCACATCTCGAAGAACATGATGCCCAGCGAGTACATCTGATGGCATTAGCACGTTAGTATATCCTTGCTGGTGACCGTATAAGAGAGAAGATGCCAGAACAGTCGCCAGGGTGACCCAGTGAAGCGCTGTTAGCAGGTGTGAAAATTACTCACATCGACTTTAGAGGTATAACTGCCACTGCCGCCTGATTTGACCTCAGGGGCAACGTAAACGGACGTTCCGACGCTTCTCGTCATATCCGCTTGATCCATGACGGATGGATGTGAATGTGCCTTGTCTGCAGCTATGAGACCCTTGCTAGCCAGTCCAAAATCTCCTATTTTGACATTATTAACGCCATCCGGGCCAACACTAATGAATATATTGTCCGGCTTGAGATCACGGTGGACAATGTTCAAGCTATTGTAAGAAGCGCATCAAATTAGCTGTTCGAAAAATATGATTAGGAAAAGGATTATTTACCTGTGTATATGGACCAGGCCCTGCAGAATCTGACGAAAAAGTCGCCACACTTCTGTCTTGTTCTTGGCCAGATTTCTTGCGATAAGGTCGCGAAGTGTCTGAGAGTACGTCAGTAAATCACTAGACATTATGGCATGAATCTTTGAGAGCACAGCTGGCTATTCGGTCATCCCACATAAGGCCACTCCGTGGGGGTTTATCCTAAGGGGTCTCTGTCGCGGGAATTTTGGCAAGTCAAGAGATGAACTCACTCGCTTCTCGCAATACTCCATGGATATGTACAAGATTGTTCTGAAAGGCCTGTGACTTGGCCGTCGTGTTCGCTTTCGTACAGGCAAGACATGTTGAGCCCCTTTCGTCCCTTGTGTATCAGTCCCAGACTCTTCATCTGACTCGTCTGAATCCTCTTCGTCGGTACTTTCGTCATAGTCATCGTCGCCGTTATCATCATCATCATCATCATCATCGACGGCCTCACTGTCGTCGTCACCAAACTCAATATCCAGCCGTCTGCTTGAAGAGATGAAGTCTAGGCCGCCTTGGCTTGTAGCGAATTCGATATTGAATCCACCTTGTGATACAGTATCTCGAGAGAGCTCCGTGCCGCCAGCGTCGGTCGAAGTCTCCTCGTCAGCCGTGTCCGATATGTCGTACGCCTCCTCTAGCCAGGTGTTGAAGTAACGCACGACAGCCGGGTGACTCAGTTGTGAGAGAAGCCGTACCTCTTTCAACACCTCCGTCAAGCCTCCCTGGGAACTAGATGAGATTTTCTTGATGGCATATACCTGACCGTCAAGCTTCTTGCGAGCCTTAACGACCTCGCCGAAGCCTCCTTTGCCAAGGCGGCCCTCTTCAACAAAGTCTTCCTTATATCTCGATGAAGTATGGCCACGATTTGTCGTGGAATTGTGCCGGGATCTGCTTCGAATCGGTGTGATTTGGGGCAGAGAGCCAAGTGTGGTGCTGGACTGGCCAGCCGATGTATTCTCGACGAATAGAGGGGCATCTGTGGCTAGAAATTCACTCGAGCTCAACTCGAAAGCACGCGGTCTCTTCTTCGGATCTGATTTGAAGAAGAATGCCACCAACTCTTCTAGTGCATCAGATAATGACAGCGAGTCCATGAGATCTACCGGCGAATGATACTTTTGAGCCACATCGAGACCAAGTATCATTTGGAGGAAGACGAGCCCAAAGTCCCAGATATCCGTCTTCTGAGTATATTGCGCCTTGGAGGCAGCCGCAATCTCGGGAGGAAACCAGTAAGCGGACTTCGTATCCCTCATAGACGTCAATGTTTGGGTCGTCGTGCACAGATTGTGCAGTTCTCTCTGGTAACCGGCATCAGCAAGTTTTGGAATCATGTCTCCTGTCGGTTCTGTCACCAGTAAGATGTTGCCGGGGTGGATATCCTGATGCACGACTCCTTGGCTGTGCAGCCAGCCCAGAGCGTCGAGAAGATTGACGGTGCAGCTCCGGACCCTGTTAACATCCAGATGGCCCGACCACCGAAGCAATTTTTCCAGGGACCCGTCTTCAGCAAAAGGACTCAGCACACTGACATTCCAGCTCATAGTGTTCGCAATGTCGTTAGCAGCCCGGCCTATCTTGTAATCGAGAACCTCGAGGACAGCCTGGTGGCGGAGCTTTTTCATCGTGTCCAGCTCCGACTCCAAAGCCTGTAACTGCTTCTTGAACTGCACTTGTTCCTTCCCTGCAGAGTGGACCTGTATCTGCTTCAATGCAAGCCTGGGTCGCTTTTGTCCTGTGGGTACTACTGGACGCACTTCGTACACCATTGTTATGGGCCCAGCGAGGAACTCGGTCTTGCCTGTGACTGCATTGAAGACGATGGAGTTTCCATCAACGTCCGTCAGTCTACAAAGCTGATCGAACACGATGCGTTCACCGTCGGAATCTTGAGTGCCATCAACTGGGCTGAAGGCGACATGGCTAGGCGGGTTCTTCCTTCTTGACTCTTTCACCCTTTCGTCCTGACGTCTGAGCTCCTGCTGCACCATTTGACCGAGATACTTCTCCTCTTCCTTGGTGTCCTGGAGCTTTTTTTGCTCTTCTTTGTCCTTCTGTTCCCGTGCAAGCTTAGCCACGGCAGCTTCATGTGCCGCTCGTTCTTGCTCGAGGGTAGGGAGAGCGCGCCCAGCAATCTTGGCCTGAGCAGCCTCCTCCAGGATCTCTCTGATGCCCTCGACAAGACTCATCATCATGACCTCCTCCTCCTTGACGAACTCCTTGGACTGTGTCTCGACATATATCTGGACTTTGTATAGAGTAGCCTCCTTCAGATTGCCGTGGTCCTTCAGGGTGAGCAGTGGTGGCGATTTGGGATACGTGGCTACTAGAACCACTCCCAGGGTAAGAGCCACATCCTCATCAGCAGCGGCTTTGATGTGAATGTCGAACGACGGCTCAGCCTTCTTCCAAGCACTGTGAGCAGCCTTGATTACGAAGTCGGCGCCGTAGATTGCCTCAAGCGCAGTGATTTCATCCTGTTGGCGTTCCTCGTAGCTAGCCTTTAGAGCTGGGGACTGCGGGCCCGATGGACCTTGCTTGGGCTCATTTTTCTCTATGTTCTTTGGAGCAGTCTTGTTTCTCTTCTTGCCAGCCATAATAACATGAAGATCATGGTTCTCAGATAAGCCAAAGACTTCGCATGCGTTATCTGGGAGGCAGGCGGTGGGAAGGATAATCACGTATGGGTTGTGGATGATGTTTGCGAGGAAGTCTGTTTTGGCTGGTACACCTTTATGACATGAAGACCATACTAGTAGTTGTGTGCACAGTATCGTTGCCCAGTGTGTGGTGTATTAAATGTTGGCAGGTTGTTGAGAGAAGCAGCCTCGAGGGAAGAGTGCACTGTACAGTAGGAGGAGTCAGATTCGTCCAATGCAGCAAGAAGTTCAGATGACCTAAAGGCCCCCAATTGACCGACTTCAGGTCCACGGTAGGGCTGAGCTGCAGGCCAGCTCCCCTGCCCGGATCCCTGGGCGGGGTCGTCTCTTCGATGAGATATACCAATGGCCCAAAGGCGTTCAGCTCGTCTCGTCCACAACTCCCTGCATAATCTATCAGATGAGCCACACCTGGAAAATGGACGGGCACAATTCACTGGCTTCTCAGAATTCGACTAGAGGAAATGGTGTGCCCATGTACCGCGAGCCGACAGTCAATTGTCAATGCTATATAGGGACCTGAGGATGCGGGCGGCTCCATTTTGGAGTGCATAAGTCACCAGTCCAAGTATGGACAGCGCATGTGAATGCTGGGTGCTACCCAGGTACGCACCTAGTGAGGTAGTCAATCTCAGGACAGCAGAATGCATCTGAGAATATTTTGGTGTCTTGAAAATTCTATGCATCGTTGAGTTGACAACCTTATCTCACCCTTGGATATTGAGCCTGTCTCTCCATGCCAGGAGCTGGTGTCCGTGTAAGTTCGTGTACCTAGGTACGTCGGAGCTTCCGCTGCAGCTTAGCGCCAGTCCAACCTTGCAGAGGCCTTCAGTGCCACCCGGGCGCCTGCAGCAATTGCCCGGTCTACCGCCAAGCACCCCCATGTAAACATCTAAGAACGCGACACTCCAACTTCCTGCTCAATTCGCGTCAACCCCCTACGATCCAGCCCATTTGAAGAACTTCATGATTACAATTGACTCTTAGCAATATCACCTAAGATCAAACCTCAACCCCGGCCACGATGCTCGGCTGGGCCTTGCATAAGGCAACGGGCAACGCGCCCCAGAACGCGCCCACTCCTGGTCCAGGTACGCTTCTCGCGCTTGAACCGCCCCCGGGACTACCACTCACGCACTCTATCTACAGATGACACCTTCGTTGAGCAACCAGACACACCCGCCCCTGTATTTGCAGCACGCGCATTCAAACGCGCCCTCTTTGGCACGCCTGCCCCTCAGAGGGAAGTCCAGTCTAGGAAGGAGACCAGGGCTGCCGCGGCAAAGTCAGAGAGGCCCAGACCTTCCGCTGGCGACGACAACAAGAGATTTGATTCTCCCACAAGACCACAAGGCATTCTCCTCACACCAGGCACCGGAACGTCGCGTCGGAAACGCGTCTCATTTGGGCGCGATGTGAAGCCCAACACCGCCCCGGCCAATGTTGAAGCCGCCAAGTCACGTCCGCGCACAAAGCTACAGGAAGCCCTCGAGAAGTCGCGCAAAGAGAACAGCCGGCAGTCCAGCGAGGATGCAGCCAAGAAGCTCAACTTCGACCCAGAAGAGGCTGAGGGCGACGGTGCTTGGGAAGAGGTTGACGAGCTCGACCGCGAGCCCGACATCACAGTGGACCTAAACGAGCCAAGGTCCCAGTCCGGACAATACTGGAAGAGCGAGTTTCAGAAGTATCACGAGGAAGCGCGAGCCGAGATGGAGAAGCTTGTTAAGTACAAGCAGCTGGCCAAGTCGTATGCGAAAGCCAAAGACGCCGAGGCTCTCGACTTGAACGAGCGGCTCAAGGAGGAGCAGTCCAAGGTCGACCAGATGGAGCAGAAGATCACGGAGCTTGCTGGCCAGGTTACGGCGAGGCAGAGCCAGGGTAAAGACACCCGAGACGACAGAAAGCTCATGAAAGACCTCACGCGCCAGACGGCCCTGGCCGTACAGTACAGAGAACAAGTTGAAGAGCTGGAAAAGCTACTTCGAGAGTCAGGGTATGACACTGACGGAAACCGCCGGCGACGCGGTGGTACATCCCCGAGGACTGCGCAGACACTTCTCGAGACCCAACGAGAGCTTAGGAAGGCCCGTGAGCAAGTCCAAGAGCTGAATGATTTGCGCCATGAGCTCAAAAGTGTCAAATCAGAGTTGAGCGCGACCGAGCAGCGAGGCCTGAAGCTCGAAGTCGAGAAGAAGAAGGCCATCGCAGACCTGGCTAAGAGTGAGATAAAGGTGGCAGATCTAGAACGGAAACTGGCCAAAGCTGAACACGACCGACAAAGGAAGGATAACCAGTATGAAAAGCTCAAAGCCGACTACGATGCCCTCAAAGAGAAGAACAAGATGCAACGAGCGCCCAGGACAGTGGACACGCAGCAGCTAAGGGATGACATCAAGTTGCTTTCAACCGGACGCGAAGCGCAGAGTCACTGGGAAGATAAATTTGTCGATCTGCAGGTCAAAGTAAGAGAGGAGCAAGACAACCGTCGGCGGACGGTGGAGGATGCGAGAGCCATGACCAACAATCTCAGGCTGGAACATAAGAGAGCCTCGGATAGCAGGTCGCTTGGCCAACGGTTTCAAAGCTTGAGAAACAACGGTGATGACGGGACTGAAGATATGACTCATGATCTCCTGCAAATCAGGCCTCGCATGGAGGACATGCAAAACGAGACGCCTCTCGTTCGTTCGGCTTCCCGCGCGAGTAAGAGGAAGGCTTCTGGACCGGCTGCTCTTGAGCATCATTTTCTTCCTGAAGAAGACTTCACGATGGACACTCCTAGTCGCAAAATCAACCGAACTCCTTCGCGAGAGTTCAGAGTGTCAAAGTCTCCACGGGCCAAGAGCAGCAGGGTTTCTGCGAACCCGGCCGCGCTCAATAGTGAGCCCAAGAGTCCAGCCCTTGGTCTGGGCCGAGACAGGGCGCGGACTTGGAAGCTCGACCCTGTGCCGGACAAGCCACAGCCGGATGTCATTTCCTCCAGACCATCGTCCCTTTCTGCTGATCGTCGAGCTGCTGCTATCGCCAGGCTGGAACAGAAGAGAGCGGAACGGAGACGGGGCCATGAGAGTGCGGCTTTACCTGGCAAGGAAAACTTGAGACCCTGAGCGAGTGCTGTTGGCGGAAAGGGGTAGAGCGGGCTTGTACGCTGGTGAGGATCGTTCATTGTTTGTATTAGCGACTTTGCACAGGGCTTTAATTTGGTTGTTCCGAAGTTTGGCGTCTGGTGTACCCTGGAAATACCATGAATTTGTTCCTGGGCAGTAAGCCTGGTTTTGTGTATTTGGATTTCCTGATATAGGTGATTAGAGCCGGTCCGTTGTGAGCGCTTGCCCCGCAGCCTTTCATGTACCAAAATAAGAGACCGTGCCAACCATTCTCCGTTCCACTCTACTACACATTTCATAACATATATACTCGAGTATGAACTCGAAGTCGCGGGAAAGAATCGACAGCGAGTCGGAAGATTTGATCGAGACTGAGATTCAAGACTTGGAGCAGAGGTTAGAGCATGCAAAAGCCCGCCTCAGAACCCGCAAAGCAGCCGCGGCTCATAAATCTCACAATGGCGATGACATTCATCAACCTGCACTCACACTTCATGGCGAGTCTACTTCACACTGCCAATTGATAGGAAAGTAACTAACCTGGCCACCAGGTCTCCCTCCGCACAAGACAACCCACTTTCTCTTCTTGCTGTCCGACTCCGCCCTGCCACTAGGCTCCTTCGCCTTCAGCAGCGGCCTCGAGTCGTACCTCGCTCACAACCGCAGCGCGCCTCATCCCTCATCGCAACCGCGCCACTCACAGTTCGACCTGTTCCTGCCCATCTCAGTTTCCTCCTATGCATCCACCACCCTGCCGTTCGTCCTGGCGGCGCACCGCGAGCCCCAGCGGCTCGCCGAGCTGGACGACTACCTCGACGCGGCGGTGATCTGCACCGTGGGCAAGCGCGCGTCCGTGGCGCAGGGGCGCGCCCTTCTGGGCATCTGGGAGCGCTCGTTCGCGGCGTCGTCTGCGCTCTCGGCGTCCGCCCGGGAGCACGACGCCTCCTTGCTGAGCCTGGGGGAGTACTCCCGGGCGCTGCGGACGCCGGCCAAGGGGCTTGATGAGACGGGGCTGCCTCCCGTCGCGGCTCACCTCGCGCCCCTCTTTGGTGTCATTTGCCATATCGTCGGGCTGAGCCTGCACCAGACGGCGTATATATTTATGCTTGGCCATGTCAAGGCTCTCATATCCGCCGCTGTCCGGGCCAACCTGTTGGGGCCGTATCAGGCGCAACGGGTGCTGGCGAGCAGCGAGGTGATGGGGATGATTGCTGCGGCTATTGATAGGGAATGGGACACGCCTGTGGAAGAGGCAGGACAGAGTGTTCCGGTGATGGATCTCTGGGTTGGGAGGCACGAGGTTTTATATAGTAGGATATTCAACAGTTAAGAGGCTGTGGTTGCACAAATATGAGTGTCTTTACTATGTGGTATCAAGTTGAATTTTTGACCCTGTCATCTGCTATGCGCCATGCTCGAGTGGCCGCTATCTTCCTAGTCGCTATCATCGTCGCTGTCATACGCAACTAAAGGGCCTGTTGATGCTTTCTTTTCCTTGGACGCAACTGCCACCTGGGCAGAGTTCAGAGCTGCCAGCGTGCTGCTCGAGAAGATCCCGTTCTCCTCGAGTTGCCTCTGGGTCTGATCTGCCGCAGCCTGCGCCTCAGCCTCTCCGCTCTCAAGCATGAAGCGTTGCTCCTCCTCCAATCCCATTTCCTCGCCATTACCTGCCCTTGCCCTCGGGTTGACAGCATTCTCTCCCCTGGCAAAGTGCACTTCATCCGGCGCCTCATAGCCTTCCAAGCCGTAACTGCTTTCCAGCTTCCTGCGCTTTCTCGCCTCCGGATCTCTGCCCTCTATCTCGGCAACGAACTCCTCCGGCAGCGCGCGTCGAATCGCCTCCGCGGCTTGCTCCTCGATTCTCCTCGCCTCTCTTGCCTGTGCCATCGGATTGGGATCGGCTGTTGCCCATCGTACGTTCAGGATCTCGCTGTGGTCTAAGCTCTGATGGGCCATTGACTCCTTCGCGAACTGGGCATTGGCCTCATTTGAATACGTGATAAAAGCGACGCCCCTCGTGTTCAGAACTCTGACACGCTCGACCTCTCCCCATTCGGCGAAGTGGCGCGCCACGATCTCCTCGATGTCGTCGCTGACATGAATTCGTCCGACATATATGGTGCGATTTTGCCGCATGAATGAGCCCACTCCGCCCATGTCATCGCGGTAGTCGCTGAATTTGTCTCGGCCGAAGCAGTCGACGTTGGGGTTGAAGAGGTCGTGGATCGTGGGTAAGCGGTGCAAGTATTCGCAATCTTGCCCTTTGGGACCTGTCATAACATCTCTCGTGAGCTAGGTGTGCCTTGGGGAAAATGTCGAAAGAGACGGAGGGAGACCAAGCAAGCATACATATTCCTCGCGCAAAGAAGAGGCAGAAGTAGGAGCCGGGCACCTTGTCCGCCTTGGTGTATCCGGTGTCCTTCGCGATGTTGCATCTTCCTTTTGCCGCCTTCTGTGAAGCATATTTGTCCTCGCGATCGCCTCCAGACCATTTATTGTACCAGATGTTGAAGATGGTTCCAGTCTGTGGTGGTGGTTCCGACTTGATGAGAGCGGGATCGATTTGCGGTCGCGCTGGGCGCTTCTTCCTCCTGATGATCTTCTTCACTTTTCTGACCGCAGGCTCCGCCACATCATTGCTTGTCGTTGTGAGCGCGAGCTCTTCTTGGTTTTCTTCTGGTACGTCAGCCATTTTCGTCTCGTGATGGTAAGGCGAGGTTCGTTGGTGGGCGGATGGTAAGAGACTCGGATTGGTAGTCAACTGTATGGCAAGCAGTAGGTACAAGGCTGACCAAGGAAGGACCAGAGCGAGCTTTGGGGCAAATTTAAGTGGGGCGCGCAAAGCCCAGAGTGCCCCTCCAGACAGCCGCTGCAGCGCTCATCTTGCCGCATATCATTCACTCACTACTCATCGAGAACACACGGAAATCCGTAAATCGAGAGGAAGAAATAGACTCGGCCTCGAGGTCTGTGATTTCTATCCCTGTGTGGGTTATAGACAGGTTCTTTCGCTTCAGTCGTTGCGAACAGTCAAGGTCCAGGGACTTCGATGTGCCGATACATTCAAGCGTCGAACTCATTCATATAGAGAGAGGCACGACGAACATACCCGGATCTCGACCTGGCTTAAGCAAAAGCTTATCCCCTTCACCCAACTTTACATCCTTCTTCAGTACATCATCGTGACCTCAGGTCACACCCGCCGCCAAGATGGTCAACATTGTACGTATTTTAAAAACAGTCCTTCATTCTCTCTCCCCTGTTCCAGCTTGCTCTTTCCGCCTCTCGACGATGAGGAAATATGTGTCAGGCGACCACATGAGCTCCTGCTTTGCAACTTTTCCAGATGGGCTATAGCTGACTCCCCTGCTCGCCTAGACGGACAAGATCAAGGAGATCGAAGATGAGATGAAGATGACCCAGAAGAACAAGGCGACAAACTATCACTTGGGTCTTCTTAAGGGAAAACTTGCTCGGCTTCGTGCTCAGCTCTTGGAACCCACCCCCGGGTCCGGAGGTGGTCCTGGATCCGGCTTCGATGTGAGCAAGAGCGGTGATGCACGAATAGCATTGGTGGGATTTCCATCTGTGGGAAAGTCCACCTTCCTCTCGAAAGTCACCAAGACGAAATCTGAAGTCGCGAGTTACGCCTTCACGACGCTCACAGCCATCCCGGGTGTCTTGGAGTACGGCGGTGCGGAGATCCAGCTTCTCGATCTGCCCGGTATTATAGAAGGCGCGTCAGAGGGAAAGGGCCGAGGAAGACAAGTCATTTCTGCAGCTAAGACGAGTGACTTGATCTTGATGGTGTTGGATGCCACAAAGAGGGCAGAGCAGAGGGCGCTGCTTGAGGCGGAGTTGGAGGCCGTTGGCATCCGTCTAAACAGGGAGCCGCCGTGAGTCCTGCACACCAAGGCTTTTGCGGAAATCGCACTAACAAGGTATCTACAGAAACATTTATCTCAAGCCGAAGAAGGCAGGAGGTATGAAGATCAACTTCCAGAACACGCCCAAGAACCTCGACGAGAAGATGGTGTATAATATCTTGCGTGACTACAAGATACTCAACTGTGAGGTCCTCATTCGCGATGACGAGGCAACAGTGGACGATCTGATCGACGTGATCATGAAGAACCACCGCACCTACATCAAAGTGAGTATATATAAAAGCTTCTTTCATTCATGGCGGTTTGAATGGCTGCTAGCGAAAATTGCAGAGCACTCACGCCTCCTGCGACCACACTCACTGCCACTTTCCTCGTAATGAGGTGTGGAAAATACCTAGGTACTTGCTAACGTATTCCCAGTGCCTTTACGTGTATAACAAGATCGATAGTGTCTCCCTTGACTTCCTGGACCGGCTGGCGCGTGAGCCCAACACCGTAGTCATGAGCTGCGAGCTGGATCTTGGTATCCAGGACGTGGTTGACAGGTGCTGGAAGGAGCTGGCTTTGATACGGATTTACACGAAAAGAAAAGGCATCGAGCCAGACTTCAGTGAAGCGTTGATCGTGAGAAGTAATAGTACCGTAGAGGATGTCTGTGATCGCATTCACAGAACCCTCAAGGACACCTTCAAATTTGCCATGGTGTGGGGTGCAAGTGCCCGACACATACCACAGCGTGTTGGGTTGGGACACGTCGTGGCAGACGAGGACGTTGTGTACATCTCAACAGCATGGAAGGCGTAAATGAAATACAATTCTGGGGCTGCAAGCGTTTCGTCTGGCAAGCAAATGCATGTCTGCGCTTCATTATTCTCTGGCAGTGTTTTATGCTGATCATCAATTCGTTACCCTGGGGATGTTCCTTTCCATTGCCCCCAACCCGTCAAATGCACTGGTATAGTCGTCTCTTCCTGAAAACGCCGAAGCCCTGGAAACCTTGGTACCACCGATCCAGCCAACCCTAAACAAGAGCCCATCCATCACCTATTATGTGAACAAGGCCGAGCGAGAGCCCTGGCATCTCGGGCACCGCAAGCAAAGGGCATCAGTGCCGGAAAACCCAACCTCTTGAGGACCGAAAGAGCCCAATCTGTATTTGACAAAGGAGAAATATTGTGGTAGAATAAATCGCATGAGAAACCACAGTTGGACTCTATGCGTTGTTGGATGACGGGGAATCGGCCTTGGAGCCAAAGATACCCTCGTTGCCTCGCAACCTCTTAGACGATGCTTGGGCGAAGAGAGACTTGGGCTTGACCCTGTGTTGAAGAGGAAGATTAGCAAACATCCTCTACTTCACTCCTAGCCTTGGTCGGAAATACGTACTTGCCAACTTGCTTGTTGCGAAGGGCGTTCAGCTTGGCTGTGCAGGGTGACATGATCTCGTCTGAAGGAGAGACGTAGGTGGTTCCGGACCTGTGATCGCGTATGAGCATTGAGTCTGAGTGGATGTGTAGCTTTCCAGGGCCAAAAAAAACCTACTGTTGCGCCTCCATCTTGGATTGCAAGACCTGGCGGTGGTACTCCATGCTCTTGACTGATGAGTCCTTGCCGGTGAGAGGGGCAGCGGCAGCCACGGGCAGGTTGGCGTCCTTTGCGCCCAGCACGTTCGCGCCGGTGTTGCCAGTGGTGGAAGACATTTTCGTCTCGGGTGATGTATCGCTAGCAATTCCTATTCTGTACAATGGACGCTCGGGATGTATGTTTCGTAGGTGCGTGTGGGTGGATGCAGCTGTGGATGGATCGATGTGGGCTTTTTTTTTTTGGGTCTTCGATTGCACAACGGAACAAGAGAGCTTTAGGATTGTGAAGGGTCTGTGTTTAGTGAATGGGACCGTGGATTGTTTCTCAAAGGTCTTGGGGTTTTTAAAAGCTATCCGCTGCAGGGTATTGGCAGGAATGACGGGAGGCGTCGGGCTGTTTACTTTCAGGGACCGTCGTCAAGGGCAACCGTCAACTTTTTTGCCTCTTCCCCGTACAGAGTCACTGCTAACCCCTGCAAGTGCTAGCGTCCGACCCCTGTCTCTGTGATCAGCTCCACTATGACAGCACTGCAACGGGTCAACGGCCACGGCAACATCCACACGACAAGACTTACGGCTGAGTGATCTGCATGGGAAATTGTGCCGAAAGTCAGAATGTTCAATTATAGCTCGTAAGGATCCCAATAACTATGCAAAGCGGGCCAAGACAGATGCATTCATTCGGATACATGAGGTCCGACAGAACATACCCTTGAGGCTTACACACAGGACGCGTGAGGATATCTCACGGGAGGTCACCTCACAAGAGGATATCCTACAGGCGGTTACCCCATGAGAGATTATCATCGTGGACTGTTATGTGATAGGCAGGTTATCCTGCAGGAAGACTGTCCACAAGAGGATTATGCCCGGTCAACCCAGACGCCAACTTGTCCGGGTCTTAGCGAGCATGTATCTCGATCAATTTTGGTTTTCTGTGGACCGTCCTGCACTATACAACAAATTTACAACTTGGATCTCTGGATGTTCTGGCCCGGCTGCGCGTGCTTCAACCCGTACTTCTTCAACAGCTCCTCTGTCTTCCGCTTCTGCATCTCGATCTTGGCTGTGACTTCTTTGCCCCTCTTGTTCTCATTCTTACCCATCTGCTGCAGATGCACCTCGTCCGGACCGTCTGCCAGCCGCAGCGTCCTGATGCCCGCCCACATATATGCCAGCGGTGTGTCCTGGCTGACACCGGCACCGCCAAATGACTGCACCGCGCGGTCGATCACTGTCAGGGCCATCTGCGGGACGAGGACCTTGGCCTCGGCAATTTCCCGCAAAGCCGCCTTCGGACCGTGGTCGTCCATGGTGATGGCCGCGTTCAGCACAACGAGGCGGGCGGCGTCGATCTCGAGCCGGGACTTGGCCACCCATTCGAGGATCACGCCGTGCTCGCGTAGCTGCTTCTTGAATGGAGTCTTTGTGGGATCATTGATGCGCATCAGCATCCACTCAAGAGCTTTCTCCGCCTAATGGTCAAAAAGATCAGCTTGTTGTCTCACATCTGGGAATGCTGGCCGCAGATCAATGCACTTACTGAGCCAATAGTCCGCATAGCATGGTGAATACGGCCAGGGCCGAGTCTGCCCTGGATGATTTCGAAGCCGCGGCCTTCGCCCAGCACGAGGTTGCTCACCGGCACGCGGACGTCCTTGAAAGATATGTGCCCATGACCGTGGGGCGCATCATCATACCCATATACATTCAACATGCGATGGATGGTGACGCCCTTGGTGTCTGCTGGCACAAGGACTACGGACTGCTGCCGGTAGGGGTCCTTGTTGTGAGGATCGGACTTGCCCATGACGATGTAGATCTTGCACCTAGTATCTCCTGCACCACTGGACCACCATTTCTGCAATGATGATCAGCCGAGATTCAGTACACGTTCGCGTGCCAGACAAGGTCCTTACCTGGCCGTTCAAAACATATTCATTGCCCTCCTTGCGGATATCAAGCTCAATGTTAGTAGCATCACTGGAGGCTACTTGGGGCTCAGTCATGAGGAAGGCAGATCGGATCTCGCCCTCGAGCAGCGGCTTCAGCCACTGTGCCTTCTGCGCATCATTTCCGTACTTTGCTAATACTTCCATGTTGCCCGTGTCTGGGGCTGCACAGTTGACTGCCTCTGAGGCGGACTTGGACTTGCCGAGCCACTCAGCCATGAGGCCGTACTCAAGGTTTGTGAAACCTGGAGACTCTTTATAGTGTCCCTTGGGCAGGAACATGTTCCAAAGACCAAGAGCACGAGCCTTCTGCTTCAGCTCATCAATGATGGTTGGATAGTGGTCCCATCTCGCATCCCCCGAGCCCACCTGGGCCTCGAGGACTGGATCAGCTCTGGCGCTGGTCAGTCATGGCGGTCCTGTGACGCAGAATGGAGCACGGCAACTTACGGGATGCACTCCTCTTCAACGAATTTGGCGACAATGTCCAATGTCTTCTTTGCTTGCTCGCTCACGCGATGCTTGCACTAGGGCGTATCGCAGCTTTAGCCATAGCACTTGGGGCTCATGGATCTGATCCAGGCCTGTATATGCAGACTTACAATCTCTGGAATTCTAGACGACATGATGGTCTGATGACAGTATTGTTAGCTCTTGGATAAGTATTATATATGATCCAGAGTCAATCGAGGGTTTAGAGAATGGGAGTCGAAAGAAGTGGAGGAGAAGAACGAGCAATGTCGGACCATGCTTGATGTTGGGTAATAGACCTTCCGAGGTTCCCTGTCTCCCCAGGTTTGGACCGAGGCTCACCCCAAGATCTGTAGGGGGCAAGCCGACAGCGGGGAAGTGCCCACGGATAGCCTGGGGGATGGCGGCTGGCGGGGCTTCTAAGGTTGCATGGCTCGAGCATGGGACAGGGATCAGTCATCCCCGGAGCTGGGAGTTTGGGGCCCACCACGCGCTGGTCTTGGGCCCAGAGAAAACGCTGCTCTCATTGGCTTGAGGCAGGCACCTGCTTTGGTGACTGGCTGCACAGGACTTCGACGCTGCAGAGCCTCAATGTGCACCCACATACGTCTGTCACTCAATCTATCACTGCATCGACTAACTCATCACCAGCCCATCACCGATACCCCCTCTACTGCTGTTATATCAACTGTTGATTGCCCTTGAATTGGAGGAAGTTCTATATGTAATTTGATTGTTCTGAGAAGGTGGTTTCAACAGCTACTCGTATTGTTTTCAACGGACGAGTTCTCATTCAATCCCGGGAGTGTCTTCTCCCAAAGCATCGCAGACTTCGGGGCAACACCCATACGTCCAGATTCGAACCAGCTGGGGAAGGAAAGGAAGGTCCGGAGCTGGCTTCTAGCTGTGAGAACAGCCCGTGATGTCTGCACCAGGTGCTCCCGGCTCTGGTAGTGCTGGACAGGCTGGGGGAGGATATGGCGGGCAAGCTCATCATGGAGGAGCGGGTGCAGGCTCTGCTGTTGCTCAGGGGTCGTCATCATCGTCTGCTCCTGCTCCCCAATCCACGCAGAACCTCAACCAGATTGTAAGTCTCTCAGCTTCCATACAGTTACTCCAGTCTCTACCACCCCACATGAGCTCCTTGCGTGACGTCCGGTTTTGTTCATAATTCTCCCGCGGGCATGGATTCTTCTCGGATGGAGAGTCGGTACTCTGAGGGTTGAGCCCGGGGCTATCTGAAACTACCGTGTGGTTATGCAAGGCGTGGCCACCAGTGGAATAAGAGACCTGGCGGCACGCGTGTCAAGTGTCCCTCTGGCGTTCACCCGATGGCGAGATGTTCTATAGGCCGCTCTCGGGCCTACGGGACAGCTACGGCCATCTTACCTCGATACTTCCACAGTCATAGCTCAAGTGATGTTGCGCAATGTCTTGAGAGTACCCATTGAATGAGACGTAGTCTCGTACGCTGCTGGATGCCAAACTGCAGGGGAGTGTGATGATTTTAAAAGCCTCTATCTTTCTGTGAGGACTTGGGCGAGTTTGAAGTGATGGTCCTGGGAAAGGTGATTGCGGATTGGGTCATTTCAAAAAGGGAGAGCACAATCAGCCTTGCGACAAGGAGGCTGCGAGTGGAAAGACGCTGAGGTTGGCAAGGCGACCGCGTCTCGTTCCGCGAGCCTTGATGCTGGTTAATCTCCTTCCAAGGGCACAGCAGACAAACGTGTGGTGCCCAAGTCTCTAGGCGGTGTTACTACCTCATGAGACGACGGCGCCCTACACACTCGCTTACATGACATGCCCCTCAAGGCTCTCGCTCCTATTTCGTTGACAGATTTGGTCAGCCGTTCTGCAAACGAACGGGTGAAAGATGCTTAACCCGGGATCTTCAAAGTGAATTCACGACTCCAACTGGGAAGGCTTGTTTTTAAAACCCTGCCTTGTTTTTCCTTCCGATCCTCTCTCTTGCTTTCGATTCTGCTGTGGACCTTTCTAGGTGCCCTTTTCAAGAGGCGCACACCTCAAACAGATCTTCTCATCACTTTCACTTCGAGACGTACTCACAAACGGCGATGCTGACTAAACGTCCCTGTCTAGGTCACAGATTATTTGTTGAAGAGAGGCTTTCTGAGAACTGAGGAAATCTTTAGGAAAGAGTCGTCCAATCTGGGACCTGACGGTCGACCGCAGCACAAGTCGACTGACGAGATGGGAGCCAAAAAGTACGCCAGGGCGTTCAGCCTGCTGAAGAACTTCGTTGATAGCAATCTCGATTACTACAAGGCAAGTGACTTGATCTGCAACCAGCACTGAACGATGTTGACCGAATGGGCTGGCAGTTTGAGCTGAGCAAATTCCTGTGGCCCGTGTTTATTCACTGCTACCTCGAGCTTGTCGATAACGGTTACCCGACCGAGGCCAAGTCCTTTCTCACAGATTTTGGCGATGACTTCAAAGCAGTTCATGGTGACGATTTAAAGTTGCTGTCGACGGTTACACTGCCTGCGCACATCCAAGAAAATGAGACTACGATGCTCTACAAAACCTCCAAGTACCAACTTCCCGTTACCGACAAGGTCGAGGCGTTGGTGTTGGGTCATCTGGAGAAGGAGTATGACAATGGTGGACAGACCGTCATTCGATTGCTCGGACGGTACTGCACCATCAAGACCGTGGACCGGGGTCTGGCTAACCCCAAGAGTTTCTTTGCAATTTTCAACAATCAACCAAGCGTCCGTGTGGATGAGGCCGATGTTCTCGAGGGCATTCCAGGTGTTTTCACCGGTGTCAGGTCCAATGTTGCCCCTGACGTGCCACTGAAGCTCGGTCCTTTGCCAATGGAAGCAGAACTACAAGAGGAGGTTCGAGCTGAGATCGAGGAAGAGGATCGCCGCAACCCGCCAGCCGATGGAAGATCTACCCTCCTCGAGGAGTTCGACAACAAGATCAAGCGGGAAGAGAGCATGGATGGACCCGCTCGCGCCGACCTTCCACTACCAGCTTCTCGATTCAGAGACGTGTGGAGTGAAATAGAGAAGATCAGGGAGCACCGGGACCGTTTCCGTATTGAAGGCAGGACTGGTGGCGTTGGTGCAGCCGTGTCTGTCTGCATGTACACGTTTCACAACACCCTCGGAAGGCAAGTAAATTCCACTCTGCAAGCCGAACGAGGCTTGGCTAACGCTTTGGTGTAGCTATAACTGCATCGAATTCTCCAACGACCAAGAGCTTGTCGCCGTTGGCACCATGGACTCGTACATTCGTGTGTGGAGCATGGATGGGGCCCACCTCAAATCCGCGCTTGACCACGCCAACTCATCTGTGACGAACAACCGCATGCTGATAGGCCACTCTGCGCCTGTCTACGGGCTTTCGTTTTCTGACTCTGTGTCCTGGCCACACGAAAGCAAGGACACTCCAAAAGCGCCGCGGTTGCTACTGTCAAGCTCAGCCGACGGTCATATCCGGCTGTGGTCCCTCGATACCTGGTCCTGTCTCTGTATATACAAGTCTCATGACGGTCCCGTCTTCAACGTGCAGTGGGGTCCCCATGGCCACTACTTTGTCAGCGGTGGTTGGGACAAGACTGTTCGTATCTGGATGCAGGACCACGCGACACCAGTCAGGACCTGTGTCGGCCACGATACCAGCATTTCCGCCATCGCGTGGCACCCGAACGGTACATACGTCTTCTCAGCATCCGATGAGACGGACAAGTCAATCCGCATGTGGTCCGTCATCACTGGAGACTGTGTAAGAGTCATGGTCGGACACTATCATTTCATCAACGCAATTGAATGCGCTCCTAATGGCAAGATCATCGCGAGTTCTGATATTGATGGCAACATCTTCTGGTGGGACCTCGAGAAGGGAGTCTGCATCAAAAAGAGCAAGGGTCATGGAAAGGGCGGCATCACTTCCCTCAGCTTCAGTGTTGAGTCCAAGGTTCTTGTCTCCGCCGGGGTGGACAACACTGTTCGTGTTTGGGACGTGGACTTGCCTGCTGATGGTAGCAAGCCTATTGGCGGTGCGCCGGGCCAAACCACGCAGCCGGAGAACAACACTAGCACGGGGGATTCCATGGGACCCAGTGATCGCAGCATTACGGTCGGTGGACAGCCTCAACAGCCACCTGCAGCCGCAGCTTCTGCTTCGAATGCTGGTGGTGCTGCGACCGGTAGCTCTGGTGTTTCGGGCTCTGGCAGTGGTAAGAAGAAGGGGAAGGATGTGCAAATCACGGCCGATCAAATCAGCGCTTTCCCGACCAAGAAGACCGCCGTCAAGAAAGTTCGGTTCACGCGCATGAACCTAGTTACTGCGGCTGGCGTCTACGAGCCTGAGCGTTGAACGAGGCGGCTTGACGTTCCTGGCTTCTTCTTTCACTTGTGCGACGCCCATGACTTGCGGCGTAGCAATGTTTGCAAATCTTTGCCATCAAATGGTCAGAGAAGTCTTTCAAAAAAAATCAAATTTGATACCACTTTTGAGCCTTGGTATTCTGGTCGCTCTGGTATGGATAGCACCCATGTTTTGTGGCGTTAGGGAACCGCGACAGGCTTGACGCGCTACAAAAGGAGGCGGAGAGCCGGATTCTGTGGTTGGTATTGTGATTAAATTGGTTCAGCCTCCAGACGCTATCGCAGCCAAGAATTGGCCTGTCCTCCCTGAGCACTTTTCCAGTGGCCAATGGAATATGTGGTCGATGGTCTATGAACCGTTGATGAGTAGGGGCAGCCTTTTGATTTCCCTGGGAGACCTCGATGTCACGACGGGGGATAAAGATAGTGATAATACACGAAGCAACAGGCTTCAATTCATCGAGGATACCGCCATAATCACTGATGCCTAAAAATACAGTAGATAACGCTACAGTACTAGGGCCTCGAACGATCACTGCAGCTTGGTGAAATTGGCTTGGTATATTGTGTATATTGATGTTGAAGGGATATAAAAACCAGATACTCTCATGGTCCATAACGTCCATTGCTAGGCAGGGTAAATAAATGGCTGCTCTCACTGCCCAAGTGGTTTTGGGCAAGCAGCGTACCCCGGTAGCTAGGCACCCAGGCAGGCAGGTACGTCAGGGATGGCCCAAGCTTCGCCAGCCGCGCGGGCGCAGCAGCGTAGCTCGTAGCCTACTGTAGATGCAGTTCAACGGACCACGACGTACATACACTTTGGGCGCCACCCTGTTCTGCGGGAGAAGTGACTGTCAAACCGCGCGGTGTGTAACAGTTTGCACAGGCTGGAATCAGATCGACAATCGTTCCTTGATCCACACAAGCTCAGAAGACAGAACAGACGATGGATCCCCTGGGAGAATCGCCCTGGGCCGACGCCCCTGCCCAAGCACCCCCCTCCGAACCTCAGGCGGCCGGAGACAGCGATACCACCAAGCCAGCTTCAGATGCAGCACCTTCTGCCACGACTAGTTCCGGCCCCAGGCCTTCTCGTCTGACACCCCGTCGCCTTGTTGCGCAACCGACCAAGCTTCAAGCCGTCGAAGATGACCCCTTGGGGCCGCTCGGCGCCGCGGAGCCGGCGATATCTGCTACCGAAGGCGAGCCGCCGATGCCTCCGCAGAAAGAGCCACCTGCGCCCGCTGCCATGTCATCGACGCTACCCGTGCGCACGATGATGTCCCCAGGCCAGCAGCAACACCAACAGCAGAGAAGGGCCGATCCACACCGTGTTGACGACGACGACGATGGAGATGAGAGGCTGGGAAGCTCAAGCGGAAGAGCACCACCTCCGGTACAGGTCGCTACGCCCGTGCAAGGAAGAGGCGCCGGACCGCCGAGTGTCAGTGTTGAGCAAGCGGCCAAGCCCACCTTCACCATCACGGTCGGGGATCCGCACAAGGTCGGCGATCTGACTAGCAGTCATATCGTGTATGCTGTGCGGACAAAGGTACGTTTCATTCGTTGTCTCGAGCCTGCCAATGGCAGCTGCGCGGCAAGAAGTGGTGCTAATGCCGCGTCGTTGATATAGACTACATCCAAGGCCTACAAGCAATCCGAGTTCGAGGTCAAGAGAAGATACCGCGACTTCCTATGGCTCTATAATACTCTGCATGCGAATAACCCGGGAATTGTTGTACCGCCTCCCCCAGAGAAGCAGGCCGTCGGTCGATTTGAAACCAACTTTGTTGAGGCACGACGTGCGGCTCTCGAAAAGATGCTCAACAAGACTGCTGCGCATGCTACATTGCAACATGATGCGGATCTCAAGCTGTTCCTGGAAAGCGAGTCTTTTAACGTGGACGTCAAGCACAAGGAGCGGCGGGAACCAAATCTCGGGGAGAGTAAGGGCATGTTCAGCTCGCTCGGCCTAGGTGGCTCAAGTAGCAAGTTCGTGGAGCAAGACGACGTAAGTTTAACATCTATTGCCCTGCATTGATTTTCCTGGCAAAATGTTAACAATCTTCTCTACAGTGGTTCCATGATCGTCGGGTGTATCTCGACGCTCTCGAAAGCCAACTCAAAGGCCTCCTCAAGGCCATGGATACAATGGTGGCTCAGCGCAAGTCAATGGCAGAAGCAGCCGGCGACTTCTCGGCTTCTCTGCACGCGCTGTCAACCGTTGAGTTATCACCGACCCTTTCCGGCCCCTTGGAGGCCCTATCAGACTTACAGATCACCATCCGCGACGTGTACGACCGACAGGCGCAACAGGATGTCCTCACTTTTGGGATCACCATTGAAGAGTATATTCGACTGATTGGAAGTGTCAAGCAAGCGTTCGGACAACGTCAGAAGGCCTTCTATGCTTGGCATGCTGCGGAGTCAGAGATGCAGAAGCGCAAGGCTAATCAGGACAAACTCCTCCGACAGGGCAAGTCTCAGCAGGACCGGCTGAACCAGGTCAGCGCCGAGGTTGCGGACTCCGAGAGGAAGGTTCACCAGGCGCATTTGCTTTTTGAGGATATGGGACGGCTGTTGAGACAAGAGCTGGATCGCTTCGAGCGGGAGAAGGTGGAGGACTTCAAGAGCGGCGTGGAGACGTTTTTGGAGAGTTCAGTTGAGGCACAGAAGGAGGTGATTACCTTGCAACCACGCGTTCGGCCGGCACGGCAAGTTACTGACATTCTTCACAGCTCATCGAGAAGTGGGAGACGTTCCTCCTGCAGTTGGACTCAGCAGATGACGAGAGCGTCTTCTACAAGCCACCTGTGTTCCAACCAGCGGGCGGTAACAGACCAACTGGAGACACTGCGGTCGACCGAGCCCGGGCCCGCATCGATGAGGATTCTGACTAGAAAGTCCGGAATTCCCAAAGACGCTATGATAGCTACAGTGATCATGGGCTCAGTCGTCATGGCTTAATGGGGATGAGCTTCACTTGGCATGGCACATAAACTGTAGCGCTGCTCATCTTGACGTCGACTTCCAGAAGATCACATGCGATGCAAGAAGAAAACTTCCGGGGAAAGGGGCCATGATGTGGTTGGGCCTGGTGTACAGGTAATGTCTCCTAGAAGTAATGTACATAGAACATTGCGGCGCATCGCCTCTCCGTCATCCCTAGCTGCCAATTCGATGCGATTACCGCCACATATGCTTCTAAAGTGACCGGTGTCCTGCATGCCAGAACATGATCAGTGCCTCGTCGGATCGGGCGCCTCAACTGTCCGCGACCAGAACAAAGCTTGCCCGCAGGACGCCACCTCTTTATTTCTTCTTGCCCTTCTTCGCCACACGATTTGAAGCAACCTGGCCACCCTTCAGGTTCGGGTCGTCCCTCACGTACGTAGCCATCAGGTCGGCAAAGCTGTCCACAGGCGCGGCATCGTCCTTCCCATCCGCGCCCTCCGTCTCGTCCGCCAGGTCATAGGCGGAGCCGAAGCGCTCTCTGAAGCTCGCCAGCTTGCCGGCCTCGTCGAGCTCGATGTTCTTGAGCGATGACTCGGACGGCTGCCACGTCAGGTGGTTCCGCGTGTCCTTGGTGGACCTGTGGACTGGCGTGGGGGACGTGGACCGCGTGGTGTAGGTCGACCCGTCGCTCAGCTGGACGATCTGCGTGAATGTGTAGGGGCGCTTGGGCCGGACCACCTCGGTGGCGTGGCGGACTTGCTGTGTTGTTTGCCTTGCTATCCTTGACGTTGTCGGTCTTGATGTGCTGGATAAGAGAGCGGACGCGGATGATGGTAGGCTCCTCGAGAGGAGAGCGGTGGGGAGTTTGGCCATTCCGGCTGTGATTTGACGTCAATCGTAAGAACTGTCGTATTCTGAGGTCCTTGAAATCTGCGAATTCGAAGGATATGGTTGATTTGATTGTCCTCGTTCTGGCTGTTGTTGGCCGTGGTTCGCGGTTTGTCGTGGTGAACGGTGGAAATTTCGACGGTGGCTTATCGCTCGCTTATCGTAGCTCCCCTGACGGAGCTTCCGGCGTGTGGTCTACCTTTTTTCTTTTCCTCGGGGACGACGTCTCCCTTCTCTCACAATTATTTACTGGGAATCGCGAATGCAAAGGACCTCATTCGGTGATACCTGAATGGGCTGAAATGAGGAGAGCGTGCATTTTGCGCCAATTGGGCAGATGCGCGAACCATCCACCAGTTCTGGCTCTGTCGCGATGCGGCTCTGACACTTCGCCGTGGTCACGGCCTCTGCGCCGGGGGCTCGCTGGCACTCTACGTACGGATTCACACCATTGTCCTAAGGCCATCGGCTCATTCTAACTGATGTCTACATTTCAGATACTCAACAGAGGCTACTCTCCCAGTCCAGCTCTCGAAAAGAAGCATGGAAGATCACAACTCCACAACCGCCCTCGGTTCACCCGCGCCCACACCATGACGCCGCCTTTGACGCCTTGTCCCTCCCCGAACAATTCCGCTCCGTCATGCGCCTCCTCGCGAACTCAGTTGTGGTGTGCACCTCTGCCGGTGCCACCTCGGACTCGCCTACTCCTGTGCCCAGGGGCATGACTATGTCCTCCTTTACATCCCTCTCGCTACACCCAACGCCCCTCGTCACGTTCAATATTGCGACCCCAAGCCGCACCCTTGACGCAGTGTCGCGGAGCCGCCAGTTCAACATCCATATCCTCAGCGGGGATGTAGCTGGTGCCAGGGTGGCCGAGTGGTTCCGGAAAGGCAATGCCGACGATCTGGGTGTGTTTGAGGCAGACAAACTCAAGGATGAGTGCGGATGTGAGGTTGTTGCGGCAGAGTCGTCGGGAGACGGGGCGGCGCCTTTGTTGAAGGGCCCCGGTGTACTATTTGCCCTGCGTTGCAATCTTCTAGGCGACGAGCCGGCCAGGGGACTGGTGAGGGTGAGGGATCACGTCATAGTGTTGGCAGAAATTGTCGACATCATTGAGGGCGAAGGCGGAAAGTCAGAGCCAGGGCCATTTGGACTGGCTTATGCTGATAGACTGTATAGACAGCTTGGGTCTACGATGTCTTTGGTCGAGGACTAGAGTCTCACTGTGGTAGGCAGCATCCACAAAGGCATAGTGTCCGGGCTCGAGGAACTTGGTCCCTGGCCCTGCAATACATCAGACTCTAGGCATTGGGCTGAACATGCCGTCAGCCTCCAGCGAGAACGCTGTTAGAGTAGACACAAATTCTCAAAACAAACTATACAAACCCGCCCAGGAGTGGTTGGAATACAACGAACCCTGTCTGATTATGGACAATCACCAGCCCTTGACCATGGAGTTGCTTTTTGTCAGGCAAATGAAGTCCACTTACTACAAAGCAAAAGTGGCTGGACCAAAAGAAGGCTGAAACATGCAGTATCCAAGCATTCAGTGTCACGAGGAACTCAATTGCAAGCACGATGTCCAACAAGGTGAGAGGAAGCTCTGCCGAGCGTGACAGTATCGACGAATTGCGACCTATCTCTACTGGCAGTGGCAATTTCTCTCTTACAATGGATATCAAAGGAGGACGTGCGTGAGCTCAGATAGTCTGCCCCCCTCCTATCGAGACGAGCCTCGTTTCATCACAGGCTTTGCCATGAATACTAAGAAACTCGCTTAGATGCGCCTATGTCAGGCTTGGCATACCAAAGGCTCGGTGGGTGAGCCCGCCGCTATGGTACTGAATCTTGAGCGGTGCTTCTGGGTCTGGGGCCGTCCCTTGTTGGTGCAGCGATAGACGGGACAAGGACACTTGAGCTTGGTCCCGGCCGTCGCTGAAACGACTTGGGACGAATTGGACAGCCCGGTACAGGATCGAAGTGCCGTTCACGGTTAAAATGCGGGTGAATGAGGGCGCAGGCATTCGCGACTCTGGCTTGCTCAGGACTTCTGGAGCTTAGTAGCAGAATGAAGAAGAGTAACGGACGAGCCGTGATTATTATCTCGATGCCCGAGGAGGCCGAAGAACAGTGAACAGGCGCACCCATTATTGGCACGAGAACCGCCTCGACTGGAACCGCCTGAAAGTGAGCTACGGCATGGCCCCGAAAGACTAAACCAATATAAGCGCCGTCCTAACGCCACGCGAAGCCGCCTGACGGGCAGGGCCCAATCACCGTGAACGAGGCCGATTGGGGACAGGAAGAGCCGTTCGATTCAAGAAGAATCCCGATTTTCCAACAACGGTCAACCAGATTTTGAAAGGTGGTATGTCGCTGGCACATAAAATTGGCAACGAAAATAGACGCGTCAGACAACAAGGCCCGTGAGATAGCAGATCGACGCGAAGTTGTTGTGTGGGAGTTTTTCCTTCTTAATTTAGGCAAGCAGACGCGCCACATCGCCGCCACATCGCCGCCATGTCTCAATGCACCAGCGCCCAGCGCCGGTATCTGAGCTAGTGGTAACGTGGAAGGCTTCTACGCTTCCAGCTTTGCTCTAGAAGCTTTAGAAGAAAGCCCTTTGCTCAGCCGCGAAGTGGCCGGGAAGGCATGGGGCGTTACCGCAATCGATATAATACAGGTGTCGCCGGCCGCCGGTGCCGTTTCAATAGCTGGCGTGCACGCAGTGATGCCATCCATCTTGGCCGAAGGTGTGTTTGCTAAGATGCGGCCAGCACACCTTGTCGACCGACCACATTGTTTGCTACTCGATGCTGTGTGCTGACGCGGGTGGGAGCTCTGTCGAGGGCAAGCCACTTGCCCGAATGGCTCTTCCCTCCATGGAGCTCGTCTCGTGAGGGCCCTTCTGGACTAATGCACGAGGTCGGGCTCTGTATCGAGGCACACCCCCGGAGCTGAGCTGATTGGCGAGCCGGGCCCAGGCCAAGAACGGAGAGGCTCGATGTGGCGGGAAGTTGATCCCACCCCCTCCCTCCCACCATTGTGTGCTGCATATACTCTGGCTCTGCTGAGTATCCCTCTTTCGCCTGTGGTCGGTATCGCATGGGAAAACCCAGCCGAACTAGCCTGGCGACGATCGTTTGGTCTGGGCACCTGGCTTGTGCGTGCCGGGCTGGTGCACACAGGCTGGCCGGCTGGGTAGGCTGGCGGTCCACGGCCATATTCGATGCTCCTGTAAGCAGTCATGTGGGAGCTGCTGATCTCCGGGCACCTGGCACCGTCATGCCGCCTACCAGCCGTTTCTGCTCACTCAAGTGTCTGCCAGTCTGGCCAGTCTGCCTCAAATTGAGTCAGGTACCCAGGTAGTGTCCAGTGGCGCACTTCCAGACATTCCAAAGAAAGAAGACCCAAGCGGGCATCGCGGGTGAAAGGCGGCATGAATTGAATTCGGGGCGACACTGCAGGGCATTATTAGCAGAGTAGTGGTGCTGATACTTGGCATGCGTCCGAGGCTCCTTGCATGCAGATGCTGCCGGCGAACAGCGTCACACCTCGCTGGATTGGGGGTGGCGAGTGGCCAGCGAGCCAGGGTAGCAAGGTAGTCAAGTATTTGTTTTGAGGTGGGAGGGGAAGCAAGCTGGCAAGCAGGCAAGCAGTCGGGAACAAAAAGGCTTCGAGGTCTGGTTCCCGTAGGCATTGGGGGCTGGATTCTGGACCCGCCCCGTGATGCTGCCGCCGAGGCCAAATTCTTTGTCCCAGCCGGCAATTACAACACTGCAGGTATACTACAGCCCGCTCGGAGCCGACAACAGAGGAGAGAGGATATCCCCGTCCCAAGAATGGAGCACTTGCACTCGAGGACGTCCCAGGGACAGCTGCCATTGATCACTCGTCCAGCCACGTTCTGCGGTGTTATGTGTCAGTGACCTCCCGGCGACGAGGATCCGTTTGAGGCTTTGAGCCCCACAGCACTAGCAGCGTACCGATCCAGTGTACAGGAGATTGAAGGGAAAGCAGGTGTCCATGACTTGTTGACCAGACATGCCATCATCAAGATTGACGACAGGCTATAATTACATGCAGGCGCGCCATGCGATGTCGGTGGGGAGACTACCTCACCTCAGCACATGGCATGATGAATAATGCGGTGGCGGGCCATTTGATGCACGCACACTACCTACTGTAGGTCGATAGATCTATGTGCCTGCACAAACAGATGTTTTATCCAGTGTCTGGATATCTAGGAAACGTCTTCGACCGTGTCGGTGGTCAACCAGTATGCTTGCTGTGTATTCTGCCCATCTCTGCGAATGCTGGGCGTCAGTAATAGCAATATCTCTGTGATTGACCAAGAAATTAAAGATTACCCTAAAGGTGTGGTATAAGACATCCGGATCTTGGAGGGTCCAGTTCACAGGTGCCCAATCAGCCTACCCTGCCACATGCCTAGACACCCTGCCCAGTCTGCCTAACACCCAAGGGGCCCAGGTGCAGTCCTGACGGCCTGTAGACTGCTGTGTCTGCGTGGAGTGCCCAATCCTCTCCAATCTCGCTGGCTTGCTCGCATGGCGAATCCAGCCGCCTGTCACTGCCCCCAGTGCGTACCCCCTGCCTGTCTGCACGTCTGCCTGCCCGCCTGCCTGCAACCACCGGTGCAACAAGCATCGCTCGGGTCCTGGGTCCTGGGCTGGGCCGTGTCTTCCCAGGTTCCCCACCCTCTCTTCCCTTCCGTCGCTGTTGATTTCTCCTCCTTGCTGCCACTGCCACTCCCTCCTTGTCAGTCTAGGCTTGGGCTCGCACATACACCTAGGTTCCGTACCCAGCTCTTCTCAAAGGGTGTGGATTGCTCCGTGATCGTTCTTTTCTTCATTTCTCCGTCCATACCCCATCCCCCTTGCCCACCTACCTTGATCCTCCTTCTGTCATCTCATCGTCGAGCCCCAAATCCAACACCAGGCCGAATGCGTCAACGGCTGCAAATTGCCTAGGACCAGGAGAGAGAGAGCAGAGACAGGCAGACCGACCTCTGCAGAGAGTGAGACGGGACAGTGGGCGAGGCGAAGGCGGCATTAGCCACCACCACGGATAACCCGTTTCGAGTCGCCCTACAGATTACGGTCACTCCTTCTCTCCTCACCCATCCCAGTCCAACCCTCAACTGAAACCTGATACCACACCGCCAACAGTCTCGACACAAATCCTCGACTGATTTCCATTTCCACTTCGTTTTTTGTTTCCTCCAAGCCATCTCTCATCCCTACCTGATCTCGGCCGGTCACCCACTCGCTCCTTTCCCAACACAATTCCATCGAGCCGTCCGAATCCCTCAGCCCCGACCCGGCCCTCGACCACTCCGTATCACCCTCGAGGCAATTTCTCGGATTTGCAGCTCATCACGTCCCCCCGACCTTGCATCCCGGCCAGCCAAATTACTTCGATTAAAGCACGAGCATTACGAACGACCGTCCTGCTGTTTTTTTTGCGTCATCTGCTGCTGCCACTTTTCTCCAGCCGCCGAGCTCATTGCATAAACCCAGAATAAATAACCCTCAAACGCGCCCGACCGCAACACCAAATTCAGGGGTTGGAGTTTCGAATCTGTATAATCCTCAACATCACCCGTCCGCCAGCTTTGCCACCCTGGTTCTCATCACCACTTCGAAAGATCACCTTGATCTTGACAGCCCATCATGAGGGAAGTCAACTTCAGCATCCCGAACGTCAATAAGGCGTCGGTGGGCATCACCACCGCCCTGTACGACAGACGAGCCCTCGATTGTACATCCACGTTACCTTTGATCAATTCTTTGAACCACCTCGCATACCTCACGACGTCCTCTGCTCGCATCCGGGACATCCTCACCGTCGACGGAGGCATCGAGCGCCTAATATGTATCCTGAAGCAGGGCAGGAGTAAGGACATGATGGACATGTGGAAGTGGAACTTGGCTTTTCAATGTGTCGTCAACATAGGAGTTAGAGGCACCGAAGCCGTCCGCACCAGGGTCGTCGAGGCCGACATGGTCCCCGTCATCGCCACAATCCTCGACAATTATATCAAGGTCACAGAGAAATTAAGAGAAAAAGAAGAAAAGAAAAAGCGGTTGCAGGATCACCCGAGCCGATCCAGGCATGACCACAGCGGAGTCTCCAAGTCTGGCAGCTTTTCCAACCGGTCAGGGCGCCTAGACGTGGACCACAGAGCTTTCCGACGACAGGCACCTCCTCCCAGTATCGACATTACCTCAGTATCCTTCTCTGCAGGCGGCGGCCCATCAGCCCCAGCTGAGCAACCGCAAGCCGACATCACACCCACCATCTCACAATATCCCGTCACAACTCCTCCGGAGCGGCCCCCATTCCACACTCACCGTCATCACCATCATCACAACAGGACGCAAGATCCGCGGCAACACGCCACCAATGCATCTCGCCAACCCCTCCAGCCACTTGCCTCGACGATGACCAATGCGGATAACGATACCTTTATCCGACCGGTTCGTGATGTTGATCGGCTAGCCTCAATGATGCCGTTTGGTCTTCACTCTTTGTCTTCACAACCGACCTCGCCAACAACTCCTCTTCCGCCGCCTCAAATGAGGTCCCCCACCGTTCGTCCTGCTTCGGGCCTGGCACAAGCATCGAGGTCTCGTCGCCGTCCATCCATACGCCACCAGAACTCTACTGCTGATTCGGACGATCTCAATGGCGACAGCATGCAATCGGATGACTCACCCGACGCCGAAATGTCAGGAACTGCTGACATACAGGAAGTCGGTATTCAAGATATCAGCATGGAGGGTGAAGACAGCATACTCGCCGAAACCTCAATCGATCTCACGCCACCCAATGGATCAGATAATCAGCAAGATGGGACTTTCAACATCACACATCGGACCCCAATGGATGGGAGTATACTGAACACCACTACCACCCCCACTCCTGGGCCAACACTTGGCTTGTCTCCGAACAGGCCTACAATGGTCAGCCCTCCACAGCCAACAATGCCAACCGCCAGCGTCCCGCACTATCTTCTCGGCCGTCAAATGAACCCGAATCCGCAAATGATGGCCGCCATGCCTCGGGAGGAGGATGTGCTCATGTCTCTACAGCTCCTTGCCTACGTTTCTAAATACTGCAACCTCCGAACTTACTTCCAGAAGAGCCATCTGGTGCCGCGGTTGAAGATTGGAAAGGAAATCACAGCTGTGGAGAATGATGACCTGCCGATGGAATTGTCCGATGACGAAGAAGAGTTTGAGGAGGAATACCTTCTGCCCAACGACCTGAACATTTTCCCGTTGGTTGAAAAGTTCACGGTCCGCTACCACAGTACAGACATGCAGTACTGGGCCGGGGTCGTTATGAGGAACCTTTGCCGGAAAGACGACACTCGGGGCGGTATCCGCCAATGCGCTTATTATCAATGCGGGAAATGGGAAGAATATACCCGTCAGTTTGCCAAATGTCGGCGATGCCGGCGAACAAAGTACTGCAGCAAGGAGTGTCAAAAGAGCGCATGGGCTTTCCACCGTCACTGGTGTGTCGCTGCGACACAATGAATGATACCCTCTTCAGCATCTGGTTTTTCATCATCGGTGGATTCAATGCAGTCACGCAGCCACCTGGACATAATGTCTACTTTGCCTTGAAGCATCACCTACTCGGTCCTTTTGCGGCCCAATAGCATTGCGAAGCACGCATATTTGGAGGCGTCTGTTAACGTTGTGATACTTTTGGAATGGTCTGAAGGGTTTGGTTCTCGCTGGTGGAAGGCACCAAAATTTTGGCTTAATCGGATACCTCTACGCCCCGTCTACTCCTCAAACGCACACTCCCTCTCTCCCACTGTCCCTATCTCGGCAGGGATAACGGATGGTTGCAAAACAATCCACTTCGGTTTTTTAAAAGACAACTTGTTCGATTCTCATACCTGTGCTCATCTATCAGATGTGATGTGGTCGCTGGAGGTTCGAAGACATGGCCAGGCTCAGATGGGAACTCCCTGCAGTTTGTCACGGCTTTGCAGACCACACCGTTCCCTCAATTCCATCAAGGGCAGACGACTAGCCCTCGCTCCTTGACCAGATTAAAGGCGTGGAAACGCAACGGTGGATGCGGGGCAAGGTGAAGGTTTTAAATGGGAGGGGAGTTCACATCACGGGGAATAGTTCCCGGGAATCCACGATACATGCATGATCCGTCAACGGCGCTCTTTGGTTGCTCTCAATAATGGCTTCTCAGTTTTGCCGTCTCATATAATGACCACTCACTGTGGTTTTTGTTTCTTTTGTTTTTTGAGTCTGCTGCTTGCATCATGATGATCAAGGACAAAAACAGGGAAGGAAAGTCTCGCCACTGCGATGCTTCACACGACATGTTTTCTTTTCTCTTCCTTTTTGCATAGGGAGCGGGTGATTTCAAAGTAGGAGACGAAATGATACCTGGGTGGACGTGAAGGGAAGTAAGAGACTATCGACCTCGTGTCAAAGATGAATGAAACGAGGACTATTTGAACTAAGCCGTTGCTGCACTTTCGAATCAAATACCATGACTTGAATTTTAACTCTTTCGGAAAGCTTTTCGACTGAGCCGTAAGCCTCGTCCTTGCTTATACTCCAAGACAAATAAGTCGAAGAACGGTTGAGACAGCATAGTCATAGAGAGCTGGATGGGAAATGGCTGACAGACGAAAAGGAGGTCGGAATACGCTCATGACTGTCTATCCAAGTAGTAATTAAATTGTCATGGCACCCATTAAGATTTTCTTATAGATGTCTTCTCGATCCGGAGCTCCATTTCGACCCGGAGATTTCAACACGTGTATGCACAAAGGAAGGAGAAGACTGGTCGAATAAAGTCATCGTGGACCTGCTCCTCCCCAAATCCGGCTTGATGGCTCTGAAGAAGTTGATATCCGGAGATACTCTTATCATAAAACGCCCGCATTGAGTCCTTGTCGGCGACGGTTCGCCGTGGTATGGAAGTCATTTGCTTCGGCTTGCACATCTGAGTCGGATTGGGAAGAGACCTGGTATCCTTCTCCCAAATCTCTGTGCACTGCATGGTATCTTGTGCTTTGGTCCTTTTTTGACTACTTCTTCCCAGCGCCGCCCATGTACTTCACATTACGCCGCAACCAAAACCATGTCACCGCCCAGCTATGCGCTCATCACCGCCGCCCAGCCACGGTCTTCCTCTTAGCCTTGCCTAAGCGTGCCGTCTTCATGATCTTCTTGGGGCCGCCCTTGCCCTTCATCCCCTTGGCGCTGAACCCGCTCACGTCGCCAGAGCTCTCGGCGGTGCCAGACTTGGCATATTTCTTCTTGCCGCCGAACCCAAACTTGGCGTCCTTCTTGGCCCGCTTGTGGTTGGGTGTCCTGCTACCTTGGTCAGACCGGCCACGCTTGCCCGGCTTGTTGAGCTCGTTGTCGACGCCGACGTCGAAGAGGTCTGCCTCGTTGGTGTCGAGTTCACCGCCATTCTCAGCGCGCTCTGTGGTTGGAAATAAAAGTTAGTGTCACGCGATCCTGTTTTGCTGGCGAGATTTCTGTCAGGAACGGAATGCACATACTCTTCTTCAATGCCTTGATCTTCTCCAGCGTCTCCCGCTTCTCCTTATGCCTTTCTTGGAGCTTCGCAACCTGCACCTGCTTGCCGAACTTCTTGAGGTCGCGCAGTTTTCTCGCCTCGGCAGAGGCCTTCTTAGCCGTTGCCTCCTCGATCAGCTTGGCCTTGACCTTCTCCATGTGTCCGTCATCTTTGACCATCTCGGCGAAGTAGTCCTTGGGCCGCGAGAATGGCAGCCCTTCTGCCCTTAGCAGAGCGCGTGCTTTCTTGGCCGCCTCGAGTGACTGTGCGTATAGCTGTAGCTCGCGTTGCAGGTCATCAGATATGTCCTCGATCTTGGGCTCTGTGGGCTCTGAGGACACGAGTGTCTGGTGCGTGGTGAATGATGTGCTGGAGTCCTTGGGTATGGAGATGCGTTTTACAGCGGCAAGTAGGGCCGGCTGGTTGTTGATGGAGAGCTTGGTCTTGACAAAGAGGTCCTCGCGCTCCTCCTCGGGTAGATCCTCGAGATCAGAAAGTGCGATATCAGACTCCTCTTCTGCTTCGTCGTCGTTTTCTTGGGCCTCGGCCAGGCGTTGTTTCCGTCGATTCTCAGTCTTTTTGAGGATAGATTTTGGTTTACGCTCTATTTTCTCCTCCATGTCGACTTCTGACTCGGAATCGGTGTCGCTCTCGTTGAGAATTGCTGCAGCATTCGCCTCCTCGTACACGGACTCGTCGTCGTCCTCATCTTCGTCGGACTCCTCGGCCTCTATATCCAGAAGACCCTCGCCATCCTCGCCCTCGGAGTCGTCCTCGTCTTCCCAATCTTGCTCCTCCTCCTCTGGGATCAGGCCCTTCTTGCGTTTGTCTTTGATGACCGCCTTGTGCTTCTTCTTATCCTTCAGTTGTTTGACTTTCTGCAAGCCGTGGAAATCAGCAGTCAGTTCTGGCGCGACGTCGTTTTGTCGCAAAGGTTCTGGAGGAAGTAGAGCCACTGACCTTGTCTGTCAAACCCTTCTCTGCTGCCAGGGCAATCTTGAGCTTGCTGCGTGGCGCCATGTCTGCGATATATGGCAGTCAATTGAAGAGTATAGAGAAAACACAGAGGCGACTTGCAACTAAATTTACTGCGTGCAGTGCTTGCAAGTCGCAAAACGAACCGGACCCACCCAAAAAGTTTTGGTCGGGCTCGATCTTATCGGGCTTATCAGGATGCCTGCCCGGGCGCCCGCTGAGACCTTGGTGGCCCAGTGTGCAGGGTCCAGGTACAACGGGTCCAAACTCAGGCCCAAGGTCAAGTGTACGTATATTTGGGCTAGGTACCTAGGTACACATAAACGTGAGTTCATACCGATAGATATGAATATAGCATCAGCTGCCTCGGAGTACAGAGCAGAACCCACCATGAACGAAAATATCGGCAATGTCATCATGACTCCACTCGTCCTTTGATAGCAAGTCCATTTCAAAGGTTCAAATCGGCTTGCCCGGAAAGTGCACACGGAAATCAGCCAGCGGACCTTGCGTCTCTCACATGCTTCAAAAGCCCATGCTTCAAAACCATGGATAATTTGCAGATCGCATCTCAAGGAGCCAATTCGAAATGGCCTCGTGTGTCTCACCGCTGTCACCTTCTTACTTGAGCCGGTCCTCGCGCCAGATCTGACCACCCTTGCTGGTCTGGGCATAATACGGGTATACGGGACAGGAGACGGGACAGGGAACGGGACAGGGAATAGAGTCAAGGCTGGCAACAGTATGCGGCGGTATGATTTGTGAAACTTTCAAACCACCTTCAGAGAGTAACCATATAAGGCTGCCCTTCGTCTTCTCTCCTCATTCGGACTGGTGTGAGAAACATTCGCTCTCATATGTCCAGGCAACAGTGTGAACCTTGGCATATTGTGTTTTGTTTTTTGTTTCTTAAAACCACGGCCCTGACACGATCAAGAAATGCTCGACGGATACACAGTCACTCTTATCGCTGGCTTTGGTCTAGGCTTTCTCGTCCTGAGCCATGTGTTGGCATATCTGAGGTCACCGTTGAAGGATATCCCAGGCCCGCTTCTGGCCAAATTTACCAATGTGTGGCGCCTCATCGACCACTACAATGCCACCCAGATCAGCACTCAGCGGCGGCTTCACGAGAAGCTGGGTCCTGCTGTCCGCATTGGACCTAATGTTGTTAGTCTGAGCGACCCTAAGCTGCTTAAGACCGTGTACTCTACTCGTGGTGATTATCTCAAGGTTAGCCGCCTCAAAATAAACGACAGGGATCATTCATAGGGCTTCTTGAAAGCCTGTCTTGCATTTTTCATAACGAAACTGACATCAAGGTATAGAGTGACTTCTACACTGTCAACGACGCTGTGCAAGATGGTCAAGTCATCCAGAATGTCTTTGGCACTCGGAGCAACTCCTTTCATAGCAGATACATGAGGCCGATCCAGAAACTGTACTCAATGAACAGCATGCTCTCTATGGAGGGTTTGGTGGACAAAACCATCAGATCGCTATGTGGGCAGATCGAAAATCGCTTCATTGATGGTAAAAATGCGGGCAAGACTTGCGATATTGCCGACTGGGTCAGCTTCTGTAAATACAACAATTCGAGCCTCACCTAGTCTTGCATGTTTTAGCCACCGCTGACTCCTATACAAATACACAGACACGTGGGATGCCGTGGGTGAGTTGACATTTAGCAAGGACTTTGGCTTCCTCAGAGGCGGCTGTGATCAGATGCAACTGATCCAGACAGCTGAAAGCGTCATGCATTACTTTGGGATTGTCGGCCAGATGCCCATACTGGACAAATTCATGGGCAAAAATCCTTGGTTTGCGACGACAAGAAGTCCCATAAAGTTCCCCAATTTCGGGAGGGCCGCTGGGTTCTGCTTCGAGCAGCTCACAGAGCGCTTGTCTAACTACGACGTGGAGAAAGAGGGAGGTCGCCAAGATTTCCTGCGGGAATTCCTAAAGATTAAAGAAGAGAACCCAGATATTATCAGCAATAATGAGGTACTGGGTTATCTTCTACTAAATGTAAGCTGCTGTACACATCCATCACATTAGAGCAGGGCAGCTGACACATTTCAGATTCTCGCTGGAGCGGACACAACAGCCATCGTGCAAAAGGGTATTATATACCATCTCCTCAGAAACCCGGTGGCCAAGGTCAAGCTCCGGGACGAGCTTGATGCTGCAGCCATTTCTTTCCCGGCATCATTCGCTGAGACCAGAAGCCTCCCGTACCTCGACGCCGTCATCAAAGAGGGCCTGCGCATACATCCTCCAGTTGGAAACATATTGGAGCGCATTGTCCCAACTTCAGGTCTGACGCTCGGTGACGGACGTGTGATAGCACCGGGAACGATTGTTGGCATGAACCAGTGGGTTATATCGCGAAACAAGGAGATTTATGGCGACGATGTTGAGGCTTTCCGGCCAGAAAGGTGGCTACGTGGAAATAACGAGACAAGTGTGGCGTATGAGGCACGTCTGAAGACTATGAAGGAAGCAGACTTGTCATTCGGAGGCGGTAACAGAATATGCACAGGAAGGTACATGGCGACTTGCGAGTTGTTCAAGGTCACGGCAACGTTGTTCAGCTTGTATGATGTGAGTACACCCCCACAGCCTGCTTCTCTTACGAACTATATGACACGGACTACACCATACTAAGAGCAATCACAGATTGAACTCGAAGACCTTAGCACGGATTGGACGGTGCGCTTATGGTGGTTTGTCTTTACCGACGATATACGGGTAAAAATATCACGACGTGCAGATGATATACATAAGCTGATGGCGCGAGATCGCGACGAAAACTGAGAGACTCGAAAGCCACAAGCGTGACTCAAGGCAACAACTTCATGTGTTTCCAGTCCCTCAAGAGGCCTATATATCGAGGGTGCCATACTGCAGGCTAATTTTACAAATTGTCCTTTACTTCCTGCGGTCATTTTATCAGAAAATACATGAAACGCATTGAGATTAGAGATTACGGGAGAGAGAAATGAAAGAAAGGAAATAAGAGAGGAATACGGAGGCAGAGACATTGAAATAGATATAACGTCAAAGCACCCAGATATAAAACCACAGTCCTTAAGCCCTTTAAGCACATGCCGCAACTTCTCCATGGTGAGACCGTGGGCGTGCCCATCTATCGTTTCCACCGAACCCTCTAAATGGACCGCTCGGTTACCATGTTCCCAATTTATGAGTTCCAACTCCGCCCTGTTCTCGCCAAGGAGCTGATTCCCAGGTACGAGAGGTAGTTTCAGTCGGTAACCCACCGCGCCACCTCGTCGGTGTGTATTCCCGTGCCTGTATCGGTCCTACAACGTGTAGATTGATATAAGTACTTGTAATTCATGGAAGATGGCCCCATTTTTGCTTGTGCCTAGCAGTTTACCGATACCCTGCATGAGTGACACAATTTCTCTTGGATTCACTGAGTAGCATGTGGAATTTTGTGTGTAGGCAGTCGAGGTACAATCGTGTTAGGATTTTGGGGGCACAATTTGGTGTGGTGTTGAGGAAATCGTTTACGGTATAAATTGGCAATAGTCACGAATCTGGGAGTACGCAGCAACCAGGTTTCTGGCGAGCATGACTGAAGGTAAAACAACGATAATAACAGAATGGTCCTGAGTTCCCAGACTAGGAAGCCTGGCAGTTAGAAATGATGTGTCTTCCCGGCCAATCTTGGTCGCCGAATCGAATATGACGCACGATGTACTACCTTGAGAAGAGTCTCTGCACACGAAATCATGTCACGACAAAGTAGGACGTGAGTCGGCGAACTTAGCAACAGTCGATACATCACAGCAGTCTCCTTGGCACTTGCAGGGTTGGGATCGTGTTGCAAGGCTGGATGTTCATGTTAGGCTTTGACGCCTCGTTAGTGCGATGAAAGGGCCGCTATTGAAAGCCCGGCCATAGGCAATGCTCATCCAGAAGTTCATGGTCTGTGAGAGCGAAGCCGTTCACATGTCGAACCGCCGTTGTGTCTTTGATGTTGACCGGGCGTCTGCAGACTGCAATATGGGTGGTAGTTAAATGTGGGTCAGTTTGCACGGCAGCTATTGGCTCGCCGGCTCTGCTACAGCACTTTCACACCCTGTAACTCACGTGGCGACAGGGATGTCTCGTCAACCATGTGCGATGAAAGGGAGTGTACGCAACAAAATGTTCCCACCAGATTGCGTACTTCATAACAGGCTTGCTTAAGTAAAAAAAATACGGTACCACATCGATATCGCGTGCAGGGAACTCAGAAATGCATGCCGAGCTGAGCAATGCTGATGTAAAATCAACGAAGGTGATCCGTGACATACATACGAAAACAATCCACTCATCCTGTGGGCGTAGTGGTCCCACTTGGAGGCATGCTCAAAAACTCCACTCGTCAACCAAGGCAGACTTTAAATGACTTTACATGTGAACACTTCAAGTCAGACTTAAAGCTAGAATCCATTGGAATACCTAGTTGGGCTTAGTCCATGTGTTAATTCCAGGGGTATGACTTGAGGCAAAGCCATCTGCAAAGTATGTGTTCTTGATTATGTAAAAACCCCGGGCTCAAACTGCAATGCCTCTCACAAGTTTCTATTCAAGAGCAAATGAGAGTTCACAGAAGCTTGCAATAGAAACCAGCCGTTCGACTGCGGAATAAGTGACATATCAATGTACCTCATCCCCGCTGACTCTACTCACAGCCCTTCTATCCAGTGATGTCACATCTACATGGCTGTTGATTTATAGTTCGGTCTCTCTGTTACGTATAAGATACTGCACATGTACTGAATCCAATCACACGTCTAGCTCCGTCTGCCTCTGCCGACTTGGCTCGATCGCCACAGAAGTAGCTGCTAGAACGCCAAAGCCATGCGCTACGTATGATAATCAAGAACAAAAATCGATATTGGCTCAACTTGGTATGTGAACGATTTGCGCAAAAATGCCCACATCCGCCTTGCGGTAGGCTTCGATCAAGGAAGCAGTCGAAGATCGCCTTGTTTTCACATTTCAACTCGAAGAGAATGGTTATCTGGTGCACATCACCGGGCAAGTCGCGATGTCCCCATCGTTCTAGGGTCTAAGAAACCTAGAGTGTTGTTTAGTTCCGACATTTGTGCAGCAGGAAGAACCTAATTTCATTTGTACCCAGTCTTTCGCCTCCTTTCGCATATCTCCCGCATAGAGATTTGTGAGTATCTTCAGCCTTAACCCATTCATACCACAAGCGCATTTCGATGAAGTGATTTCCTCGAGGCAACACGATCGCCATTTGAATAATATTGTTCCAAGAAGCTCAACGCTTCTTGGATAGCAAAAGGATAATAATTATTCGGCAATGCTCAGGAACCAGGAGCAGCTCCTACTTAAGATGCTGATTTAGGGGTTCCTTATGTTCCGCACGTTTAGCCATGGTCAAATTCGCACATCGCAAATGTTGACAGGTCTGTGCTGAGGAGAGCTACACTCGGCTGGATCCTTGTTCTGGCGGCTATGAACCCGAATGCAGCATCTAGATAGTTATTGGAACTTCATTTATGATGACGCCTTACACTTCGCAATGCACTTACAGAGCTCATTCACACGCTAGATTTGTGGCACAGGCACGCAGGAAAAGCTTAGGTGTATGACAGCAAGTGAAGTGCTGCTTGAAAGGTCGGTTATATCAGCGTTTAAAGAAATCTCTCAGCTGTCCATCGGTCTTCCTTCTTTGAGAGGGATGAGTGTTGGGATAACGAATGGGCACATATAAAGTGAATGCTATATATTTGTTGTTGAGAAAGAGAGGTTTTGTATCAAGACCGTCGTAATTGGGACTTATTCATGCCATACATTCATTCTGTACATACGTTCTCGGCCGAATCGATCCAGGCATTCTTATCAAGGGAAGTGCCACTTACATTCTCTCATTCGCGTTCAAGTGCACACTTCTTCCAGTTGTGCATCACGGGAGAAGTTAGGAGCGAAATCCTGTAGTCTCCCACACGTATGATGCCTTGTGCTTTAGAGAGATCCGCTATGGCGTTGTCAAAATAATTGCTGTTGTCGTTCTCGTGCCATGATATCAAGCGCGGTGTGCGCTCAAACAGTCTCTTCTTTTTCATCACAAAGAAGGTTGCTGTGGACAGGCCCTCTGTCCAGCTTTGTGCTGATTCGACAAGCAAAGGCTTGTCGTCTCATACAGGAGACATTCCACTCTACTCTAGATTCTACGACCATTTTTACGCCGTTACCCTTGATGATGGGGACTAGGCTGAGATTAATGGAAGAGAGTATTGCTGTAATGAAGAGACAGGTATTCGGGACTACGTTTGATCCGGGATAGAGGATGAGATGCTCGTCTGAACATAGGCTGTCCCTATGTGGGGTCGCCAACACTTCAATCAGATGCAATCGAAGATCGGATTTTCTTTCATATTAGGACCTAGGCAATCAAAGAAACTAACCAAGTGAGAAAATCTGCGGGTGACTGGAGCGCATTGTCAGGGAAGGAAACAGAAATCGTGATGTAGAAGCACAATTGATCTGACAATAGTTCACATAAGTCGAGACCAGAAATCATGAATAATTGCAAAAGCCGATTTTTTTTCTTTTTCTTGGAGATCTCAGCCCACCAGTACCGGACTGACAATCTGTCTACTGGGGGAAACTGCAGTCATAGAACGTTCCTCTGCCACGCTCCCTCGTCGGGAGTGAATCCATTATGGGGAGACCAGTATCACTCCCACCATAGGACCCGGCCGATGCGTAGTCTTTCCTCCGCCTGGGAACAGCAAAAGCCTTCCATGCATATCCCTTCCTGTGCGTGCCAAACATGAAAGCTCGCAGAGCTAGCTAAGCCCCGTCTCTTCCTTTTTCGTCATTCCGCGAGTGGAACTTGAAGAGAAAAAAAAGCCTCGCTCGCTCTTGTGTGATGGAAGTATTAGCCGTCTTCCAGCTGTTCGTGACCCTGATTAACCTGTCTATCTTGTCTATCATAGTTTCCCATGCTCGCCGTAGACGTCGTTGTCGCGCGTCCCGACCAGAGAGATCCGAGAAATCCACTTTTGTCTATTGTGCCCTGAGCCCTGTGTAAAGCAAAAACAACTAAGCGCGGTGTCAAGCCACCGTGAACCATCTATCAGGCCAAATTCCTTTTTGGTATGGAGCGCGTAAAAACATGACTGTCGTAATGCTTCGATCAGATCCAGGGTAGTCTCTCCCCCAGATAGATGATGCGCTCGTAACTGCACGCCTCGGGCGCCTTCTGCAGTAATGCGTCCTGGCTTTCCGGAAGAGCCCTCATCTAAAGGGTATCAAGAAGGGTTCCAGAGCCGTGCATAAAACCAATGCAAGCGCTCTGATGACTGAGACTGATGTGAGGACCTGAGCATGCCAACTCTAGAAATACTCGGGATGATATCCGAGTCGACGTCGTTACGCGCGTAGTTGTCCCTGAAAAGAGAAGATGAACATGGTGGCGAATGATCGTATGTACTGAAAATGATGCCTGAGAAAAGTGGTCGAGCGGAAAAGGAAACATGTTGTAGGAAATGTGGCTCCGTCGTTAGGGAGGTGTTGTCTACCACCAGGACGACTGGCCACCCGGGCCACCGGGGTTGCCGTAGCCGCCACCGTAGCCACCGCCGTAGCCGCCACCGCCGTAGCTGGGAGCGGGAGGTGGTCCGCCGTAGCCACCACCACCATAACCGCTGTTGGGGGGTGGGCCACCGAAGCCACCGCCGCCACCGCCACCGCCGCTACCGCCGAAGCCGCCTCCACCACCACCACCGAACTTTCGGAAGTCGCGGTTGGCGCCTCCTCCGCGGCCACGCCCGCCGCCGCCACGGCCACGGCCACCTCCACCAAACGACGACTCACGAGCAATGGTCTCAAGGAATTGAGGAACCTCCTGGTTGGCCTCCTTGAGCAGTTCGATGAGGTCTCGCACGACGCCCCTATTGCCGCGGTTGAAGAAGGCAGTAGAGATACCCGTGTTACCGGCACGGCCGGTACGACCGATACGGTGCACGTAGTCGTCAATGTCGGTGGGCAGATCGTAGTTCACAACGTGGGTGACGTTGGGAATATCGAGACCACGGGCAGCAACAGCAGTTGCGACAAGGATGGGGCAACGACCGTTGCGGAACATGTCAAGCGCCCGCTCACGCTCACGCTGTGTGCGGTCGCCGTGGATCGACGTGGCTGGGAAGCTCTGGTTGATAAGGAAGTCGGACAGAGAATCCGCCATGCGCTTGGTCTCGACGAAAATGAGAGTCAGACCAGCACCGTGGGTGTGGAGGATGTCAAGCAGAACAGAGCGCTTGTCGATGTCCTCAACGTACTCGACCTTCTGAGTGATGTTCTCAGAAGTGGAACCGACACGACCAACGGAAAGGAAGACGTAGTCCTTAAGGAAGTCGCGGGCAAGCATTTGAATGTCGCGAGGGAAAGTGGCAGAGAACATGAGTGTCTGGCGGTTCTGCACGCCAGGCATGTCCTCACCTTCCACAATACGTCGAATCTGAGGCTCGAAACCCATGTCAAGCATGCGGTCAGCCTCGTCAAGGACAAGATACTTGATGTTCTGCAGGGAGATGCGACCACGCTCTATCAGGTCGACCAGACGTCCCGGAGTAGCCACCAACAGATCGCATCCACGCTCGATCTGACGAAGCTGAGACCCGATATCAGCTCCACCGTAGACGACACAAGGTCGTACCCAAGAACGGTAGGCAAACTTCCTGGCCTCGTCGTAGATCTGGGAGACCAGCTCACGGGTGGGGGCGAGGATGAGAGATGTGGGATAGGCCTTGCGCTGACGGCCGAAGCCACCCTGACCAACAGGGTTGGCAGAGGGACCGGTCTTGTAGGCCTGAGAGAGAATAGGGAAGAGGAAACCGCCAGTCTTGCCGGAACCAGTCTGAGCGCAAGCCATCAGGTCACGGCCACCCATGACGATGGGGATGGAGTATTTCTGCACCGGGGTGGGGTTGGTGTATCGGGCGAGCGCGATGTTGGAGATCAAGTGGTCGTCCAGAGGTGGGTTGGAGAAAGTGAGGACGGGCTCAGGCACGTCTTGACCGGAGGCCTCGACGGGGATGTCGTCGTACTTCTCGAAGTTGATGCCAGTGTGCTGCTTGGACGGGTCATCGTGAGTGCCGAAGAGTTCGCGCTCAACGCGAGGGTTGGCAGGACCAGGAACATGTTTTCCCTCAATCCAGCGACCATCCCCAGAGCCCCTAGCTCCGCCACCTCCGCCGCCGCCGCCACCACCACCTCCAGTGTGTCCACCGGGACCGGAGTACGCGTTGGGGTCGAAGGAATGGGGCTGTCCTCCTCTGAACCCGTTGTTGCGGGGAGGAGGGCCATTCCAGTTGGGACGGTTGTCGTAGGAGTTGTTGCTGTTGACGAGTCAGTCAGTATCTAAGGAAGTTCGCATTTGAAGGCAGATTGACTGTAGTCATATTGAGCTACTCGGAGCGGAAAGAGGGTAAAAGAGTGCTTACTTTGCCCAGGCGCTGCTGTTGAGACCGGCCATGGGGCCAGGGCCAGGAACTGGACCTGGACCAGGGGGACCGTTCATGGGTCCGGGGCCCGTGCTACCTCTCATATGAGGTGGGATGTAAGATCGCTTGGTAGGAGGGTGCTGCTCCTGAGGGGTGGGGCCAAGGGAGAGCCCTCCCATGTTCAGTTGATCAGCCATGATTGCGGTCGAGGATGTTGGGCTGAGAGTTCGGCTTGGTGTAGTCTGGTGTTTTGGGAGGTGGTTGTTGTTGGTTCAATATGTCGGTGGTTTGAAGTCGCCGACAACAGTCATTCAGCCTGAGAAGTGAACGCAAAGGTGACTCCGATCAAGGAATGAATGACGAATGGAAAGAACAAATGTCTATTTGGTGATGAGTGTCGCAAGATGCAAAACCAGGCTGCAGAGAAAAGAAGATCTTCTCTCTTCGTGTCTCGTCTATTACGTTTCGCGACGGGTGTGTTGGTCGATTAAGCGTGGCTCGAAATGAAAAGCCTCGCAGATGGCCTTCTCGAAGAAACAACAATGACTTCTTCAAAAAGGAAAGGAAAACTGAACACACAGTTGAGGTTGGGTTGTGGTCAAAAAAGGTTTGTGGGTGGGTGTTGGGGGGAAAAGGGAGGAAGAAAGAGGATAGGGGAGAAGGGTGTTGGCTGCTGAAAAAATTGTCAAGTTTTTGAGCGAGAACAGGGCCCAGGGCGGGAGGCAGAGGCAGTCAGTCATCAGAAGCGGCACTCTCTGGCTGGCTGGCTGGGCTGGATACTAGGTCATGTACGTAGGGGAAAGCGCCACCGACTGGGTGGGTGGGCTGCAGAATCTTGAAGGGTACATGTACCAATGATGCTGATTGGAGAGGGAGCTAAGTGGATACCTGGGGCAACTCTTCATATGTGAGCGATAAGATGTACTATCTTAGCAGGAACCTGCTTGTGGCAGAAGCCACATGCCCTTTCCGTCCATCAACAAATTTGTCTATCCTCTGTCTCAATTTCAGGCCAGGCACCCAGGCACCAGCCGTACTGTACTATAAGGGACTACGATGTTTGTTAGTTTCACATCGCCTGTTCCTGGTCTCACTCGTCAGGATTTCATGGATACGCATGTGCCATGACCATGCTCAAGGGGTGACCTGAGGGGAGTTGGACTCTGAAGTCTTGAGTCTGGGCTCAGGAGTGTCTAATCCAGTCTTCATCTTCACAGGGCCAGGGTGGGAGGGAAAGAGGGCAGGCTTCACCAGATGAGATTGCCGACGGCTCGTCATACCAAAAGCGCAACAAACGCTAGGCTTCTGAGACCTCACCGCTCAGGCTGGCAGGCAGGCTGGTCTGCGGTCCGATCAAGTAGCCAACAAAGAACCTTGAAAACTTGCCTACACGGCCTGCATGTTCCACTGCTACGCCACGCCCACGCCCGCAACCACTAGCACCGCGCGACTAGCACACGGTAGCATACAGTCTGACAGGATTACTGTAGCAATCCTATTTTCATGACCGCACAAATCCAAAGCCGCCCAACAAGTTGTAGTCATGGCACAAGTCGCGGCTGTGGGCTGATCCTCCTCCTCAGGCGCTTCTCAGACAAGGAAGTCCGTTTCTGCAACGTCGAGTGTGACGAGAGAACAGGTGTAACCCTTGGTTTCTAAACCCCAACCTGGGGCTGGTGGGTTGGGTGCGAAGACGCTCATCAATCATCCCACAACATCCCTCCAGCCTCCCAACCGCCACAACACGCACTGTGCAGATTGAAGACTACCGACACAACGCAAGTAACGCCACATGCTCAGTATCTCTATCTGTGGCCTGCTTGATCTCATGTGGTTTGCATACCTTTGCACGGCGTCTTGTCGTGACACTACTAAGCAAGATTTCACATGCTAGGTGGGCAACCTACCAAAAGACCCTGACAGGCCTGGGCCGCTCTACGGCGCGTACCCAAACCCCCAAAGGTCAAAAGCTCATGTGAAGATTTACTACGGCCGCCTCGATCACGGTTAGTGAACATGTCCGCTACGATAAGCGAGTGATTCTCAAGCCCGAGTTTCTAGTTTTTTCCTTTCCAAAGCTGAAGGCATCCGACTTCTTCGCCACACGCACACGTCATCGCGCATCTGCAGCAGATGACTTTGGTGTGAGCTGAGTAAGGGGGTCTTCACTGCTTCATGCATCGTGATCATTTCCATTGGCTGCCTCTATGCCTCTGTATCATTCCATGGTATAATACACGGTCTTTTGTTGAGAACCGAGTCCGTCCCTATTGCATCCTGCCCGCCTCTCAAGCACTCTTCACCACCTTGTCGTCGTTGAACTCAATGTCAACGATTCCGTCCCTCGTCACCGCCTTCACAGTCATTCCCTTGAAATCAATAGGCATCCTCCTCTTCAACTCGTCCGTGCACATGTTCAGGATCTTGATACCCTGGCCGAGGGTGATATCGGGATGGTGGTGCTTGTCGAGTATGGAGAGACAGTAGTATCTGTATTGGTGTTCATGTCAGCTCTCGTGGCCAAACCCATTTGTTCTTCGGAGGCCATATGGATGCGATGCAATACGTACTGCGCGTAGCCGTGGGCAGCGTAAGGCACTGGCGCCAGTGACGCAAGGTAGTCCAGCCAGTACAGGCTGGGCTTGTGTGTGATGGGGTCGACTCCGCCGAGTAGGAGGTTGACATTGTATGGCTTCCGTGACCGGAGGCTCGATGCAAGCTCGCCGCGGACAAAGTGTGCCAGTGCTGATGGTGACAGGTCGGTCTCGTTGCGCATCGAGTAGAGCTGAGCGTTGGCCTGAAGGTACTCGGCGAATTGCACTGCACATAATGGTCAGCTAGATGGCGCGTGCTATCAAGCTCCCTAGACAGAATCATACCGGTGTCACCTGCTTCGCCAGAATACGCCATCAGGGTATGCTTGTTTAGTTGTCTGGTTTTGTCGTCGGCAGCTTTCAGGACGGTGGCACCTCGCATCGCAGCCTTGGAGGCCGCGACCAAGGTGAAGTCCTTGCCCGTAATTCCCAGCAGAACCTCCCTAGAACCATAATGTTAGAACCACTGTATTGAACATTGGGTGCCATACGCGCATGAGCTCACATTCTGTATGTCGGTGCGTGGTGAAGCGGAGAAGGTGAGAAGGTTGGCGTTGATGATGAAGGGGAGTTGTTGGTCGATCAAGGCACTCCCGGATGGCAGCTTGAGCGAGCTTCCAATCCGCCTGTCGTCAGGTCCACCTCCAGGTAGCAAGCAGACGAACGCGGCCCGCGCTTGCCTGGGCCCTGGGTCGCCAATGGTCCCCCGGCAGGCAAGCACAGAAGCCGCGGCGGCACTAGGCTAAGTCTCCAGGGTGCCAGGGTACCTAGGACAGGGGTGGGACAGTGGGGGCGCTCTGGCCCAGAAAAATATTTCCAAAATTTCTTGAGCCTGCCTGCATTGGAGAAATCTACTTGGGCTACTGGTCGAGGCAGCCAAAGTTCTGGCGACGACTTACAGCTGCCACCACCACGACCACCGTCATGTCGTCTTTCTTTACGGGCCCTGGGGTCCAGAACAAGCGCAAGAGGCAGCCCTCAGGAGCAGACGGCCCAAAAAAGAGATTAGCAACATCTTCCAACTCGGTTCCTGTGAACAAGTCGGCCGGCAAGGCATCCAGGAGGCCAGGCAACCCCGCGTCCAAGAAACAAAGAGTCGAGCGCGATGAGTCAATATCAGGCAGCGACTCAGAGGATGACGACCTTCTTGACGACGACGAGGAGTTCAATGGCGTCGACGAGGAGTTCAATGGCGTCGACGAGGAGTTCAATGGCGTCGACGAGGACACCTCCGGGTCAGAAGCGGAGGGAGAAACAGCGGCGGAGCGGCGATTGAAATTGGCAGAGCGGTACCTTGACAATGTGAAGGACGAAGTGGAGGACGAGTATGGGTTCGACGCCGAAGACATCGACCGCGATCTTATTGCCGAGCGAATGCAAGAGGACGTCGCCGAAACCAAAGGCAAGGTATACAGGAAACTTGCGGACGAGCTGCTGTTCGAACAAGCATCACATACGATTTTCAGGTGGAACTCGCAAAACGTGAATTCGATAGCCACGTGTGCTCCATACGCCTACACAGTATCAAAGGACATGTTCCTGGTGAAGTGGAAGCTTCAGGACCTGCCGCAGTACCAGTGGCCGCAAACAACAAAAAAGAAGCCTAAGAAACCACCTGCACCCCCCAAGAAGAAACCACAGCGGGTCGCATCGAGTCGGGGCGACTCCAGGAAGACCAAAGACAAGAACTACCAGGGCCACACGGGCCCCATACTGAAGGTCGCAGCATCACAAGACGGAAAATTTGTGGTGACAGCTGGAGCGGATAGGAGAATGGTGGTTCACGATGCCGAAACACTGAAACCTATAAGAGCCTTCACTCAGCACCGTGATGCAGTCACGGGACTAGCATTTCGCAGGGGCACGAATCAGCTGTACTCGAGCTCCAAAGACCGGACCGTCAAGGTGTGGTCACTCAATGAGCTCGCCTACGTCGAAACCTTATTCGGCCACCAAGATCACGTCGTGGACATTGATGCCCTTGCGCAGGAGCGCTGCGTTAGCGTCGGTGCTCGAGACAGGACAGCGCGACTCTGGAAGGTTGTTGAAGAGACACAGCTGGTCTTCCGCGGTGGCGGCTCTGGCATCTCTGAGAAGAAGAAGGATTCCAGGCCGATCACCACTGTCGACCCCAATTCCAATGCCCATGAGGGAAGCATGGACCGGATTGCCATGATCGACGACGAGATGTTCGTGACGGGTAGCGACAATGGCTCCATAGCTCTGTGGAGTCTGCAGAAGAAGAAACCAGTCTTTGTCCTGCCCCAGGCCCATGGCATCGAGCCAGCGTTGGCGCCGGAGAAGGCATCAGGCGAGATAGACCCCGACCCAGCAGTGATACCCCCACCTCAGCCGCGTTGGATCACGGCTTTGAGGACAATACCATACTCAGACATCATCCTCTCAGGTAGTTGGGATGGGTATGTCCGCGTGTGGAAGTTGAGCGAAGACAAGCGACGACTACAGCGCGTCGGCGTACTCGGCGCCACGTCCGACGAGGACGGCAACGTCTTGTCACACAACCCACAACACCAATTCCCTCAGCAGGCACTGACGAACGGCAATGCAGAGGAGCCCAAGGTGAACGGCACCTCATCGTCACAAGAGGTCGCACGGATTGAAAAAGAGAAGTCGCCTTCGCCCACTCCAGACTCTGCGCTCGGCCTCATCAAGGGCGTTATCAACGACATCTCCACATTTGAGCGTGGTGACCGCGGCAAAGATGGGCTATGCGTCGTCATCGCGCTGGGCAAGGAGCACCGCCTGGGCCGGTGGAAAAAGTTACAGGGTGGCCGGAACGGTGCCATGGTGTTTGAGGTGCCGAGGGTGCGGAAGGAATCGGTCCAGACAAATGGTGTTGAGCATGCATCAGAGGAGGATTCGGCATCATAATTTGCATAGCATTTATTGTAGGCATAGCTTCAGGAAGGAAATGAGGCAATATGACCAATCCCGCTTTCACATCGTTTGGAAATATCGTGATACGCCACTTTGCTTGTGAAAGTGTCCGATGGAAGCTCTTTATTGTCATGCCACAGGGTATTTCTCTAGGGCACAGCTCGTGCAAAGTTCTAAGGCTGTCTCGAAGGTGTTTTCTGTCCAACTTGTGTAGATTGACCTCCATAAGGTCCATCTATAACGAGCCAGGCACACGGTCCTTCGGGCGGTGCTTAAACCGGAGATACTGCTTGGCTACTTGTCCCGTCAAGGAGCCGAGTCCAACGAACACACTAAACCAAGAAAATTCTGCAATGAGCAATCGAAAGTGCTGTCAATTAGATTTCAATGTTTTCTGACGCTCTTCGGCGCAGGTACAGGATTACGCCAAAGGACGTAAGTTGCTGTCATGAGTCTCTACTAGGAAAGCCAGCTTGCTTCAAGTGTCTGGTCCCCGCCAAGGATTCTGTACACGAGCTCTCCTCTTCCATCCTAGTCGCCGGGCTCACTATTGTTTAATCAACCTGAGTCAGATCGATCGTAGGTTTCTTTTTCTTCTTGCCTCCCTTTCCTCCAACATCTTCTTCACTTGACGAGGGGATGACTTCGCTCTTCGTGACTCTACCCTTCTTGCGAGCAGACCTGACTTCCATGGGAGAACCTCGAAGGAACGTATTCCTCACGCTGCCCTGGTCGCCTGGACTCTTGACGACACCGAAACTTGCCCTACTCATACTAGTCTTTGAAGGCGCAGCTTTCGCTGGTGAGCTTAGTGCCGATGAAGATGGGAGCGGCGCCAGAAACTCCCTCTCATCATAGACATTGGCGGGAGTGGCCATCTTAGTACTTGCACTTTGAGATGTGCGTCGAGCCGACGGTGTTGCCCTTATTACCGAGAGCTCCGGAGTCTCATCATCGCTAACTACCTCTATTGACTCTGCGGGCTTTGACGCGACTGCGGTCGAAGAGCCGTTTGCTTTGGAACCGTCCATGCTCTCGTCGACATTTACAATCATGCTGACGTTGTTGATGTTGACTGATGTGTCGCCGGCCATCGGCCGCGGCATATGAGCCTCCTCATGGGCGGGGCGAACATCTTGATCGATGTCTGCCCGCAGGTGGCTCTTGTCAGCCAGTAGGGGCGTTACCTGACGAGAGTCTACCGCTGAGGTTGATGGAGGCGCGGGTGATTCTCGAGCAGGCGATTCGCCCGACGACCGAGAAAAAAGCTCTGACGGCATCGTTACGCCTTGTGGCTTCGACTTCTGACGCTTGGCCTGAGCTCTTACACGCCTCTTTTGTTCCTGGTTTTCCTGGTAATCTTTCTGCAGCCCGAAGATGAGGTCACGAATCTCATTTCGCAATGCGGGAGCTTGGACGTCCCAATCCCGTGTTTCGCGCTGTAGGATGCTTTTCGCAAACTTGTCCGGATCCTCCATGAACTGTCGCATGTATCCTAGGAGGTAGACGCCGCAATCCGTGAAATTGGGTTGGGTTGGGATGTCCCGCGCACTCGTTCCGATGGTAGCAGGGGCCTCGACGCGCAGCCCCTTCTTGGCCTCGATCTCACGCTGTAGATAAATCTTCAGTGCCGTACTAACCGCCGAGTGCGCCCCACCTAAGGAATCAAGAGTAATCACTCTCGTTGCTTTAGGGTCGTACTTCCTAGGGCCAGGACCCTTCTTCAAAGCTTTTGGCTTCTTTGTAGTGGCTGCGTTCATGTCCTCACGCTGATAATTTGACACGGATTCGGCTGATTCATCCTCAATCGAGATATGGCTGACATTAAGCCCAATTTGCTCCATGGTGTCATTAGCTGTTCCCACTGCCGAATCATCCTCTACGACGCCATGCGCCTGATCTTGAGGCTTATCCGAGCCCGGCACATCTGTCTCCGATGAGGTGTCGTGGGAAGAAAGGAGCTCCTTGGCATTGCAAATGATAGCGACATACCAATGCGCGTGTTCGTTGATTGGCACAATGATGTAATCAAATGAAAGAAGATCAACTTTGGCCGTCCAGTTCTGGACCCCTTCGTAGTTGATTGCTCCTCGTTTTGGCTTCAGCTTCTCCCAAAAGAAAGAATTGAAGAAGTAGACCTTCTTGGCCAGCTGTTCATCTTTCTCCTCCAGTCTCTTGTGAAGATATTTGAGATAAAATGTAATAATCTCATCATTCAAAAGCTGGCCTTCATCGAGTCGTTCGACGTCGCTTCTGCCGACAACCGTACGCTCGTACACGAGATCGATTCTCCAATTGTCAGCCCAGCCGGGATGGACCGCCGTCCATCTGTCTGGAGAAGGGCTCTTCGGCTTAGGGTCTGTGGACCTCAGGCTTCGTTGAGACCGCACCTCAGGCTCGTACATACCTACTCGAGAAGGAGTCTGCCACTTCTGCTCGTTGCGCAAAATTCGCCGTGATTGGGTTTCTGGTTGACTATCGTCACCAAAGTCCTCCCGGAGCTGCTTCACTTGCTCAGGTGTTAGGGATGTTGGTTCTTGCGCAAAGTTCTTGGGTCTGGCCCTTCCGTCAGCCAGAACTGGGCTATCGGTCTTCATTTGCACCCGAAGCGACCTTTTGTCGGCAACTTGTCGTGAATGCTGTGGACTCAGCCCCACTGAGCGCACTAATGCCTTCGAATTGGCACGATTACTCGTAGACTCCCTGTGCTCTAAGTATTGCACATCTGTGTCTTGTGCTTTTCCAACCTTCTTCTCGTTGAATGCCACAATTTGCTCGATCTTGCGGTCCATCTCCTTACTCAAAGCGTCGCTGTGCTGGATCAGTAATCTTGCCTCAAGCCTAGAAACCCATGATACTCACATATCCATGCTGACTCTATTGATGGTATTCTTGGAATTGCAGCAACGTGTCACAAAAGCCTCCGCCTCGTGAGCATTGCCAAACTGCAAGAAGAGGACAGCTCCTGTTTCCAGGGGTGGCGTACCATTAGAAGACTTCGATATCTTGACAATCATCGAATGTCGGGCGTGAAAAATCTTGGAAATTTTGGATAACTTGGGCGTTAACCACACGAGATCGGGTATTGGCTTTCTGGTATCAGCATCAACAGCTTCGAAATGCCGGTCTCCCTCTGTAGTCGCAACTAAAACGCATGGCTTGTCACTCGCGCCTCTGGTGTCTCCGTGCATGCACTCATTGGCTGGGTACACGTAGCTGGGTTCGCAGACAGCCTTACTGACGCGAAGCAAGCCGTGATTTACCCCAAATTGAGGGCCGAAAGTCGTTCGGTGCATATCGGCGCGATCTGGAGGCTGTGCCCGCCGCTTAGCCAGAGATGTGATCTGAGGCTCTTCATCGATTTGAGTGTCAATTTGACGCTTTCTTCCGGCCCTTGCTTGGCTCACCGGCGCACTCTTCCTGTCGGCTGCGTCTTTGCCATCAGTTGGTGGGTTTGCGCCCAGCTCGTCCTCGCTTCCACTGTCTCCGGCAAAGAATCTTGAGGTTGTGTACGAAACCTTCCCTGCAGCTGTCTTCGCATTTGGCCGCCCATTGACCACAGATGCCCGACCTACTGGACCGGCTGTCACTTCTAGATCCTCGTCATCTTGGATAGGGTCGTTAGAGGGCTTTTGAAGATGCAGTAAATTATTCTTTGGTTTGAATGACCCTGACGAAGTCATCTTCTGCGTGCGGAAGCCAGATTCATCGTCCACAGGGCCGTCGGAATGGCGCCGTCCTTGTCTCCTCCGCCTTGACCGCGGCGCATGTCCAGAGCCTCCCCGTTGCTGCGCGCTGCGATATTCTTCGACCATCTTGCCGTTGGCAGATTGATCGGCACTTGAGCGCAGACTCAGGGCATCTGGGGCATCATGACCTCCTTTTCTCTGGCCGCTGCCAGCTGCGACTGACCTCTCGGGCAGTCCGGAGTTGCTAGGTGTAGAGTGAATGTCATGACCCGCGTCGTCCTCGGTACGCCGTCGTTTCGCGGGATGCTCGACTGAGGATTCTTGAACGCGTTTCGGCGTCGTTGCGGGCAATTCTGATTGAGAGGCTCGGCCCTGAAGAAAGTCTCCATAGATGAATCTACCTATGCTTTCCTTGAACCCGCGACCCATATTTGCGCGTTCTGGTTTCCTACAGAATCTCAGCAACTGATTTCTGAGGTGTTTGTTGAGGACCTACCCATAGTCGGGGAAGGAGTTCTTGTCAGACCAGTACCTCGCTATGGGGTTCCTGTCATATTCTCAGCTCCAGCTCCATAATACGCCATAATGGGTCTTCCAAGCTACCATGGAGGGTTCTTCGACGCGGCAGTGGGACTATGCGCGGCAGTGGTGGCGGGTTCGCCACAACTAGTGATGCCGTTGACTCGGGTCGTTCGAGGCTCTTGTCTGCACCGAGTATGGGTCAGGCGCTTCCATCTTGGTAGCCCACAGGTGCGAGAGAATCAAGACTCACACATGCCCTGCCCCCACAGAGTGATCCGTCTTGTCCGCCTTATGCAATCGCACGGTCGAGTCACCGGCCTGTGCGAGGGATCGAGGTAGCCGCGAGGATTTCTTGGGAGTCACAAGAGAGGATCAGTAAGAGTATCTTGGTAGACAGGCCCAAGACAAAGACACCGAGCAAGTGAGCACTGCTCGCTGCGTCCGTTCTGCGGTGACTTTTTGGCAGCCGTTGAGATCGGCCTCGAGTTGCGCACTTGCATTCACCATCCCTGTCCGGGTGGCCCCACTTGCCTTTGACAGTGGGCAGTTGCAGTGGCAGGCAGCTGAGTGCCGGGGTGACTGATGTCAAACCACAGCTAGCAACCGCAGGAGCTAGCGGGCCCTCCCTCTCCAGCCGCCTGCTAAGCTGAGGGCCGAGGAGCAGCTGGAAAGTAAGGCGCCCGACTGAGAGAAGATAGACGAAGCAGACACGATTGCGAATCAGGTAACGCGGGAGCAATAAAGTCCAGGAAAGGTCAACTCACCACCTTCAGGTCCATGTTGCTGCATTGCGGAGCAGCGTTTGAGAGTAGTCGCTGCCCAGACGCATGGAAGGAAGCTCACTGGCACTCAGGCTCCGGCAGGGTCATCCGCTGCTCAGATCAGGTGGGCGGCTTCTTCCGTGCTCGCTAAGAGTTGGCGGTCTCGTCATCTCATGCTGCAGTTGGGCATAGTTCCAAGCACAAAAAGGCGACAAGAGCCTGTAGTACTCTTTGTACACTTGAAGGCGAGGAAGGAGGAAGGATAAATCAAAAGATGGGTAGAGGCATCCAGGGTCTTTGGGGCGAGTTGCGGAGTAAGGCGTGCATCTCCGCCCCCAAGGTTTCCTTCCTTCATGAGATACCCAGGCACACAGTTACTGTAGTATCGTCGAATTCTGGAGCATACCACTCCAAATCACCTAGTAATTTTTCCAACTACCAAGTCCGAATCCTAACCATTCCAGCGTTGAGCTTTCATATTCTGGTGTTCAACATCAACAATACTGGACTATCGGCAGATGCTGCACTCAACCAGCGCGGTGGAATCTGCTCAGTGCAAATCTCAACACATGGTTTTGCGAACAGAGGGTTACATATTCATGGCTAATTTAGAGGGCTCAGAGTAAGATCCGTGAGATATCTCGTAGCATTCATCATTGCATGTGTCGTTGATATATGTATACAGGAAGGTATTCCTCCTTCCATATATCGGCCCAATTCCTATTCTAGAAGTTTTGCCCCGTGAACGGAGACTGGACGCTCCCAAATCCCTGAGGACACTGCCTCCCCAATCCAACACTTCCGCTCCTCATGTAGCAAATCCTTGCCTCTGCACAGGCTTGGCTGGTGCAGTTGGGGCTCAGCGCACTGCTCTTGCCCTGGTACGTGTTCTGCAGAGACACCAAGCTTCTGTCTTCCTCCATGGCCTCGGTGACACGATGCCAAAATGTCGCATTCAAGGGCTCGCTCTCGCCCCATCCCGCTGCTGCCCCGTAGGCCTCCCGGGTGGAATACTCAAACTCCCAGGTCGGCCCAGATCCGTCGAGCGAGGAGAATTTAGAGACGTCAGAGTAAAATGTATACGCGTCCATGACTTCGAAGGAGCCTGTGTCTATTTCGTACATCCTATACCTGTACGCCGCGGGATTAATTAATTACTCTTTGAAAAGTCAAGAGCAAAGTTTACTTGTCTACAACATCGTTTCTCTCTATATTCGCCTCTACCCTTTCTCACTTTATGAAAGGGAAAAAAGAAGGGGTAAAGGATCCTAGTATGGAAACCAGTACAGTTATCACTTACCCAGAGTTCAGATTTGTAAGCGGCGTGAGGGACGGGCCAACCCAGGCGTTGGCAACCGCATTCTCAGCAGACGGATTCGTGCCGTTCTTGCTGTAGTAGATGAAAGCTTGGTCTTCATGAGTGTGGCCAAAGAAAATCCCCGCAATTACGTGGGGAGAGTATCGCTCGACGATCTGATAGAAGTAATCAGCCCCAGTTGGAGTGGGATTTGTGCCGTCCCCTATAAGGCGTTGTCAGTGGTTGCTCCGGCTTTCAAAACTATAAAGGTATGCAAGACGGTTGCGGGGGTATGGTCTTCTCCTCGTCTCAGACTTCCCCTTCTAAACCGCTCGGGACTCAAACGAACTCTTGTCAGAGTACTTACAGCCGGTAAGGACGTGAGCGATCACATAGGCTCGCTGGCCAGCATCCTCGGCCTTCTGGAGCTCGTCGATGAGGAATGTGAATATCCCAGAGTAGTCCGGATCCGCGGAGTGCAGAAAAGAATAGTAATTGCCCTTGTAGTAGAAGTCGCTATTGAGGGTGATAATTCTTATCCCAAGTGGATGATTGACCGCGTATGCTCCGTAATGCAAGGCGGCTTCAGCTTGCGTGCTACTATTAATCCAACTATAGTGTTCCCAGAGTTTTGAGATGTGATCATAATTCCACGAGAATTGTTCGCCCAGTGGACCATCATTGTCGATTGCGTGTGGGGCATCGTTGTTCTCCGGGCTGCTATCGTGGTTGCCCAAGGCAGCGTAAATGGGCCCGCCGATGTACGCTTTGAACATCTGAAGGAGGGCGTCCTCGACATCTTCGACGAATGCCTGTGAGAGCTGGGCCTGAGAAGGAGCATGCGTAACCATGTCTCCAGTATAGAAGGTCATTGCTGGTGGATCCTCCCGAGATGTCCCCGTCAACGGTCCAATGGACTGCAGAGCTGCGAGTGCCAAATAATATGGCGAGTCACATCTATAATATCCATATAAAGGAGCCGGGAGCTCGACAGCTGGCATACTACCATTCGATAGAGCGCTGCTAGGCCGGCAACAAGGACTGCTTGTACACTCTCCTTCCGTACCAATCTCATATCTCGGATCTATCGATAGAACTCAGTCAAATATCTCTCAGAGGGGTTTGTTGCTTACCCAGATGCATATCTGAGAGGTGGAAGATCTTTGCCCTTTTCCCACTCCTCACGGGCATACTAGCGTTCACCGGTCTCTCCTTAGGGAACATAGCCTTAACAGGTATTACTGGAGGCGCTGTGCAGAACTTCGTACTTAAAGAAGAGCAAATGTACCGGCCGTCCAAGCCCGCAACATCAGCTTTCGCCAACACCTGCGTCCACACAGCCCCAAAGCTGCCCGCTTCGTAAGTGGTTTGGCACGACGAGTTAGAGCTGAATCCAGTGGCCTGGCAGAGAGCTACCATGGCGTCTGGGACGTATGTGGGCGCAAGGTTGGCTGCCAACTTCGCGACTGATAGTGCTGCCACACATTTGGAACAATTACCGGCCAGGCCGCTACTGTTAGCTGATATGATTTGAAGAATCTCGTCCACGGCGGCTGAAATTACAGCAGCGCTGGCACTATCTGAGAGATTGGTAGCAGCCACGGGGTAAAGGACAGGGTCGAGGTCTTCCATTGGTATAGTTAATAGATCTATAAGGTTCAACGAGAACGTAATATTCAACACGGAATCATAGATGGCTAGTTGAGGCTCCTGTGTTGGACCGGGTTGGACTTTCTACTGTCAGGACTCAAATCGATAGCCGGGCGCCTGGGATCCTGGCAGGATAGTCTTACCGTAATAGGATGAGTAGACTGAGGTCGGGAATGCAGTAGGGACAACATAGAAAGCAGCCCCTGGGAGAGTGGTCTCGGCGGCACCCTCAGTGGCACTGACAACGGCGAGTAGCGGGTATTGTGGCCGCATGCCGAACATAGGTTCAGCCTTAAGGCTGGCTCTGCCTGGGTATTTGATTTCGGGGTCCTTTCAGGGTGTCAGTCTCCAGATCTCGGTCACGGGAATAGGCGAATAGCACAAGTTTCTGGGAAGGTTAAAGCAGCTTGACATTGTCTGCCAATACATCACGGTGCACTCCCGTGGATATTTGAAGTGTTGAACCACATACTAAACAGGGAAATGAGAAGCTATTCTCAGGCCTGGACTGGGATCTATGAGGGGCGGGTCTAGCCGCGAATGGATGTCCACAAAGGCCGATAGGAAAACGTGCAAGATTTATTGGATTTGAGCACCAGCCCGGGGGCTGAATAAGGACATGCAGAAAATGAACGTACGGCCGATCAGCCGGGCTGCAGCACGTGTGCTCAGTACAGCGATGGCTCTGTTGCTGAGTGCCGATAAAGGATGAATTCTGCCGTGCAACAGGGCAAAGACAAGAAGCTGTTCACGTCTTCATGATAGGGCTGTTCGTTGAAGGCCAACCTGACGACCATTCAACAAAAAGAAATCTGCTTAGACGAGCTCGTTCATAAATTGTCGTGTTCTCAGATAGACCACTTGGCCCAACTAAGGAGACTTTGTCGACATCCTCTGGGCATTCGGCCCCAGTTGCAGAGCACCAGTAACTTCTGGTATCCTCGAGCTTTTGACTGCGATGCTCGAGCCCTGAAGGGCCGTGGACGCTGTTCAGTGCGTTGAGGTGCTGTGCCGTGCTGTGGTCACGGTACCGCGTGCATGATAGTTTGTTGAGAGGACTTGGTCATCTCCATCATCTGATTGTACTGTAGAATATCTCCCTGGACTGACGCCCACGTGATTATGGGTTCCATGCGAGTTGCAATCAAATCTTCAGATCAAGCGTTTGAGTCCTTGACTACTCAGGTCCTAGAAGCTCTACTAAGATTGTAACATCTGAGTTTATTTGGCTGCCACAAATGAAAGAGAAATCTGCCTGTTGGCAGCATGCACAGGCAGCAAAAGATCAATCTCAGGCTGCACACAGGTTGAGAACTTGAACGGCCCCCCTGTGCTCGCCAGTGAAGAAACGGTTGCAAATGAGGTGGAGTACGTGGCTGCCGTTTTGGGTAGTTTGGCCAAGGCCAGCCTTGTAGGCCGCCCTCCCCCTGCTGCTACCGTTGTTCACGCTCACCTTAGCTCACCTGCGCATCGCACCTCATGCACCTCCTGCACCTCCCGCATATGAACGCGCTCATTGTCTTGCTGCCATTAGATAGGGCGACCCTTGGCCAAATCCAGCCCCTCGTACTTATAAAGTAGTCACACTCTCTCTCGTACCGCTCGCTGCTTTCGCCAACACTTCCTCTGCAACGTGACGGACCGAGGTCCCTGGCATGGGCCGCCGCAGACTTGACTAGGCGTCAATGAGCGGCTCCAAGCGAAAGGCAACCAACACCGGCAACAACAGCAGCAGTAGCAAACGCAATAGCATTGGCACTCGCGCACGGAAAGTCATCTCCTCACCAGAGCCAACACGCATGCGCACTCGTGGTCAGGTCAAGGCCGAGCGTGCTATATCTGAGAAGAGACCAAAGCTGCGCCATGATACACGTCAAGACAACGTCTTTGCCATCAAAGATATAGTTGATGAGAAGTTCATCCACGGCAAGCGTCACTACAAGATCGACTGGCAAGACGATTCCAACACTGGTGAATCTTTTTCGCCCACCTGGGTCTGCCACCCCTCCTCTCAAAAATCCAGGACTTTGACTAACCATCTTTGTAGGAGCCTGAGGAGAACGCCAACGAGAACGCTGTCAAGGACTGGGAACTGCATAAACAGCGCCGAGTCCTTCTCAGTCTCACCTCGGAGAAGGACACTGTCGTTGAACCCTCTGAGGCCTCAACGCCTGGTCAAACTCCCGCTGGTGCCATCTTCGTTGAGCTGCAATCGAAATCGGATTTCTTGAGGTCAAGGCCAGATTTTGACCTCTCCGACGTTATCTTTGTCTCATCGTCTCAACTTTCACAATTTCCTCACCCCCACTCTCAGACTGAGCTCGCGCCCTCTCAGTTCTTCGTCGCCTCATCTCATCCATCTCTGGACTTTGTTGCAGATTCCCAGCCTGTAAACTCGGCTCTTGTAGAGTCTCAGCAAACACAACCCACCACCAGAAACCCAGGCTTCAGTCAAACAACCATTCCCGACTCTCAGGATTTCTCTACAGATCTGTCGCAAGGCCCTATTAGCGCTAGCTTTGCGGCCCAAGAGCGTAACTCGCCACCAGCAGGCCAGGAGGCTCGGGCCGCAGCGGAAGCATTCACCAGAGCCGCCACACAACATCCATCATTCGAGTCGTCGACGATACCATCTCGTCAGCCGGGCACCGTTCTTGGCTCCTTTGGAACACATTCGATCCCCCGTTGGGAGGAAGGAGACTATCTGGAGGAAGAAGGCCAGCACGGAGCACGGGCAGAGCATTCGCAAGTAGAGAACCCGGTCTCACGCGGGCACGCGACCAGTTTTGAGGGCTTTTTGATTCAAGCGGAACTTCAGATTGGCAGCTCTGACCTGCCAGGCGGCTCGGCATCACGACGCCTATCCAGCCACATCACTTCCCAAAGTGAGCAGCCTTCAAACACCTTGGCTGAGGTGACTCCAACGGACGACTCTCAGCAAGCTGCTCAAATAGTATCGCCTCTAGCAGCAGAAGTTCCCCTATTCCAGACGCAGAACGAGGAAGACTTTTTTACTGCGTCGGAGGACTACGAGGTTGTTCCGGATACCTTGAAGAAGAGCGTAGGACGCAGTCATGGATGAGTCGCAGGTTGCTTCCTCGGAGCGCTCAGCGATTGAAGAATTAAGAGCAATCCAAGAGGCTTTTATTCCCGGTTATCAAAATGCCACTATCATTGACAACAACACAGGAGGGCAAGAGCCAAATGCACCCCCTTCACCGGTCTCACCGTCCACGATCTTGAACAGCGTAGAGCAAGACTCCCTCGAGAACTTACATCATCCTGATCTCAGTCATTCTGCTGTTCACCCGGAATCTTGGGCTCAAGAACCACCGCCTGAATTATTCGCGGAAAATATCGAACCTCAACAAGATGCGACGATTATTGATTCTGGCATGGCATCCTTGAACCCCCCTGCGGCAGCGTTGGGCACAATTGAGGGCCTAGCTTTACCATCAAGTGCCTTGAAACAACACATGGAAGCAAGTCTTGAAGGTAGTGATGTACCTGCTACTGTCACTCCATCGGCCCTGCTCGCCTCCGTCGATCTCAACGTCGCTCCTGACCTTGAAGTTCGACCAAGCAGCGGTTTGCCTGAAGACGCCGAACCTGGCGTTGCATCAAGTGAGGGCCACGGTGACGTCGTCATGCACGACGACCAGGACTTCGATATTCTTTCCTCCGAGGACAGTGCACCGAACGAGTACCTTGTTCCTATTCCCCCTGCCGCTAGACTTCGCGCTGAGGTTTTGGACTACATCAATGACCACCGTCAAGAAATACAGACGTTTACTACGGGTGTCTATCGCGACATCGCTGCGTCGCCAGATCACAAAAATGCCGCCAAAATCGATGGAATGCTTCAGTATCTCACTGAACTGAGCAACCTACCACCTTACCACAAAGACCTTCCCGGGCTATCCCAGGAAGAGTGGGTGAGATATGCCAGAGACACCAGCAGCAAGCTGTCATTCGCATACGAGTTCTTGGAAGGTTTGCGTGATGCAGCCGTAGAAATTGCCATCCTTGCTGATTCTGGTACCGTCTTGAAGTCATTGGAGGCCATACTGTCACAGGGTGGCTTTGTATATCGACATACTCAAGGAGCTTGGCCTCAAATACCAATTGGCCAGGGCTCGACTTGCAGAGTGGTATTGATTGACACATCTATTGAAGATGCGCAACCTGTGCACACTGCGAACATTGTGCTTGCATACGACCAGACCGCCGAGCATTCTGGCTTGCTCGACCACTACAAGACCGACAGTTTAGACAAACAGGAGCCATTAGTATTTTCTCTCGTGGAGGTCTACACGCTCGAACATATCAATCGGCGCCTGTCGCCCGGGATGGACCCGTTCGAACGGAAGCGGGCACAAGCTCTCTGTGTGGCCTTCCTTTCTAGACATCTCGAGGACGAGTGGATGTACGAGCGAATCCCGCAACCACATGAAATGGCGCAGGACTTGATTCGCTATCTCGTTGACGATGAAGGACACTTCACTCACCCTGAAACAAGATGGGAGACATGGGAGCACCAGACGGTCCCCGAAGATGTCTTTGATCGGTACAAGGCATTTCGGAGTCGATATTTCTCTTCTGGTAGCCGAAAGCGGCGGTTGGACGAAGGCAACGATGTCTCCGAAACTCCAAAACGGGCCCGGATTGAGTCACCGCCTGAGATAAGCGATGATTTAAGAAAATACCTCGGAACCGATGCCATTCTCACCGGCAATCAAGCTCAGATCTCCATTGAGAGGCTTGAGGATCTTGTAGTTCAGGTAGGTGACTGAAGAGCAGGCTGTCCCCGTTGGAACCATACTAACAAGCCACAGGCAAAGGATTTGAAGGCTGCTTTGGACCAAAAAGGTGAAGAGCTGAGGGGTTGGGTGAAGACTGTGAAGAGCTTCCAGCCTAAATACCAACAAGCCATCAGAGAACGCAACATCTTCGAGGAGGAGCGCAACAAGTTGCTCAAAGAAAAAGACAAAATGCAGAAATCGCTCGATAGCAGCCAGGCAAAGGCGACCAAGCTTTCAGAAGAAAAACACGAGCTTGAAATGAGATTGCAGGAGCTGGCAAACTCGGACAATCCCAACACTACGACAGCCGCCCAACGGGAATTAGAACTCGCATCGTCGCGAGAGAACGCGGCGGCTCTTGAGAAGCAGCTAATATTCCTGAGAAAGGATGTCGAATATGCGCGCAGCCGGTATCAGGACGCATCGGACAAGGCTGCTTCTCTAGGGGAAGAGAACACAACCCTGAAGAGCCAAATCGCCGAGCTTGAGAAGAGAGCCTCTGATAATGTTGTCAAGCTCCGGGGGCTCAGCGTGGATACGGCCCGCCACGACGCCTGGCGGCTGTACCAGGACGAGAAGGCCCAGCGCCTCAGCGCAGAGCGCGAGCTAGACAGGAAGAATGACGAGCTGCGCAACTACAAAAGCCGGTTCGGTGGCCGCGAGACTAGGGGGAGCAGTGTTCCCCGTAGTCCTCGCGTCCGCCAAGTGTCCAGCCGCAACACGAGCCCGGTCGGCGACAATGGGAACGGCGGGAACGGCAGCGGACCAGGCCCAATCTCAGGCGTCTTTGGTCCGAGGAGCACACATTTGAAGGAGAACTTCTAGTGAAATAGGAACAGGTAATATAGTGGTGTAGGAAGTGGAAGCTGTAGGGTTTAGCGAGATGGCCATGTGCCCAGGGAGTAAATATTTTAATATTGCTGTAATCTGTGAGAACAGCAAGCACCTTTTTCGCGTATTACTCATAATCTGTCGCACGAACAAGAATCAGACACAGCATTTTGCACTGTGGCCACATGAAAAAGGCGCTGCTCGTCTCATGGCGGCAATAGGCACAGGGCGCTCATTGATTGTGTAATTCCAAGCAGACAGTAAAGTCGACTTTACGTCTCTAACTGGTAATTCTTTGTCTTCTCTTGTCGGCTGACACTGTCCTTTCCTTCGTCTGTCGAATCTGCTTCGTGTCACTTATGAGCTGGGACAGAAGCACCACTCACTGTCATCACTCAAGTATCGACTTGATCGAAGGCCAAGCGAGCTGTCTGCAAAAAAGACTTTGCCGAATGACACGGTCGTGAAATATTTGTAACGGCAACTTGCAGCGTCTCGGCTGTATACTTTTTGAATTACTTTGTCGATATATGAAACTGGATTAGTGAGAACCGCTTGTCAATGAAGGGCAAATGGTTTGATCCTGAGCGCACATAGGCTTGCATTGTGATACAAACTCCAGCGCGGCGAGATGTCATTCAATGTACATACTGAGCCGTGATCTCGAAGGATGATGTGGTAGAATATCGGGGAGGGCCAGTCGTAACTCGTTTGCTGGCCTCCCCTTCCCCCAGCCTCCAAGACCTGATCTTTTCTATACCTTTCTTTTCCAGGAGTGCCTATATAATGAGGACACTCGACGTCTGTGTGTATATGGGCTGGAAATTGGACACGAAGCAGAGACATCACGGGCAAGTCCACATGCTACCGCTACTGCTTTTCCCCAGCCCCATGGTGCTGTTGCAGCTGTTCACCACTCGCTGGCACAATCCGCAAGGCTCCGAAACTTCGATCGAACAGGCAGGGAAGCTCAGGTCGTGTAGCGGAAGGACGTGGCTTAGCTCCTTGTGCTTGCAACTATTTGCTGTCGTGTCCATACGGACGAACCGGAGCGCATTGTCCAACTCCTCGGTCTGGGAGCAAAGAGTTTGACATAGAGGCTTGCCGAGCGGTTTCACTTTGTTGCTCATAGCCAGTAAGGTAATATACCATCGTGGCTGACTCGCTCTGTGTCCGCGGTCCGTGTGGGCGAGTACTACGCTGTTGCTTCTCTTCCTTCTGGGCGGAGAGGAGATCATGGCAAAAACCTCTCACCTTGGACCCAATTCACAAGGCGTGGAGCTGCTGAACAGCCAAGTGAGTAGATAGGAAGATTAGAAGATTAAAGCTCCTCATGGGCCTCCTCTGCTGCTCGTACATTACCCGACATCAGTGCACCAGGGGAGAAGGCACCGCTACCGTCACTGGATTTCGCTTCGGCTGACATGAGAACGTGAACAACGTCAGAATTTCCCCCTCCCGCCTTCTATGAAAATGGTAGTCCCAAGCTGGCTGCTTTTTTGTCTAAGGTTGGTTTTTTGTTTGGTAGTAGCACACATATACAGATCCGGCCTTGCTCAGCCTCGCCTAGCAACTTGGATTCAAGATTGAAATGCCTCCTCCCGCGCAGTGCAGAGTAGAGTGCCCGCGCCTCGTGTGGTTTGGCGAGGTTCGCTGGTCGCGGGTATCTAGTGCTCGGCCTGCTCCTCGGGGTACAGGTCCTCCTTGAGCAGGACGCCGAGCTCCTTGCGCAGGGGCTCGAGCTCAGTGAGGTATTGCTGGTACTGCTCCTTGTTCTCGACCTTGGACTTGATGCCTGTTGGGATCACACGGGGTCAGCCAATCGACGTGTCTGTGACGCTTTGAAGCTTGTGGTTCGTTTGCCATACCCTCGAAGATGCGCACGGCAGTGGGGAAGTCGTTGACCCTCCGGGCGGCCCTCAGCGCGGCGGTGCAGACGGAAGGAGAGGGGACCAGATCGTAGGCGAAAGCGTTGTTCAGGTTGCGCTATGTCGGGTCGAGAAGGTCAGCGGATTGTTCCGTCTGTCCGGCGTGGCCGGGAAGCTCGCAGTCCAACTCACCTGGAGCTCGAAGACATCCTGGACACCATCGAATTCCTTCTCGTATCTGTATTTGCATTGCTTTCGTCAGCCATTGATCCATGACAGCATCGTTTTTGGGCCCAATTGACCCCGATTGACCCTTGGGTCGAGCTATGACGTGACGTGTTGCCGCTGTCTAGCCGGCGCCGGCGAGGGAGGCTTTTGGTCGTCGGAGGGTCCTCACCTGTCGCTGAATTCCTCAAAGGACTCCTCGTGGTGCTCGGCCCGCAAGCGCGATGAGGTGCTGAAGCTGGGGCGGGCGGCGACCAGAGGACGAGCGGCGGTGGTACGCAGGGTGGTTGCACGGAAGAAGGTCGAGGCCGTGGGGCCACGGGCTGCGATACGGAGGAAAGACATGATTTTTTTTTCTGTCGCTCTCCAGCTCCTGCTGTGTGCTCGGTCTCGGGTTTGGTATATGGGTGGCAGCGACAAAGGGAGCGAAAAAAGGGCTGACCTCACAATCGTAAGTGAGTGGAGAGTGGAGAGTGGTGCGGTCGTGGGTGGTCGGGTGTGGTGTGCTGAGTGTGGTGGTGGTTGACGGTTGGGAGAGCAGTTTTCCGGTAGAGTAGGGTGCCTATCAAGATCGGACCACTTGCGCTCGACTAGAGCCAGAGCTGCGGGTAAGCCAGGAGCCAGGCCCAAGCTGCCAGACTGCGTTCGGCTGGCAGGAAGGAAGTTGTCGGGTCACCTCTTGCAAGGCTCGTGATTGGGCGGCTTGCTACGAGGATCCTCTTGCTGGAGGCCCACCCAACCCCGGACTGGCCAATTGGCCGTGCTGCTTTGGTGAGCAAACCAGCAATTCACCACTATCGCGTCTCAGGCCTGGCTGAGTGAATCGCTGATGCTGTGTACTCGTGGGACTCGGTGCTTGGCTCTCTGGGGTCGATCCGCTCCCAACACGTTCACTCATCCATATGCGCTGCCTGGAGGATTCACGATGGAGGGTGGTGGACTTGTAAAGCAACACTCAACATCTATATAAGGCAGCTGCATCGAACGGCACACTGCCTGTAAAGTGGCTGTCCAGACTCCACCGTGTCGGTTGCTCTCCGTTCCCAGGGCTCAGGTTCGCAGGGCGATTAGTGAACAGCGACCAGTGAACAGCGACCAGTGAACAGCGACCAGTGAACAGCGAACATCGACAAGCACGCTCGGTTCGTGTTCCGAGCACTGGGACCACAGAACCACAGGCTCGACCTGCCGAATGCGAGTTCATTCCGAAGAAGCAACGTTCCTCGCTGCAGGAACACTCTACGGCATGACATCAATGCCATGTGTCGAGATGTTGATATCAGACCACCTGCATGTGGAATCCAGGAACAAGAGTTGCAATGTGCGGCCTGCCCGGCTTGCCTATATTGATTGTGTACGTTGAGTAGCTGCACGTCACATGCTTGTCCCTGGTCTGCGTGTGTACAGTACCCTACATAGACTAGTAGACTCACTCACTCTCCCTGGCTGCACGTCAGGCACGACGCAATTCTCTAGCGAGTCTCGTCGCTGCGAGGTTGCTCGTTCTCGTCCAACCTCTCCCCTGCCTGGCCTCAAAACACGCGCATACACACACACTCACATCACATGCAAATGTGTTGAGTCGGGGCCATCGGCGGTTGGGAGGCATGGGAGGCCGACGGAGAGGTTGGACGTGAAATGAGACCCCGACGCGTTGAGATTAGATGGAGTAAAATACCGGCACCCCAGCAGACTATCGGCCCCGGCGTCTTGGCCCGAGGCCCTCGCTGCTCGGGGGATTACCATCTGGATCAGCTGGATAGGTACGCAGGTTGGCAGGTAGACTTATGATTTGTCTAGTACTGTAGGGAGGGAGGCCTTTACGGCCTTTACGGCCTTTACAAGGATTGCATCTGTCCCGAGGCTACTTCTCCCAGATCACCCCATTCTCGGCATACCTCTACGTGGGTATCTGGCTGGGTATTAGGAAACCTGGTTACCTGAACACCTAGGTGTTCACCTACCTAGACATGTCAATTGAATGCCTGGGAGGATGGTTTATGGTTTACATTCTGTAGTGGACATTTAGCTGTAGTTTCGTCCGACCCGTCTGGTCTGTGCTGTTGTTGAGCAGGTGCCGAACAATGCCTGGGCCCATGTCTGCGCAGGTCTATTGTGAGGGATTGTGAGCGAGACACTGCGAGACAGGTGCGTCTTTTGGACCGGCAGAACCGAGCGCGGGCAGGTGCAGCCGCTAGGAAAAGCCTGCCTTGCTCTCGCGACGTACGGGTGCCTGTGCGGTCGTGCCGGGTGTGCGGGTGTGCGGGTACGGGTTGCAGTAGCACCAGTAGCCCTTTGCGCTTGGCTGCGCTTTGCCTGGCGGCCTGGTGGTGCTGTCGCCAGAGGTACTAGTCTCGACTTTGGCAGTCTGGATGCGACTGCCACTCGCCCGACCCCTGCGTACCTGGCAGATTAAACACATCTCCTTTTTCCTGGTCCTAATCCCGTTCCTGCGAGTAGATCCCCCGATTGATAAACTTTTCCCACTTCCCCATCACCATCATCATCGCCCTCCTTCTTCTCTTTTATTCCTGTCCCCCCCCAATCCCGACCCTTCTTCTTCCTCCCTTTCCCCAGTTGTGCTGCGCCGTGCTGTCTTTGCTTCGTTGCGGACGGTGGTTTGCTTAGGGGCTTTTGTTGAGAGAGAGTCAATTGTCTTCTTGTCCTTCCTTTTCTGCCGGCCGTCGCGTAAGCTAAGCTCAGCTCAGCTCGGGGCAGACGTGCTCGCAACCAACTCGAGCTATATGTACGTTCTCCTCGCCCACCGCCCACACAATGCTCTTCACTACCCGCCAGGTTTCGTCTCGACTCTAGATCGAGGCCAAAAACCAGCTGTGGCTCATACGGGCTTCTCCCTTCTCAATTGAACGTTTCTTGGCTGACACCTCTTCCACAGTAGCCGCAGCCGTCGCATCCGCTGTCACCGGACTCCCGAGACACAATGGACAACGCAGCCTCCGCTACCTTCTACGAGCGGTTACCGCTGCCGACCATCGATCGGCCCTTCGGTATCCAGTTATGGCCAATCTTTGACAAAGTATGGACTTTGTTCACCGGCTACCCCGTCAGCGAGTTCCGCTTCGTCGCCGGGGAGACTCCCATGTCCACTCTTAAAGAGACGGGCATTTTCGTCATCCTCTACTACATCGTCATCTTCGGTGGCCGCGAGCTCATGCGCAACCGGGAGCCTTTCAAGCTCAAGGCCTTCTTCCTGGTCCACAACTTTTACCTCACTGCCATCTCCGGGATACTGCTGGCCCTCTTCATTGAGCAACTGCTACCCACAGTCGTTCGTGGAGGAATCTTCCACGCTATTTGCGACCACGACGGTGGCTGGACCCAGCCTCTCGTTGTTCTTTACTACGTATGTCCACGTCTCCGTATACAGTTGTGTGTCAAGATCGGTTCCGGAAACTAACAACCCCTTCTCACAGCTGAACTACCTGACAAAGTATCTCGAGCTGTTGGACACCGTCTTCCTCTTCCTCAAGAAGAAGCCATTGAGTGCGTACCCATTGAGTATCCGGTAGCGCTGTCAACTGCCTCTGTTGCTGACACATCTCTATGTAGCCTTCCTTCACTGCTATCACCATGGAGCCACTGCTGTCTTGTGCTACACACAACTGCTCGGAAGCACCTCCGTGTCCTGGGTTGTCATTTCACTGAACTTGACGGTCCACGTTCTCATGTACTGGTACTACTTCCAGAGCGCACGTGGCGTTCGTATCTGGTGGAAGGAGTGGGTCACTCGCCTGCAGATCATTCAGTTCATCATTGATCTTGGTCAGTTTGCCCCAGTTAAGACATCATCTAGGTTGCTTTGCTAACCCATCACAGGATTTGTCTACTTCGCCTCTTACACATACTTCACATCCACCTACTTCACCTGGATGCCCAATCACGGCAAGTGTGCTGGTGAGGAGTTCGCCGCTTTTGCTGGCATCGGTGTTCTCACTTCTTACCTGGTGCTTTTCATCTCCTTCTACATCGCGACCTACAAGAAGGATTCCAAGCCCAACCACCGCAAGTCGCTCCGCCGTATGTCCCAGGCTCCTCTGCCCGATCCACACGACCTGGTGCACGGTATGTCCGGCACCAATGGTATCCTGATCGGAGACGTCAAGACCACCGGTGCCAAGCCCAACGGCACTACCACACGATCCCGAAAGGCGTAGAGGCCTCAGCGGTTCTCAAACGAGTAGGAGCAGTTGGAAACCAACGCCCGGGAAGCGCTGTGTGCGATGGGCGACCCGCAGCTGCCATTCATTGTTCGAACCGGGCCGAGATCGAGCGTGCCATCAGAGCATGAAGACACGACTAGAGCTCCTGACCATGGCACGTGGTATTGGGGTCTGCGGCGGTAATGTAGTGTTTTTGAATATGATATGTACCCGCCAGCACAATGGAAAACGCGGGACATGTATATGGAATTGTGGTTCCGGACACAGGCGCGGTCACAAGACGGGCGAATTATAGTGGAATGACTGTTGGGGAAAAAATGCGGAATGATTCATTTGTCCAGGGCGGCTGTTTGAGACAAGACACGGGGACACGAAGGGCTCGGGCGATGCTCATGACGACCAAGGTAATACAGCCGGACCTTCTCTGCCCCACCTTCTTTCGAGGCGCCGAGAAGCTGTATTACCCTTTTCACACCTTCGCTGTCACATATTGGCATTAGAGACTTTTTGGTGCCCTACCCGTTAATCAGGGTGTTGGTGCCAGGATAATGCATAATTACCGGTCTTAGAGGTTAAAACCAGCATTTTGCCATGTTGTTTCTGCACAAGGGTGATGCTCTATATTATAATCTCAACCATCACATGTCAGCCTGAGCGCGTGATAGTCAATCTTCCACCGTGTGTATGTGTGTTCTGGGGTCACAAATGGCCTTGTGCTATGACAACCAAGCACATATGTTGCTTGCCATCCATGCGAGCTTCCACGGTCGGGCAAGGCATACTGAGTGAGGCCACTGCGGACGGCCCCTTTCCAATCCTCGTGGGTGTACTTGGTGATAGAGATGAAAGCTGAAGTCCGATAAGAGGCTCATTCGTTCAACGAACCATCATTCCCCTCGCGACCAGTGACATGTGAATGTAACCCACCAAGCCCCCCGGGATCCGACTCTGCTGTAACCACGCCGGCCTTTCCCCTGCATTCCCGTGCCTGGGCCAGAAGCTGCCTGGGCCACACACCTTTCAGCAATCGGGGAATTTTGGAGGAAACGCAAGATGGGAAAATGGTAGGTAGGGTTGTACATTTGCATCCCCAGGCCCCCGTGTTTCGCGTCGCACGTTAGGGTTGCCGACGACACTGAGGACAGAGCCCCCTTTCAGTGTCACCGTCTGAACCCAACGTGCATGCGAAGTTTAGGGTTTTCTTCCTTCCTTTTTCTTGCGACATCCTAACACGGTTGAGATACATGCAGGCACTAGCACAGCCCGAAACTTAAATCTGCCGCGATAAAACGTTGGGTTGGGCTCTCTCCTGGTTGCAGACTTCAGCCGCACGAAAGCTTGTCGAGTGCGAGTGTTCATCCAAAAGCCGCGTCCCTCCGTACGGAGGTGGGTGCACACCACCGATTCGATTTACTTTTCTGGGTTTAGGTTGGCAGGTGAGACTCGAGATCGAACGGTTGATATCCCCTTCCTGCTTGTGATGAGACCGATGTTTTGTGTGTGAGAAGGAGAGCTACTTTGCGATTAGGGCTTACACGGGGGCACGGCACATCTGCATAGAGCAACTGCTTAGGTTTCAACACAACCAAGACACACACAAGACAAAAGATTGGATGTAAAAGGGGGATTAGAAGTTTTATTGGTGTTGGCGTGCTATGTCTCAAGCCCCTTCCTACGCCGGCCTCTCGATCCTCCTGCCGTCGTCAACACTACTGGGTGGAGTCGGCTGAGAAGAGAAAGCCCCCCGGTAAGGAAAAACATCCTTAGAAACGCCCTGACGCCTTCGACTATGGTATCGCACTTTGTGAAGAGAAAAAGAAAGACAAGCGTATATGTCATTGTGTCCACGGCACAATGTGTCGCACTTTGTTTATGATGAGGACTCGTAGAACCAGTATCTAGAGCAGAGATTGTTAGTGACTTGATCACCAACTGATACATAACTGAATGAAGAAGTGGTGGTACTTACTGTGCGCTGTACTCAACCTCGAATGAGGCCGGCATGCCGGCACACGTGCTCGGGGCACTTCCACCGGCTGTCTCCAGGCGGTAGACCTCCTGCAGCCGACCGGTGGCGCCCTCCCTGGCCGAAAGCTTCAGCCACGGGACAGCCTTCTCGCCCTGCTGGCCGGTGGGAGCATCGGCGGGGGCGTTGACGGCGGCGGCCTTGCTGCAGGGGATCTCGCCCAGCTTGAGCGTGTCGGTGTCGAGGTTGAAGAAAGGCGTGGTAGTGTTGGTGAAGAAGTGGTGGCCGCTGATCACGTAGTTGCCCGGGGCAAGTCTGGCGTTGGTGGAGGCTGGAACCAAGTTCTTGGGGTAGGCGCCTGAGGCGGTCAGGTTGAAGGCCAAGGACACGCGTGGCAGCATGTTGAGCAGGTCCGGGTAAGTGGAAGCAATGCAGCTGGCGTTGAAGAGGGTGGCGACAGCGCCGGTGGCGGTGGGCGCTGCTGTGGAGTTGGTGGTGTCGCAGGTGTAGTTCTGAGTGCCACGGCCGATGGCGACGTGCTTAAGAACCAGGCCTGCTGAGACGGCTGGAAGAGGGCTGGGCGCTGGTGTTTATGTGTTAGTGTCCCTGTTGTATAATGTGATGGAGGGTTTTCCTCTTTTTTTCTCTTGGTATTTACTTACATGCGACTGGCATCACTGCTGCGGTCACGTCGCAGGCTGGTGCCTGTGCCATCTGCCTGCCCTCCTGGGTCTTCTGTGCCAACATGTTGAAGTACTGAGAGATGTCCTTGATGGCATCACCTGGCAGGGCGGCGTTGATGTTGAGATCTGGGTAGACTGGGGCCGCAAAGACCGAAGCACAAAGTGCTGGGAGGAGGATCGAAGAAGTCCGCATTTTGCTTGGTTTTCACCGATGTGGCACGTGGTAGATGAGAAGGTTGTGGTGTTGTGTTGAGGAGCTTCCTGGAGTAATCGACTCTTCAGAAGGCTGGAGGTGGTTCCTTGGTTTCGTAATGTTTTCCCCCGTTTGTTCTTTGGCTCCGTGACGGACGTCTGATAAGGGAAAGAGACAGACAGACAGGCAGAAACAGAAAAACCCCAGATACCAGACAACCTTGGACGAGAAGATTGGAAATGGAGCCGAGCAAGGAAAGAAAGACCAACAGAGAGACTGAAGGAAATCAAATAGGAAAGAGGAAAGAGCAAAGAGGAAAGCGAGACTATATGAAAATGGAATGAGTTTCACAGATTGCCATGAGAAGGATGTGTGGGAGGACATGCTTTATTTTGTAGTACTTTACACCGTACATCGCCTACATGCAGGTCTACTTCGATGGGCAGGTCGGCGGCACGCACAAGATGGGGGAGACAGGGGAAGGGAAAGTAGGCAAGCAGGGGTGGGTGGTAGCCAGACTGCAAAGACTGCAAGACTAGTAACCCATGGAGATGCAGATTTACTGTACAGTAGCGTGGCAGCGGGTTCGTCGTCGTTTCTCGAGGGGTGCTTGGTCGGCTGCAGGCCCACACCAGGGACCATAGACGCAGAGAGGGATGCCCAGAATAGAGCGTGGTAGCATCCCCAAGGTAGGACGTACATATGGATACAGTAGCCTCTGAGGTGGGAGGTGGGATGGGAAGCAACGGTGAAAGATGAGTGGACGGAGCGGCTCATGTGCGGCAGGGGTCTGGTCCAGGGAAGAAGCATGTCGTCCTGTCGCTTTCTGCCCCTGGTCCCATGTCCCGCAGGCGCTTGAGCAGCGAAGGAGAGAGGGTGCAGCGACAAAACGACAGAGGTGTCAAGCCCAAACGCGGTACAGCACGGTTCAGCACTCTAACAAGTCGGATAGAGTTCGGTGAGGACGCAGCAGATGGGATGAGGGAGCATGATGATGCAGACAGCATGTCCATGTGGTGGTCATTGTGGTGATGATGATGAATAATCTGCCCTGCCCACCTCCCAGGCTCCGTTTTACCTCTTACCTACCTCCCTGCTAAGATAGATCTGGGACTGTTGTGCCATACCACACCATATTTACTTATTGCACCCTACACACCTACCTACAGCATCATCCAGATGTACACTATGGAGAGACACAGACATAGATGGAAAAAGTAGATGAGATGCCGAGTCCCGCCTCTCGCTTGCAGTCCACTCCAATCCCGACCGGCGGTTAAAAAAGAGGGCAGGGCCTAGAAATAGCACTTCGCTCGCCGTTAATAAACTTGGGTGGACGGAGCGCGTCCATAGGCCAATCGCCGTGAGGCCCTGGTCGACGGGGTATCCACTTTCGGCACACCACCTGGCCACGATGGCCTAGCAGCCATCTTAGTCTAATACCGTAGTGCAGCCGGCGGCTCGCCGTGCAACATGGAATTTTCCACCCTCCACCCTCTCGGCCCAGCTGCCCAGCCACTTTCAGCTGCCATTCTAAGCTTACTGCTACCACGACACGCTGCAACACTCCACTGGCCTGCCCTTTCTGTGGCTGCTGCGCTCGCACTGCGCTGTCGGGAGTGCAGGCCACACCAGGCCGCCTCAACGGGCCAGCGTCTATTTTGTCTTTGGTCAGCGCTTTGCTGCCCCCGCTCATCTCATCTCATCCCCCTCTCACATTACACAGTAGCCTCTGCTCCATCCAAGACCGCCTGCCGAGGGGCTTCCAGAAGGGGGGGGGGGGAAAGCAGGGCAGTAAACATCTTGATACCCATGATTAAACATCTTGATACTCCAAGGACAGATGGAGGCTTGTAATTGGGTCTTATACATATGTTGCTCCAGACTTCTTCGAGAAACACACCACTGTGTATCGTACACGTCTCCATCTGTCGTTTTGAGATCTCGGTCCCAAGAGCCTCTTCTCCGAGGTTGAGCCAAGACGTAGCCCGGGTTGGCATGCCGCCTGTCATCATCACATGGTGAATAAGTTCATCCATCATCTGAACACGCTTTCTTTTTTACTGCCAGTCCGAGATCTATACCACCCGTTCATGCAACTTACTGCTTCCTGCTCCCAACCAATTGGTCATCCATTCAAGACAAGAGATGATGGTTGCCAGTTGGCGCTAACGGGCCAACCACCCAAGATCCAATCCTCTCGCGCACAAAGCCAAAAGATGACCTACATACCCGCCCCTCCCCCCAGCGAGTCCTTTAATAGCTGCCCACCCTTCTTCTTCTTACCCTGCACACCCTCTTTTGCCGACGGCCAACCACCGCGGCATACATATGCACTACACATGCGCTTAGTAGAGAATTTCTTGCTCGTCCTTGTCTTGGGAGCTTGCCACTTGGCCCACGAGACCTCGTCGTAACAATTGCATTTTCACCCTCCACAAGTCGAATTTCATGATGGGGCGTCTGAATGACCTCGATTCTGTGCGCTGATCAGTCTACTCTATTCGGCGCAGCTAAATAGAGCAAATTAATCACGGAACCTTGAACAGCATCTATAAGAAACCCCAACGAAGAAATGCCCAGTTGATATATCACAAAGCTCGGAGCCCGGCTCCGAGCTCATACCCCCGGCACTGTATGTGTATACAGACACATACGCGGGCCTGCAGATGGATGATGTGTCCCCGGGCGCCTGATTCGTAGGTCTCGCCGGCCCTCGCTCGCGGGAAACACATCTCTTGGCCGTCTTGGCTGGCAGATTGAGACGACCGAAGCGCCGTAGGAAAAGAATAGATTGGCCCGCTCTGGTCCGGTCCACATGATCCCTGATCTGATCGCTCTGCCCCCTGCTGCCGTTGCCCCTCCACCATGTGTGGCACCATGTGTAGAAACAGAACAAGACGAGTTGACTGGACGACGAGGAGCGACCGGCTCCGCCGATTTCTTGTTTTTGGAAGCATACATCGGAATTATATCAATACGTTTGTTCATTTATTTAAGGCGGATGTAACCACCTGGTTTAAGCCTCGTCATTCATCCACAATTGTGCTACAAGGACCTGCGCCCAGGGAAGGAGGAGGGGGGGGCGAGCCATGAAGCAGGCGGCAATGGACGACTAGTCATAACGGCCATTCTAACCGGCGAAGAGCGCGAGGGGGACGGCATGGGGAAGATCATGGATGCCCAGCCATTGCGACTGCCTGTAGATATGTATTGATCGCTTGCTCGCTTTTGATAGCGACCAAATTTGATCCCCCCCTCCTTTCCATCCTGGGACCAATCGAGACGCCGTTGCGTTGACTCTTTACAACCCCATCCGTGATCGTCCTCACTCATCAACACTTTTCTATATTGATTTCAAGGTTCATTCGTTGCTCATCTGCCAATCGATTCAAGACGGTTCCGCCCAGTTCACTTGGTCCATTACCTGCCCTGCCGAGGGATGTGCGTACTGGACCCTTAGCCGCAGACGCAAAGGCTAATCATCACGCACCGTCAGCAAGGAATAACTTCCATTTGTTAGGTAGAACTGGACTTACCCCCTTGACTCCCTGAATTCTCATAGCCTGCGTAGCCTCGGTCCCAGGCGCCAGCTCCGAGCTTGATATGCTGTTGAGCTGCAGTTTCTGGCTCTTGGGCACAGCCGCCTGCACTCCGACATTTGACAGCGGACCCCCGGACGCATTCCGGAAACGTGCGAGGGCCTGCACAATTCCCTCGGCGTTGCGCTGTGTCGCAATGGTAACCACAAGACCATTGTTGTTGTAGCAGGGAAAGCCCGCCGGTGCGGCTGCTTGCGGTGAGGGGGATGGAGCTGAGCCCATTTGGCCGAGGAGATCAAGACCCGAAGACGGCGGCGCCGCGGCGGCTGCCGCTTGAGGAGGTGGTGTGGCCTGTGCGGGGCCGGAGCCGAAGAGATCCATGATGGCGGATACGTTGGACTGGGGAGCTGGCGTGCCAGCGTTTGATGACGTTGGCGGCGGTGAGGTGGTTCCCCCCAGAATGTCAGCAAGCAGATCTGCGTTATTCTGAGAGTTACCGTTGGCGGGAGCAGGAGACGGGGCGCTGTCGCCCATGATATCCATAAGTAGATCCTGTTCTGAGACTTTGATAGGCTTAGATCTCCTGTTTGCTTTCTTCTTTTCCTTGGCGGACTTTTCGCCGAGGACACGATTCTCTTCCTTGATCTGTGGCGGTGGCATCTTCTCAAGAACACCGCGCCGAAGCGAGTCGTGATCGAACAGATTGAGGTATTCGACGGCACGCTGTTGAACCTCGACATCCAAGCTTGCCTGGTGGTTCTGGAGCAACTTTTTCACTCTCTCGACTTGTGTCGCATTTGTGAGCCTGGTCGTCAATTTGATCAAAGCGTTAACGATATACTCGGTCGTGACTTGTGTGGCGTAGCTGCTGTTCAGGACGGTGGAGAAGAGATCGATGATCTCGTGCTCCTTGACCTCTTTGACCAGCTCTTCTTCCTCGTACTGCCCGCCCCTGAGGAGCACATCGCCGTACTCGCCAATACACCATGATCCTGCTTGTGTCAAGCTCTCCTGGGTGATGTCCTTCTTGAGACTTGTATATAGCTTCTGGACCGCGTACGTCTGCAGCTCGGGGGTCGTTGCGATCAGTCGAATAACAGAGGACATAATGGGTTCCTTCACGTAGTTCCCAGCCAGCGCCAACACTCTCAGCATCGTGTCAACGTGCCACCTCTTGTTCGGTGCATATCTGTCGGCCGCGATTCCGATTTGAGTCGTCAGGGTAGGTTTGAACTCATTATCTGCGACTTCCAAGAATGCCAACAGTTCCCTGATCAGCACCCTGACGTTGCTCTCATTGATGAGTGTGAAGCTGAGGTCGAGGGCTCGCCGCCTTATGCTGATATCCGGGTCTCGAAGACATTCAAGGATTGTGTTCCGGTGCCTCTGCACAGCGTTGGGCTCGATTGCGACAACCTTGATGAGAGTGTTGAGTGCCACATAGCGGATGTTATTGTCCCTGTTGGTGAGAAACTTGCCAAGGATGTTGACACCAAGCACTCTTAGACCCGAGTCGGCCTCGATGTCCAGGATGGTCCGCACCGCCTCATACAGGATCGAGTTGCCCACATTCTTGGAAGAGTCGGTGTTTGTCGCAACCTGCGCGAGAATGTCGTTGATCTGCTCGCTAACCTGGGCATCGCCTCTGGCTAGGACTCGGAGCAAATGTAGGATCTTGACCTGTATGAATGGATCCGTGATGCCCATGACATCATGTTCAGGGGCATAGCCAGAGGATGCCAGTCCCTTCAGTGTCCTGACCAGTATTGGTACGAACTGCCTGAACTTCTCGACTATGCCCTCCTCGCCGCCCTCCTCCTCGTCTGCCTCACAGAGACTCGTCACGAGGGTCAACCCACAGAGTAGCACACCATGGTTCCTGTCCTGGAGCAAAGCCGTGGCTTTCTCGATGAAGTGTTCCTGCAGGTCTGGTACCTTCCGACATATCCTCATGGCGCAGAGAGCGGCTTTCCTCCGAATGTACGGGTTCGCGGTCGATACTAGCTTTTCAATCTCGGAAAACAGGTCTCGGGACATTTCGATGGAGGCGATGTTGCCGAGGGTGCAGAGGGCAAGTCCGACGACATATTGGTTTGAGTGGCCGAGGTCACTGGGTCAATGTGAGCAAGAGAGCGTCATCAGGGCGCTGCAGCAGTCTAGCATACTTTTGAAGCGAGTTGGTCACCAGTGTGAGCACCTCCTGATTCTCATCCAGCAGCAAGCTCGTGGCCAGGTGGCCTAGACGTTTGTCGGCGAAGCGTGGCGAGGCAAGGAGCTTCAGACACTCGATCTGGCCGAAATGTGTTCTCTCGCCCAGGGTGAAAAGGTATAGCAGTTTGGCGACATTGTTACGCCTGCGTGGGAATACCCAAAGACATCATCAGCAACACGCTCTGTTCAATGGTTCGTCGCATTGGAGGATTCGTCGGGAGAGGACCGGACGGTGAGGGAGCAGGGAGCAGGGAGCAGTGAGCACACACCTGACTTGGTGGTCGTGGCTTTCCTCGCGGAAGCTGGCTCGTATGGATGCACTCTCTTTCTGGATGACGGCGCGCTCGTCGGCGATGGTCTTTGCGGCGCGGACGTTTCGAATGAACTGCTTGACTGAGATGTGGCCGTCTAGTGTCAGCGACTTCAGATCCATGTTGGCTGCCCGGGGTGTGGAGATGCGAGCAGGGCGTGTGTGCGTGTGCGGGTGCGGGTTTGGTGTTGATGAGGGTCAAGCTCACGGGAGGCCATGATGGGAAGGTTCAACCCCACGAGGGGACCTTTGGGCCGTCAAATGGCGACTCGGGTAGTAGAGTCGTACTGGCGCTGGAATGGGCGTGCGTGTGCCGTGGGTGGTGGTGTGCGTGTGCTCGGACTGAGACACCAAAGAAGTAACGTCTGCTGGAGTGAATGTTTGCTCCCGCCCGGTCTGCCAGCCTAAAGTGAACTGCACCCTGCAGCAATAAGGTTAGCAGCTCAGGATGCGATGTCGATTGCAGGCGGGCCAAGAAAGACCGCCAAGTGGCTTCCTGGATGTTGGAAGGACCCACCAGAAGGGTGCATGCTTACCTTATCTCCTGGATATATGTAATAAAGGGAATTGATCCTGATGCATTAGGATTCCTGGGTGCGTCGTCTATGTTTCCCCCCGAGTAAAGCCAACTGTCAGCTTTCGAGCTGTCAGCATTGGGCCCCTTTTCTTAGCAGCATTGACCACGTCTCGGCAGGGGTGTTACTGGCCGTTGCAGCTAGGACTCCACCGTTTTAGAGAGGACTATTAGAGTGCATTTCATACTTCTTGTTATCGACAGAAGAGAGTGATGTTGCACGAAATACTGCAGTGTTTTCTGGATGGTTTATTTGTTTGTTTTCTATAATGTGTGTGTGTATATATATAATCAAGCTTCCCTCGGGCATCATCATTTCACATCTGGACGGTGTAAAGGATGTGCCTCCGTGTTCAACACCCACGTATCGAGGGCCACCGTGTCGAAGTCGGAGAACACCAGGTAGAAGTACTTCAGCGTCTCGGCGAGCCAGAAGCTCTCCATCGAGTCCACCTGTCCCGGCTCTTCCAACGACACGTCCCTCAGGCTTGCAGCCCCTATCTTGGTCCTCGTAAGCCGCTCGATATTCTGGAACATTGTCCATGCCTTGTCCATCCACGTACTGTCGCCCGTGAGCCTGTACATGATGAAGACACTTTCGATGGCCTCCGGCCGCAGTATGTATTTCTTGTCGTGGAGCCCCACGAATCCACGGGGCAGTTGCCGGCTGCTGATCATCTTTTCAACATCGCTCCCAAGAGGGTCCTTGCCGCTGTTGACCCCTAAATATTGGTCCCTCACGGCGGTGCGCCATTTGAGATCGCTATACTTGCACTCCGAACCAGTCTGGCTATCCTCGAAGTATCCGCACGGAATAAAGCCAAATATCTCGGGCATTATTCCAGTCGGGGTTGCTCCATACGCCCAGACGCAACCGTCCGTCAGCTCAACTGCGAGATCCAGCTCGCTGGGCCTGTTGAAGATTTTCGCGGCGATACCAACCATGCCGCCCGCAAAGCACGTCAAGTGTTGGCCCTTCGGAGTATTTACCGAGGCCATTTGTCCATCCACGAGTTTCGTTCTCACGTCGGCCGAGATCATGATCGGGATATCTTCTGGGTTACTGGCACGACGTATAAGGTGCTTCTTTGCAACATCGATAAACTTCTCGTACATCTTCTTTGGCTGTTCAAGTACGCCGCCGAGCATGAGGTACTGCTTGGGGAAGTATTCGTAAAGGGAGTCTGACATGCCACCCAAGGTAAAGGAATTATCGCTCGTGAACGAAGGACCGGACGAGTCGACTTGAACCGGCCACATGCCCGGCAGCTTGGTGGTGTCTTGACCCTTTTCGAACTCGTCCGAGATCCTTTGCACGGCGTCGTAGTACTTCATATCTCCTGTCAGCTGCGAAAGTTTAGTAAACTCCAGTGACAGTGATCCCAGCTCTGACACGAGCACGCTCCTAGGGTGGCTCTGTGCGGAGCCCGTCATATAACTACAAGCAATTTTAGTCAGCAAAGACATCCAAATACTGACCAGGCAAGTTGTGTGGAAAGACTTACAACTTCCAGTCCCACCTCGCGATAGGCATCCTATTATCCGTATCGAAAGCACACATCAACAGCTCGCCCACCTCCACGGACTTCCTCAGCAGGCCCTCGTACTTCTTCCCACTAAGCTCATACGCGGCCAGGAACCCACCGAGGTATCTAATATGGTGGTCTCAAATTAACTTCTGCGTGGTGCAACACCCGGTACTTGGGGGGATAAGGACCTTACCTAATGGTTGTCTCGAATACGTTAACCAGATCTGTCTGAGTCTTGGAGAAGTCGATCGTCTCCGCCGCCTTCACGGCAGCTTGGAACTCGTCTTTAAGACCCATGATCCACAGCGTGTCCAGCGCATCTACCAGCGTCGCCGCCCAACCACCGAAAGGGTTCTTCGGCTTGCCGCCCAGCGGGGTCACCTCATCTGACATCCATGCGTACTTCTTGTATCCATTCCAACTATGCAGGAAGCTGTCCTTGACGGCCTTTTGCCTCTGCAGCCTCTGCTCCCGCGCGGTCTCTGACTCCCGCGGTGCCGGGGCCTGGATCTTGGGTATGCTGCTTCGGCCCACGCTCACTTCCGGCAGCGACCGCAGCTTCCCAGTGACAGGGAACCGGTCGGGCAGCTTTCTCCAGCTCTTGGCGTCCAGCTCGCCACCGTTTTCCGCGGCGCCTCCGCCGTGGGAGTCCGCGACCGGCGCCACATGATGATGTCCTGACTGTGGCTGCTGGCCGGGGACTGAGTGGGAGCCTGGAGAGTGTACGAGGGGCGTCTCGTCGTCAATGCCGAAGACCCAGTACATGCCAAGGAGCCATAGAGCCACCAAAAGAATGAGCGGGCGCCACCGCCGCAAGGGAGGCATTCTGTGACTGAGCTGGTTGTGGAATGCGACGCGACCCGGCTTTTGGAAGGCAGTCTAACCGCTGGTGGAAAGTAGATATCCCACAGCTTCACACACAGGACTCATCCGGGTTCGCGGTGTGAATATTGATACCCAGATCGACCAACGGCAGATGACTTTGATCGTGGGTCCGCAGCCACCATTTGAAGAGAGCGACCGAGAAGGTGAATGAATGAGTTAAACGCCACAAAGAGCAAAGCACATTGGTTGCGACAATCTCATGCACAACAACGGCACATCCTCTGTATTACGTCGCTGGGGTTTTCTTCATAGCACGCGTGGACTTTCGTCCGAGCATCTGGCTCTGTTGACCTACTTTGGGGCTCGATCCGCTCGGCTAGCAGTTGAAAAGGGGGGCGGGACAGGGGTGCTTTATCCCTGATGCTGGCCCTCCTTAATTGCAAGTATCCTACATTGGAGTCCTGCTGAATTGCGGGGGCAAGGCCGTTCTATCAGTCATGTCTGTTCGTCTTGCTGTCCTAGTGGCTGCGTTGCCAGGTGTGAACCACCGAATAAAAGATAGTGACCACCGCCGTTGAACACCGAATATCTGGGCGGTCTCCGTTCCTGAAGCTTCGGGTGCCTGCCCGGGAATTGAACTAAATTGTCACGACCATGACACGCCCGATGATGTGCCGACTCGTAGGGCTGAAGATTAGAAAGAAGCTTGTTGCGAAGAAACACTTGGCCAGGAGGGCTGCTGCTGCACGCACACTACGGAGAGCACCGCCACGTTCGGGGAGCATCATGCCCCCCTTGGAACTACTACCGCACTGCCACTATGTGAGTTGACTTGGAGGCCGTCCCGCATGCGCATAGATGACGTTGCATCTGAAATCTCAGCTTCGAGGACGAACATGCTGTAAAGTTGAACGCGAAAGATCAAGAGATTAAACGGAGACTCTGGTCGTATTATGTCACAATCCCACCAGCTACTGCGTATGAGCGCAATGGTCAAGACAGCTGGCCTTCGCCAGTCATTCAGACATGTGGTGCCTCTCTCTACTCTAAATAGCCAGGGTTCCTAAAGTGATTGCCATGTGTGTGAGGTTGGACCGGATCACCATGCTCAGTCCTGTGCCATGGGGTTGGCGGGAGAGACATGAGGCCCAGTCACTGACTTAGATCAGAAGTGATTTGAAAAACAGGACGTCTCGACCCATCCGCAAGCATTTGTGGCACATAATTCAACAGCAAAAAGCAATAACAGGCAAACGGAAATCTGAGACCAGCAATTGGCTCAGTTGAGAAAGACAAGGCTACAGACGCCATTGATCCGCCTCGCCGCTACACGCTTTACACTGACTCATCCATCATTACTCCAACGAGCCCAGCCGTGAAGCCCCAGACGGTTGGACGCCGTGCCGGGGCAAGCAGACCGAGATTGCTCAGAGATGCGGTTCCCATTCCTTGTCATCATCTAGGAAATCATTCGTAGTAGAGACCGCTAGGCCGAGAAACAAGCGGTCTACTTCTGCATCATAAGTTGGACGAACTCGTTGTCTGTTCATAACAACAGTCAGTACACTGGCGTGAAGGTGAGCTTGAGCAGAGGAAAGCATACAGTCGATTCTTCCGTCACCGTCCTGGTCAGCCTCACGAATCATCTCATCAACCTCATCATCTGTCAGCTTCTCGCCGATAGAGGTCATGACGTGACGTAGCTCGGCCGCCGAAATGAAGCCGTTGTTGTCGCGGTCGAAGACCTGGTATCACTGTTAATTTCCCTGTTCTGCGGTGGTGGTAGAATGCGAGAGCGGTTCGAACCTTGAAAGCCTCTCGGATTTCCTCTTCGGAGTCGGTGTCCTTCATCTTCCTTGCCATCATGGTAAGGAACTCTGATCGGCACGTATCAGTCAGTATGTGGTAATAAGGCTGCGGCAGCACCCCACCGCCCTCTCCTTCCAAACAAGCGAGCATCTGGACGTACCAGGGAAGTCGATGGTTCCATTGTTGTCGGCGTCGACCTCGTTGATCATATCCTGCAGCTCAGACTCGGACGGGTTCTGACCCAGAGATCGCATGACCGTGCCGAGCTCCTTTGTGGTGATTTGTCCTACACGTCATCTTAGCATCGAGCTCATAGTAGATGTTATGGTGCTTGGTTGGAAAATGTGCACGCGCAAGCCGTCGCGGCGGGTCGATCGTGACGCGTACGAAGCTGGGAGGTGAAGAAGAGGCAGCTGCACTAACCATCGCCATCCTTATCCTGGAGGCCGAGAACGGTCCGTTAGCATCATGCGCGACAGTGGCGAGGAGGGCTGCGGGATCATTCCTGAAAATAACTTACAAAGAGGGAGAAGGCCTCCTTGAACTCAGAGACTTGTTCCTCGGTCAGGGAGTCAGCCTGTTGTGACGCTGCTGATTAGCAAACATGATCCAGGATTTTTCGCGTGAACGCCTCTTCGTCTTCAGATGCCCCTCGCGTTGGCAAGGCGGGGCTGCCAGAGCGAGGACGGCACAATGGGAGCTGGGAGGACACCAACCATGTTGACTATTGGAGTGAGTCAAGTTGGAGAATGGAGGGAGTTCGCTGTATTGCCGTCGTCGAACAGAGGGTGGAGCACGGAAAGTCAAGATGTGTCGTCGGGGTGGTGGAAGGACCAAGAAGGGGAGCGTGTCCAGGTTCAGGTTCAGCTAAAAAGGGGGTGAGGTAGGGTACTGGATGTTGAATTTAGGACTAATTGGGGTTGACTTGAGAGCTTGAGCCTTGAGTGCGTCTCCTAGGCTCCTGGGCTCGCTGTTATTCAGCGACTGCGAGGGAGCCCAGGGGCTTTGAGCCAGCCCTGGCTGGGCACCTCCTGCCGCCTGCCTGGACCCCTCCAACCTCTCCAACGTGCCTCGCAGCCGCAGTTGCCCGTGCCCAGGTGCCTAGGAGAATCTTGAGAGCAGCTCCAGCTGAGCGCAGGTCGCTGGCACCCAGGTACTACCTCCAGGTACCTAGGTATTCTACTTGTTTAGGAAGTGCATACGTGTACTGTTCGCTGGGGTTTTGTACCCGTGTCTACCTCCTGTCTAGGTACACGAGTGCAGCAGACCAGAGCGATAGATACGTTGACTGCATGTCCAAATAAGGAGCCTTGTTGCTTGTCACTTGGAGTCAGATGCTCAACCAGCCTTGCCTTCTTATTGTCATCTTCCACAACTGGACATCAAGCACAGTTCCAATCCAGGACCGTAGCCTGCAGGAGAACACAGACACCCAGCATCTAGGTGGCGCTCTCAATCACAGCTACCTCCTATTCCGCTGCCCACTTACTTGCCTTACCCATCTGAGCACAACACATCACTCTAAGCAAGCACCAGACCTGTCTCTCACTCGCGCGGGATAATACCGACAGACGCAAGTGTGCCCAGGCACAGCTAGGTACCCGGACAGGGAGGCTGAGGCGGGCGGAGCTCTCCAATCACCATGCTCAGCCCTTGTTACCACCTCTCGAGTCCCAATTCGTCATCTTAGACGGCATTCCAAGCTGTCCATCCTGCATGATCTGCGATAACAGCTGGCCATGTCATGCACCTGCTGGACTGGACTGGAAGCGACCCCATACAGAGACCCAGTCAACCGACCATCTGCCTAGAGGCCACTGAAACGGAAAGCAGTCGTCCCTTTCCTCGCCGTCCGCCATGTGGCGAGACCGGACCAACCTGTGAGTTCCTGGTCGCATCTCCCGCAGCCTCGCTGCCATTGTGCGCACGGCATCCCGCTCGGTCCTAACCACCAAGCAGGTATCTCTCCTACCGACAGTCCTACGCTCACCACCCCACCCACCGGAACAAGTATGGCGGTAGCAACAACCTCACCAGCGCCGAGCGCTTCGGCTCCTCTACCGGCGCCTCCGTGCTCTTCTCTGCCGACGAGTCCTCGGACCGGCGCGGTCTCCTAGCGGGCGGCGACTATCATGATGACGGCGACGCGGTGATAGAGATGGACTTGTTGCCTCCGCGCTGGGCCGACATTACAGACGAGGTGACAGATCTCCTGGCCGACATTGCCAAGAAGTCGCAGAAGCTCGAGAGGCTACACCAGAAGCATGTGCTTCCGGGATTCGATGACGAGGGCACGAAGAAGGCCGAAGAAAGGGATATCGAGAGGTTGACACAGGACATCACCCGTGGTTTCCACGATTGCCACCGGTGCATCCAGCGCATCGAGGCCATGGTGCGGGAATCCAAGGATGCCGGCACCATGACGAGGGCGGAGGAGGTCATGGCCAAGAATATCCAGATATCGCTTGCAGCAAGGGTACAGGAAGCGAGCGCGGGCTTCAGAAAGAAGCAGAGTACCTATCTAAAGAGTGCGTGTTGCCTCCATACATGCGTGACATTCGGTTCAACTTGTGTGTGGCTCCCAGGACAATCACTGACTTGAGCAGAACTGCGTGGCCTTAGCAATCCCAGCGGCATGCTTTCCCCCGGCCCCGAACGTGCCTCCACGCCCTCCAATTACATGGACCCCTCGCTTCTCGACTCCGAGACAGACAAGTCCTTCTCCCAATCCACACTACAGTCCTCGATGCAGCAGAAACAACTCCACTCCAACGACGCGGCCATTGTTCAACGAGAGCGCGAGATCGAGGACATTGCTCAGGGCATCATCGACCTGTCGGACCTATTCCGCGATCTGCAAAGTATTGTAATCGACCAGGGGACCATGCTGGACCGAATCGACTACAACGTGGAGCGGATGGCCGTAGATGTCAAGGAAGCGGACAAGGAGCTGAACGTTGCGAGTGGGTATCAAAAGAAAACGACAAAGAGGAAAATCATTCTGCTTTTGATATTGATTATCGTGGGCATGATCATATTATTGGCGATCAAGCCAAAACGGCAGAGCGACAGTGGCGGTGGAGGCGGTGGAGGCGGTAGTCCAGCAGAGGAAGAGCAGGCAATAGAAAGGGATGCGTTGCCTGGAGATGGCGGAGGCAGCCCGTTTCTCGCAAGGGCTGTGTTAGATCACTTGATATATAGATAGGCAGGCCTCCACAGGGCCGGCGAATATGAATTTAATAGCCAGTGTACTACCATGTTATACCACAGTCATTAGACTTCATGCGACTCAGTTGATATCAGTGCTGAAAATTCAAGGGGTATTTCATACGTAGTTATATATGTACAGTCTTTAGACAACACAATGGCACAACGTCATGTCTGGTCTATGTCTCATCTGCCATGACTAGTCTCGGATGGCCAGTCTTCAAGGGCTCTCAACCGAGCCTGAATGTCGTTCAACTTGTCAGCCCGCATCGCTTTCTCCAAGGCATTCATAAGCTCGGGCAGGCTGGGCACCACCTCTCTGCCCCAAGCCATATCACAAAGCTTCTTTGCTTCCGACAGACTGAGCGAGTTTTTGGCCCGTTTTATCTTCAATCGTGCGTTACCTCCCACCCATTCATAGCTTGCTTCCCCACCGCCGCGGTACAAGTCCACCAGGCGCAGGATAACTTGTTTCCGTACCGTCGCGTAGAGAATATTCAGGCCCTGGTCCCGAAGCATGGCAAGCAGCCGGATCCCACGAGCGAAATGGAAGTCGGCTGGATCCACGAATTCGCCTTCTTCGCCATGCAGAATGGTGATCGCAGTCGATTCAGCTTCATGACCATAACGAGTGTGGGAAAACCCCCATCTTACTATTGACGACTGCATATTCTTGTCGAAGATCTGGCGAAGAGGGTGGCCTTCATGATTGACGTCAAGGTCGCGTGGGAGCTTCTGGAAGTGCTGATACGGTGATTCGAAGCGAAGGATCTGTGGTATGTCTGCCATATGGGAAACCCACATTGGCTTGTCAGATTTTGCGTAATTGACAAATAATCTGAGTATATCAAGAGACAGCCGCTCAAGGTCAACAAGCCTGTATTCTCGACCAAGACGGTAGAGCAGTGTCTGCCACGCTTCAACTGCCGGAGGAAAACGAGTAGTAGCCAGTTGCCGGCACAGTGAAACCTGGAGGTCGATATGATGCCGCCCGGTTCGTACTTTTGCATGCGGTGACAGGCTCTGTAGAACGAGGCTCGAAAGCATGTGACTCGTCATCGAAGTCGGTTGAAGATCTCGCGAGCACATTCCTTGAAGGAGTGATAACGCCATTGCTCCATTGCCCTGACGCGCACATGACTGAAGAACCTTGTCGCTTGAGATAGATACTGAATGCGATGTCACAGCCAATCTTGTCTTGAGAACCAATTGATATGTTTCCCAGTCTTCTGTGCTGAGACATTGATTCAGCAATTCTTTTTGTGCCACCTCATCGTCAAATACATCCGGATGTATGTCGCAATGAAGCAACTCAGAAAGAGCCTCATTGTCGCCGACCATGGCGTAGTGCCGGATGGCAGCTACGTAGTTCGTATCGGGCAACTGAATCTTGAGCTGGTGAAGCTGATCTAAGCGGTGGAGTACTCCCTGCGCATCGTTCTCGCGCAGGGCAATGGATTGCAAGGATAATGGGCCGATATTGTGAACACCCATCGTGTAAATGACACTTACGGCAAAGTCCAGGGGAACCCAGGTGCTGGCGAACCATTTCGAGCCCAGCTTGTCGTTGTAAGGCTTTTCTCGAATGCCGAACGTCTCCCCATGCACTCGATTGACGAGATAGCTCAGGTTCTGGCCGTTGATGGCTGTCTGAGCACGCAGGCTCTGGCTGACTGTCCCACTCTTGGAACCTTTTTGACTTTGCGGGACAAGTCCAGCAATCGAAAGCTCTTCCTCCGACAAGGATGTTTGCGGGAAATATGCACCAAGATACCGCAGGAAGGGCCGGGCAGCGAGACTCGCTGGAGTATCGCCGTGTGCAATGAGGAGTCGCCGCCATAGGATGGCCAGATTTGCGTGGCCTTTGTCGTATAGGTGCGGAATTAAGATGTCGTAGAGCTTGCGGTACACACTCCACATGTAAAGCGACTGCAGCGTCTGCTGCAGTTTGGGGTCGGGATCTGTGATGAACCTCTTCAACATGTTCACGAATTCAACCTCGCCGGACCCAAATGAGGGCGTCAGAATTATGTGCCAACGCAACACCTCGGCTTTGGGACGGTTCGCTAGCATGAAAGACATCACTGTCGTGTACAGCTGGGGCCACGGGTTCCCATGGCACTCGAGGAGCCACTCCCCATAGGAAACCACCTCTCGCAAAAAGGCGTCGCTAGTCACAGCAGCGTTGAGGATGGACCCCCAAAATGCCTTGGGTAAGGCACCCTCCACTTGATAGAGATTTCGCCTCTTTGAAATAGCCTGCCATATCATGATGACGCCGTCTCGACCCATCCACCGGTGGCAAAATTCCAGCAGGCAGCTCCATAGCTCAATGTCGCTCTCATTGCCGGGCTGGTCAATGAGCCTCACAAGCCGACTGTCTGAGGCGTTGATGTCGGATTCAATGAGCAATCGCTCGTGGTCCAGGGACAAGGATCGCCATTTCCCATACAGGTGTGAGCCTGGGCCTGGGTATTCGACATCGATAGACCTGCTCTCGGAAAGGGCTCGCTTTCTCGATACTGTCTCGGCGATGCCCTCTTTCAAATCTTGAGAGAATAAGGTGACCTCGTCTTCAGGTACATTATCGTGGTCTTCCACAGCTATCACGTCTGCTGCCTTTCTCGCCTTCTTTGCTGATGCTGGGAGTTGTGAGTATGCTGGAGATGAGAACGCCAGCGACGAGGCACGTCTGACAAAGGCGAGGACCAAACGGGGTTCGTCATGTTGAGAGGATACCCGTAGTACCCTCGGCAAGGCCCAGATAACTTTTGAGATGCCTTGATGCGACTGTCGAGTGCTGAATAAGACTCGTGGCATAACTCTTTCTGGCTCCTCTGTCTTGCGCGGCGGATCGCAAGAGGCCCAGCATTTCAGCGCCAAGTAAGTCGTAAAATCGCCGTTGATATTTGGACCATATTTGATGAGATGGCTCCGCGATAATGATACCGGAGTGAAATAGGCTGTCAATTAATAAATATAAAGTATTCCACCGCGCAAGATTTTGGCGGGAGCGCGTACGTGATGAGTTTTGGCCATCTCACAATTGGCTACCTGGACCAGGGTTAGGGGATTGCGGGCCAACGGCAAAGGAATAGCTCATCTCTGAGCCCCAACTCACAATCGTACCATCAACACTCTGACGACAACCTCATCAGAAACTCTCCCCTCAGCCCGCAACCAAATCATTCAAAATGGCGTATGTCTTTTCCCGGGTCCACACAATTGTCCACGCCGTCGCCAGCTGTGCCAAAGACCGCCCGCGCGGCGGCCAATGGCTCGTTCCGGCTCAACCCGGCATTCAACTGCGTCGTGATGCTTCCCACCGAGTACCCCAAGGCTGACTCCTTTTTGCGCACAGCGGCTTCGTCAACGCCCCAAACAAGGTCCCCGAGCACCAGCGCGCCTACCAGGCTGCCTACCGAGCCCACACCCGTGTCTGGCGAATCGTGAGACTCCCCCCGATAGACATGCATAGACAGGCCGGAAAGCAAGATCGAGAGATGGACATGGGATAGCTCTTAGTTGGAAGGAGCGCTCGCTAAGAACTGTTTTCTCGCAGAACCCCCGAAGCACCGTCATGTACGTGCCTTTCGTATGGATCATGTGGGGAACCTCTGGCGGTATGTCGAAGTCCATCGCACGCAAGACGAGAGCATTTTCACTGATACGACGGTTACAGCTATGATGTACGCGATGGGCCGCAAGGTTCTGGGCCACAACACCTGGTTCGGCAAGGACTAGTCCTTCCTGGGGCGGCTTCAAGGGGGTACAGGGGAGGTTTGTGTCAATAGAATGGACGGGACAGTACGAGAGAAATGCAGAGAAGCGCCGCAAAGCGGTATTAGATGTGGTGGTTACGCCTAACATTTCTTTTCATTGGCCCCATTTCCAGCTGTGAATGCCTCCGTTACCGCTTCTGGGCCACCCTTGGCCAAGACATGGGAAGCTGCTCATCTGTGCCAGGTCTGCCAAAAAGCTGCCCCCTCTCCTCCCAAAACCTCAGGATCATGGCTCTCTAAAGTACAGTAAATCACAGCCTGTCGTTGAAATCGTTTGTAAATGGGTGTTCATGTGCCCATACCGTTCAAATCAGGCTACCATTGGAATCCTCCTGAACGTGCAAAACTGCTGGCGAGTTTGGCGGCAATGACGTAGAGGTCGACAATGACGAGCACAACGACTAGTACTGCATTCTCTAGAGTTAGTAACTTATGTTCTTCAAAATGATAAAGCGAGACAGGCTGTCCGAAGTTCACTGTGCGCCTCCAGGCTTCTGAGGCTCGGTTGAGAGTCAAGAATGGGCGCCTAGGGCAGCCCGGAAAAGCCAATGTCGTTGCTTGGGGTGTTACTTACGCCCGTGGCACCTGGAGCCTTCTCGTCCTTGCGCAGACTCGTCAACAGCTCACGGAAGCGCTCCTTGCCTGAGCCAGAAGCACCGCCCTTTGCGCCCTTCCCGCTGACGTCCACGATCTTGGCAACGCGCTCCCAGCTGGTGCCGCCAGAGGTCGTATCCTCACGGGAGGCCAGGAACTGCTCGGCATCCTTGCGGGTCGCGGCAACCTGCTTCTCCTTCTTGTTGTTGTAGTTTTCATAGAAGTCGTCGATATTGCGCTGTGCCTCAGCGACCGTCTCTTCGCGCTGTCGCGCAAACTGCTCTGCTCGCTTGGCGTTGCCCGCGTCGCGCTTCTCCCGCCACTCCTTGATCACCTCGGGCTCTTCTTCCTCCTCGGCGTAGGCTGCGAAGCCCGAGTTGTAGCTGACAGATGGGCCGGTAGAAGTGATGTTGCCGCCGGGTGCTACTAACTGTGGCATCGCATTGTATCGTCAGGTCTCGGTGCTGACGCTGATAGCAAATAAGCAAAGAATGGACGAACCTCATTGGGGCCTGAGAGATCGGGGAACTGCTGCTCAAACTGAGCTGTCTCGCCGCCGCCACCACCTAGCAGATCGTCGTCACCAGTGTCGAAAGCGTCACCATCCTCTACGGTCGCGAACTTGTCTGCATCGTCGCCAAGGATTGCCTTCTCTCTGGCAAGGAAATCATCGGCAGAAGGGTCGGCGGAAGGGTCCTGGATGTCGGTTTGTGCTGCATGCAGTCAGAATAAGCGAAACTGAGGCGAGGTCCGAGAGAACACGGTGTGAGCTCACCTCCAGAGTCGAAGTCCTCGAGGGACGGGAATCGGTCTGCCATGTTGACACTGTTCTGGAAAAGGAAAGGAAAGGTGGAGATGGATAGGTGGTGGACAGGTGGGTATTCAGCAGAAGGAGGTCCTAGCTAGCTTGAAGAAACAAGTAGCATGGAATTGCTGTCTTGTTGGTTGGGGTGATATGGTATGATGGGATGGGAGGTGACAGGACGGATAGGAGGCTCAAGTCGATGTGTTGCTTCTAGAGCGCATGTGCTCAGGCATGGATGGCACTTTCCTAGCTGGCCTAAAGTGCTCTGGGCCCACTGTTCACAAGCAGGTAGGCAGGTCTGGCGGCGGTACTACGGCAACTTGGACAGCGCAGGGTCGCTGGGAAAATTACGCCTTGCCAATTTTGGACTAGCGTCACGAGGCCAGATTCGACAAACATGGAGCTTTTAGTCGCTTGAATTGCAATGCAAACACTCTCCAACCTGCTCTGAATCATCCTCGCAAACTCCATCATCAGAGGGCGGCAAGTCAACATTATCGTAGAAGCAGCATTCCGGGTCTGAGGGATTGGTTCAGGACCAGCCTGACTCAAAGTGAGCTCCTTTAGTCCTTGGAAATTGAGTAGTCCTCCTGCAAGCTGCATCCAAAGCAGGCGCCTCGTTATTGATTTCACCTCGTCTTCTCTCCCCTGCACTCTGAGCTTGCCATCACATCTTTCACAAGGGCATCGACAAAGCAGGAGACTCATAATCTCCCCGACGACTCGCAACAACTTAAACCCAATTTGACCATCAACGCGGTCCAACAAGCCCAACAAGACATAGCCCGTCTGCCACCGCCCCATTTGGATCCGCCCTTTCTAGCGCCTAGCAGAGCAGCAGCAAGAGCAAGCAGCAGAGATGGCTTACAACGATGATGCCGTGCTGGCTCGTCTCTCTGCCCTCAATGAGAGTCATGACAGCATTGCAACTGCAGCCCAATGGATCATGTTCCATAAGTACGAAGCCACGGCCTTTCCCATTATGTCTACCATTCTAATCCATCCCCGTCAAGGCGGCATGCAGACCGGACTGTCCAGATATGGCTCCAGAAGCTTAAGGAGTCTCCGAGCACTCGTCGGCTCAATCTGATTTATCTTGCGAATGGTGAGTTCTCAGTCAATGCTGCCTCCCTAAAACAGCCTCAACGCAAGACCCTGCGAGGGGTGCAAACACGACTGACTGTCTTGAGCAGAGGTCACCCAGCAGTCAAAAGCCCGGCACAAGGATGACTTCCCTCTGGCATTCGCACCGATAATCGCTGAGGCTGCCTCTGTTGCGTACAAGGGAGCCACTCCTGATGTCCAGAACAAGGTCCGCCGGGTTGTCGAAGTTTGGAGGGACCGTGGAGTATTCGAACTCCCCATCCAGGCTGCTATTGAATCTCGCATCGAAGGTGAGTCATGACTGAAGTCCCCTATCTGAATTGATTCTGACGTGACCATTAGAGCTGGACAAGGCCAGGGGCGCCGGTAAGAGCGGGCTGAGCAACTCTAGCATTGGCGGCCCAGCTGTGCCATCGGAACTTGCACCACTGGTCACATCAGCACAGAGTGTGTCTAAGTTGGCACTTTCCCTGAAGGCAAAGACGACCAGCGCCGAGCAAGAATACGCCAAGAACACAGACCCGAAGCAGCCAACACCATCTGCGCCCGTTTATGCAGCCCGTCTGAACGGCTTGCTGAAAACCCTCGCCACTGCCGAGGGCGCCGTTGCTGAGTGTGTCAAGGCAAGGACGGAGCTCATCGGGGCCCTCGAGAAGCTGCTCGGTACGAACAAGGCCAGCCTGGAGACCGAGCAGAGGCAGTTGGCAGAACTCGCCGAGAGGAAAACCACTATCGAGCAGAAAAAGGCTGATGTTGAGATGGCAATCATGCGAGGTCTGGCCGACCAAGCCCCAGCCAACCGTGATGGTCAATCGGCTAGTCCCGTGCCTGAGCCCGACAGACCCGAGGTCGAGGCCTTAACGCCACCGCCTATTGAAGACGACACCGACATCTACAACGCTCAAGGGACAGATTCCTTTGAACCTTTGCCTGCACAAGACTCTGCTAATGCTCAAGCTCAGCAGCCTACAGGTCTTGAGACACTCTCGAGTCTGGCTTCTCAGTACTCGGCTGTGCCCGTCGCCACGAATGGATCGAGCGGATCGAACAAGAGACGAAAGCTTGATTCTGCAGACGAAATTCCGGATCTCGGTGAGGATGGGATCGACCCAAACATCGACGAGATGATCCGCCAATGAGGCTCCATAGGTGACCAATCCCTCTCAGGGAACTCGACGCGACAGTGAAAATTGTAGCCACCCAAGTAATCATTTGGCGACAGAGGATCTTGACTTCGGGCTCCCATCGGGGTCTCTCGGGCCGTGTGGACATTTCCCCATCATTAGGTCTACATCGGGCGTCTTACATTGACGTTGTTTTCAGCCGCATAATACCACATTTGAATCTTATACATCAATCTCACTACACTGATAACTCGTCACTATGACCTCTCACCGCAAAGACCTTCTTATCACTTATTCGGTGCTCACTGCTGGAAGGTAGCCCGTTGTGGATCATTCCCCTTTGATTCGAGCGAACACGGTCAACCATGTAGCGACCAACGGCAACGATACAGGACTTTGCAGGATATTCTCCAGGATGATGGGTAGCAGCATCTACAAGGAACCCAGTTCGTTTTACTCGCGAAGTCTGCACGGTCATTTACAGCTTGTGGAAGGAACCGGCATGGTGCAGTACATATCAGATCGCGGCTCTTATATGGACCACTTGCTGCGTCACCGCTTTTTTGATCGGTCGAAAAGCTGTTCAGCTTGAGAGTTGGCTGAGCCAAGTTGGACAGCTGTCTCAATATTATCAATTAGAATTAATATGCCGTCTTGCTGAAGATATTCTCAAATAGTCCAAAATTGGTGGAATTACATGAGCCAGTCAATGATGCAATCGAGCCCAGGGCTCGGCTCTACCTCATGCCAATATCATGAACAGAAGCATAAAATTTGCCTGCATACTATTATTCTGTGCTTCCAGAGGACCAACGACACCACTGATTTATCCATCCAGCCTGGCTACTCATTGATAGGCATATCCCACCTCCTGATTCTACAGGCTGCGGTCACCGATGAAGGCAGATCCACAAGTGTGTCCAATTATGTGCGTTTCTATTCTATGCACCAAGAGGTGCGATAGCAGGCTGGTCACATACAATTTCGTACATAAGGTTCGGTTTGCTGGTTTGCTTGATATACGATTCATATCTTGCACATGCTATACCTCCTCCGTCGGTTGTCAAGGGCTGTTAGTCAGTGTCAGCAGGTCACACAAGGTGTCTGATACTACAAATTTCACTACATGGTGCTGTTCTTGGCCACCGTACAATTCAGGCAAGGGCCTATAATGTCTACCATACTGGTCCAGTGATGATACTTCCCAGGGCACTTTCACCTCTCCAGTGAGATAGGAAGCTGCTGTAACTGCGTGGAGAGTAGGCAATCTCTTGATGGGCAGGAAGGAGTGTCGATTTTCAGTCAAATGCAATTATTTGTGTTCATTGGAATTGTTTAGATAACATGGATATTACCTTTCAATCGTTCAGCTGTATAGTCCCGCACTTTATCCACAAACTTATTGGCCTTCCCTGTATCTCAATGAAATTTGACTTAGAAGCATGGTCTCTTGGCCATTTGCTCTTCAGTGAGCAGAGGCATTGGATCTCATATATTCTCTCCTTGTGTGAAATTAGACGTGTTTCTTTTCAGGCACTTGTAGAGAGCAGGTAACATGCATATAATGACTTTTATTATGCACCCAGCGATGGTGCCACATCAGTGTCAGAGTGGGACGTTGTCCACTGTATAGATAAGTATAAGTACATGCGATGCGTAAGGTGTATCTGACACTGTCTTTTCCAAATGAGATTTATGCCCCTAGTAATTCCATTTCAAAACAAACCTCCGGCTGTCCTGAGTCTTCCGCCAGGTCAACTAGTCCCTCTTCTGCTTGTCCTCTTCCTTGAGCTCCTCCTCTCGCTCTGGAAGATCTGCTTCTTCTTCTTCCTCCTCCATCAAGTCTGCCTCGTTCTCCTCAGCCTCAGTGATGTGCTCCTCTATCCTGGGCGGGCGCAGACCTGCGGGCGGCTCGCCGCCATGCATCTGGTACTCCATTAATTTGCTGAAGGCGCTCTCTGGATCTGCGCTCAGCTTGGCATAGCTGCCAATCTCGGCGACAACACCCTCGCTTGAGAGGACGATGATTTGGTCAGACCGTTTAATGGTGGACAGCCGGTGAGCAATAGAAATGGTCGTGTTGCGCCCCTTCAAGAGTTCTCCGAGCGCTGCGTTGACGAGAGTTTCAGACTCTGCATCCAGGGCACTTGTGGCCTCGTCGAGGATCAGGATATCAGGATCCTTGAGCAAAGCGCGCTATTCAACTTTCTGTCAGCAAATCTGCCAGGTAGGGGGGTTGTTTCAAGACCACTGTTAAGTTCTACGACTCTTTGCACCGTGTCTCACGAAAGATGGGGGAATAGGGTCATGGTCAGGACTTACAGCAATGGCCAGTCTTTGCTTTTGGCCTCCGGACAGCTGGGCACCTCGAGCGCCTACTTGTGTCTCGAGGCCGTCGGGAAAGTCGCTGATGAACCCGCAGTTGGCTTTTCTCGCGGCAGCAACAATTTCCGCACGCGTTGCCTGGGGTTTTCCGTACGCGATGTTCTCAGCCACAGTACCAGAAAATAAGACAGGTTCCTGTGCGACCATGCCGATACGTCGTCGCAAAGATTTGACATTCATGTCGTTGATGTCTACACCGTTGATGGTGATTGTACCCTTGGTTGGATTATAGAAGCGGAGAAGCAGAGAGCCCACAGTCGACTTGCCACCACCAGATGGGCCCACGATACAAACGTTGGAGCCAGACGGGATCTCGAAATTCAGGCCATTGAAGATGGTGACGGCTGGCCTGGTGGGATAGGCGAAGCTGACGTCGGTGAATTTGATAGGCCCTTGCGCTGAGACGACCTTCTTTCCCACAGTGGCCGGGATTGTAGGGTGCCTATCTTGCAACTCGAAGAGCCGCGAGGCCGCACCGACTCCTTTCATGAGTTCCGAGTAGAAACCAGATACACCAAAGAGACTAGATCCTGCGAAGACGGTGTACATCATGAAAGACGTCAAGTCACCGAGTGACATCGCTCCTGATCTCACAAGATTGCCGCCTACAATGAGCAAGGCCAGTATTGTCATGTTTCCAGCCCAGCCTGTAGACCCGTAGAAAGTAGCCGCTATAATTGACTCGCGCCGACCGAGGGCAAAGATCTTCCGCACCTGATGGTTGTAGCGACCGATCTCCTGGATCTCGCCGGCGAATGCTTGGCTGGTCTTGATGTTGCCCAGGCGCTCCTCTGCAATCTTTGTCAGAGTGCCGAGATTCTTTTGGATCTGCCGGCTGATGTTGCGTATGGTTCGTCCATAGAAGAAAGCTCCGACAGCGATCGGGGGAAACATTAGCAGGATGACCGAGGTCAGTTGAGGGCTCAGCCATGCCATGGCGCAGAACCCGGTTGCACCGCTCACGATGGCGCGGAGACCGTCCGAGATATTCTGGGTGATGCTCTTGCCGACAATAACTGTGTCCGAGCTCAACCGCGATATCAAGTCGCCCACGCGGTTGGCATCAAAGAATTCGGCGTCCTGGACATATGTTCTCCGGTACAGTTGGGTTCTGAGCCTCGCGACGACTCTCTCACCCACAATTCGCAGAAGGACCACGCGGCCGAAGTTCGCCACAGCACCGAGTGTCATAAATGCAGCGAAACCAAGAAAGAACTGGGTCAAGGATAGGCCCAGAACAGTGGGCGCATCCTTGCTCGATGTCGCGATGTCCAATATTCGGCCGACCGAAAAGGGAATGGACATAGTCACTGCCGAGGAGATCAGGAGGAAGACGCAAGATATCCCGAGCCACTTGACCTCAGGTCTGGCGATCTTGATGAGCCGCAAGATCTCGGCCCAGCCGCCCTGGGTCGAGCTTTTGCCCTCCTTTGACAGTCGCGCCCTCATATTGACCTGAGCAGCTTGTTTGGCACGCTCACTCTGCTGGAATCCATGCTGGTCGGGGCTCTTCTCCTGCTGGGAAAGCTCTTTGTTCTGCTCGCCCTCATGCTCTTTCTCAACAACTTCCTGCTTCGCTTGAGTTGACGTGACGCTTGCCCTCTCGCGGGGCTGTTGCCATAGTACAGTGGCCGTCGAGAAACCCCGTGTGATCCCCCATGATGATGTTCCTTGAACTATCCATGGCGTGCGGACTGCGAATGCCCTGCCAAAAACCTGTGCCGCGATGCCCGGGGGCGCGGGCGAGGGTGAGGGTGAGGAGGCGAGGAGCGATCGGCCGCAAGAGAAATGGCGCGCAGGAGCGGTGAAAGCCAGCGTTCGACGTGAAAGCGGACGAGCGAGGTTCGATATCGGTACAGCGAGAGTTGGCGGGGCGAGAGGGAGATCTAGGCTGGCGCCGCGGGCGAGAGATGGTGATGGGAGCAGCTCAAGAGCTTTGTAAGCTCTACGAGCTGCTGCTCCCGAAGCCATTGCGGCGGGATGGCTCGGGGGGTTGGGAGGCCAGAGACTAGCTGTCGGTAATCGTGCATGTGCTGCGACTCATGATCATTGCTGTGTGTTTTGGAGAGAGACGTCCATGATGCAAGAGCGTCGAGCAAGTTGATGTCGGGATAAGGAAAGAGAGCGCGCCGGCTCGGAGACGGTTTGATGGTCTAAAGTTTTACGCCGCGGCGGTTCGGGTCATCAACGCTCGTCATCGAGTGGGGCTCCACTATGCTACAGTGCCTAGCACTAAGCACCACAGCCTAGACCAGCCGGGAACGGACCCGGCCAGCCGCAGCCGGCCAGGAGAACCAACATGGTTGATGGTAGCATAGATTTGCACTACATGCCTATGCGACTGACCACATGAGTCTCTCAGTTAATGATTCACTCTGACTGACATGCCACAACTTCAAAATCCACATGGACGCTCTGAAGAGCTACTCTCAAAGCGCACGGGATCGATATGGATAGTCTGTCCCACCAGCCCAGCATTCATCCCTCTGCTTGCAAAAAGTATGAGGCTCGGGCTAAAGTTGTGACTCAAAGGGTAACAAGCTGGTCCATTCTCTAGACCTATTTCTGCTTTATAACAATTCTCATATGTCCGTTGCTTTGAGGTCTAAAGTTGGATTGGTAAATTGGATATCATCGGCTGCATGGTATAGCCCTCGGATATTTCAAATATACGTATTTGGCTCGATCAGTATACACTCTTTCCTGTAGGATATCCTTCTATGCGATAAATCTGTATGGGATGATTCTGCTGGTGTCAATATCCACCCTATTACCTTCAATGTCTTATACCATAGCGTGTGATATGGTGTCCATGTAATTTCCCTCTGTCCTGTCCCTTTGAACCCTTTCTACGCACAGTAGAGTCCTTGTCAACCTGCGGGATTCTTGCAAGCTATCAATCCTAATCTTCTAGGAGTGAGCTTGAACAGCCAAATATCAGATAAACAAGTGAGTTGCTTGCTAGTCACCAATTCCGTATTCACTGATTACAGTGTGAGGAATAAGAGAAAAGACATACAAAAGTGGGCAGAGTATAAGAAAGCCAATTCCTGAAACAACTCTCTGTCTGGTCAGCCTGAAGAAGCCAAGTGCGCTTCCAGTAAAAGGGCTCGGCGTGAAAAGACCAGAGATAGCAGCGGCAGCATGATCTTGGGCTAGAGCAACAGAACAACAGAGATAACGCAATATACAGTCTCGCGTAGGGTGATTAAGCTGAAGCATTTCTCCCATTGCAAACTCGAGAGATTCTAATGCATCCATGGAGACAGAGTACACAGCGAACAATGAGCAAAATTCGGCCAAAGAAAAAATGCCTCGGAAACTTTCGAGAATTCTCTGTCAAGATTCATTTACGTAGCACACTGAAGACAAAAGCAGTACAGGCGAGCAATGACGCTGCAGGGCGTTTATTTGAGGACTAGGAGATGTCGCGGCGGCTAGATAACAATGAGGTTCCTCCTGACTTGCACAGACGATGTGTAATCCATTGATTCTTGGTCCTTCCCATCTGGAAGTTATGGGGCGTTGGGGATCAAATGTTGGGGACAAGCATAACAGGCATCTCTTTGCTTGGACAAGAGCAACCACCTTGTCATACGGTCAGTGGAGAGAAGTCAGCACTTCATTTTCAAGATGAAAAGAAAAGAGCCCTTTTCATCGCTGGATTTCAGGCATGTTTCCGTGGCAAGACCGCTCCAGCATTTCCTCGAAAGGTGCTCACTGACATTGTGCATTCCTCGGCGGGAATCATCGGCGCTCAGTCTTTGATGCTTGATGCGTGCTGGCCCTTCTCGTCATAAACAGGCCCATGAGATATGGATGCGGAAAGGTGATTGTGGAATCTATGATTATGAGTTTTCCTGGGGACAATTCATGTTTGAGAATCTTCTGAAGCTCCCTGCAGATTTTCTTACGGGGCCTTCGGGTATCGTCATGGATTTTTACGAGACTCGAGGAGTCCACTGAGTAGGGGGTTTGACCACACGCTTTTCCAGTGTCACAAGTGCCGTAGTCATGTCTCCTTTGCTTGCTATACTACTCTGAGTAGAGGAAGAACTCATTTCTCAAAGCTGAACACGCTCGCTGGCCATCTGATGGCAACTGCTCTAGATAAGCTGGGAGGCAACGGTAATTGCAGCTGCCAGAAGATGGATCAGCGCTCAAGGTTTACCCCCCTGTCGCGTGTCTTCGTTACGGACAATTTCTCTTCACCTATCGACTGTCCCCACCTCTTGAGGTTTGGTAAGCAATCTCGAAAGTGGACATTAGTTATGATAGAAAACCACCAGTCATTCGAGAGTCTGACGCAGCAAGGTCGAATATATCAAGCAGCGGTGCGACAGCATCAGCGGCAGCAGCGAGGGAGGGACAACTGGGGTGGAAATACTGAGGCGGACCGGATCAATTACCAATCGCAACTTTAGGACACCCATGTCGCGAGTTTGACTGCTCTCTCAGGCCAAGTAGCTGGACAATCGCTTTCCCGCGTGCATCCTGCCGGCATGACCGGTAGTAATGCAGGATTGTAATCGTGGTCTTCGTAAAGTACCATGCGAGATTTAGCAGCAACAACTTTGCGATGCCTTATTATGCGTCGCGAAAGGATTGTTGGCGCGGGTCGTACCGTACTTGTGCCCTCGAGTGTCTCCACTCCAGGCGCCTAGGAAACTTTGCTCGTATCCCAGCCCACGTACAGTAAGCCCAAATCTTAAAGGGGTCTGAAGACATCTGTATTGTATTGTTGCAAAGTGGCTGACTTCAAAAGTCCGTCTGGAATTCTCAGTTTAGATATTCTGCCAGAGGAGACAGACGGGACACGATCACGGCGTGGACAAGTGAATTTGGGATTCGAGTCATGGGGAGTGTTAGTAGTGGACTCTGGGATCCATTCTTTTACTTACTCTCTAGTCTTTTGCACTGTTCATGTCTTTCTAACCATGAAACCCCTGAGGCCCCTTACGTCGGGCTTCACAGAGGCAACCTAACATGTTGCGCTCCTAAAAGACTGTCCATGTTTCTCTCAGGTGTGGGTAGTTGCCCAGATCCAAGAACGAGCCGAACTTGGTGGCCTGGATGTTCAGCAGCCGGCCACAAGTTTCTGCCCAATCACCCATTTGCAGTTAGAGACGCATAGGCATAAACGCCAACGCCAAAGAGGACGTTGCTCGCCGCTGCTCGCCGCTGGCTTTGATGACAGCAGATTGGAGCCCAACATCCGAGCCGAGCCGTGTCGGCCTCAGCTGAGAAAGGAAGGTAAACAGACATGCCCATCACAGCATACTCTATATTCGGACAAGTTGAATCCTCTTGGCAGGGTTGCGGCGGACGCGGCGGCATACCTTGCATGCGCGTGGGTGTTGCCGATTAGGCAGTAGGATTAATTACCTCCCGAGACCGTAAGGGGTGGACACAAGGACCATCTGAACGTTGCTCTTGCCATAGATGTGAGAAAAGTCACATGGATATTTCACACAGAGTCAAGGGATTGATGTAACATTGCATCTGCAGAAAAGACGCCCATCAGCAGGTCGATCCCAAGGCCTCGGGCAGCCGTGGGCTTTGCAGCAGTGATCGACCAACCGCTGGGCAGGGACTCCGCCATCTTCCCCAGATCCGCGAGGAAGATGACCTGGACCATGCCAGATCTGAATCTGACGGGCCGAGCCAGAGTCGTAGGCAGGGCAGGCGGGCAGGCCAAGGCTGGGTCTCGCGGGCAGCTTCCGCTGGGGGAATTTCGAAGGCGCCTGCTGTGATTGCTGCGAAGAATCGCAGGCGACGCATGCACGACGCAAGCGAACTGGGTCTCATGTAGGTCTCTCCACGGGAACGTGCATGGCGAGGCGCCTCTTCCCTGGCATGTGGGTGGATGAGAGGGAATACTACCGTACCAGTACATCTGACCCGCGCAAACGGGGCAGAGAAGGCTGCAGGTCCACCGTCGATGTACTGTGACAAGACCAAGACTGAGGCGTGGGGGTCTAGATCCCATAGGCGTCTATCCGAAAACCGGTTGGTGTCGTGTGATGCCCCCATCTGGGGAGAGGGGGCTTGCTGCAGCGTGAAAGATGAGTCGGAAGTAAAGACTAAACGGGTCGCTCCCGTTTCAGTGACTCGATGTTGATGAATGGATTGTGCTTTTTGCGAGACATAAGAAGTGTCCTGCTGAAGAACTCTGTGTCGTCCTGGGTGAACAAGTCTTGAAGCGCGATCTTCGTTGACGGCTGACCGCGCTGCCTGGCTTCAGAACGATCGTTAGGGAATGGTTGCACGAATCTGACAGCCCCTTTCAACTGAGGCACTGCAAGCCCGCGGATGCCCCTGTTTCCGTGCGGGTTGGGCATCAGAAAATACTCCTGGTTGCTGTCGACTTTCCGACGGCATCTTCCGTGTTTGCACGCTCAACTGCGGCGACCCAGGCTGGGTCTTGGTCACCTAATACTGTTGAAAAAGGGATTGCTTTGTCCTCATGTTGCGAGCGGAAGGCTGAAGTGGAAGTCACAGCCGCAATATTGCCAGACCAGCGCCGCAAGACTTGTCTCTGCGGCTGTCTGGTGAACGAAAGCCGACTTTGCGGCCCACGACAAGTCTCGTCACGGCGTATTGAATCCCAGGATACTTGGACGACAGCGGACGAGGATCGTGAAAAGCACCATGGCTTTCTCAGGCCACACACTGGGGTAGAGAGAGAGAGACTGGGACAATTCAACAGCGCCAGACCCCCTTGGATACTTCCAGGGTACCTCTGTGGAGGCCCCTGTCCCAGCAAAAAATCCCCGTCTTCACTCGTGGCTTTGCTCCTAGCGAATTGGGCTGGGAGGCTCTGAGAAGTCTCCAATTCGAAGACAGGTCAACGGATCGACATGTGCCTTGTGGAGCGCGTGCAGTGCTGCCCCGTCGGTGACCAGAGCGTTGGGAAAGTTAAGGCTTCGTTGACCGGTGAGGCTTGTCTGCACCGTGAGTGATGTGTCAGG